ATGCGAGGGCATTGAGCTGGTTGAGTGTTTTCCAATACTGGTGGGATGAGACAAAGTCGGCAAGAGCCTTGGATTGCGACGAGGCCGCCTTGAGCATTGTAATAAGAACGGCTTCTGGCTTGTCGTCCTTAGTCTCAATCTCAGGGATAGAGGCCTCTCGCTTATCGTTCGTCTCTTTGCCAAGCTGTTTCCTGTATGGGTTGCGACTGGCCATTGACCGCTCTGTGGTGATAATTCTAGTCTTTGACTTGTATCGCTTCAGACCAGAAGCACGGTTACTCAATTGTGTCCTGTTTTCAGGCTCAAGGCTCCGAGGGATCTCATAGTCCTCGACAAGCTTGAGGATGGAGTCTCGAAGTTGATGGTAGTCCTTGCCGAGTTCTGGTCCATCTGGAGCATCTTCCTCATCCGTGTCAGTGCTGGATGAATTTTCATCGTCATCGAGTTCATCATCAGGGTCGAATGTCATGTTTGTAGAAAGACTCTTTCCATCAGCGGAGATGAAGAGTACAAGCCATCGCTCAGCGCAAGGGTGGCATGATCCACGGACAATGTCAGAACCAAGATTCTGTGTCATCTCGTGGAGTGCCAGGCGCAATCGATAGCCGTCATCCTCATACTTGTTCAGACGTCTCTGTAGCTCCGAGTCCATGGCTGGTGGAGAGTATCGCTGAGGTGTCACTGATGTCTGCTCATCTAGATACCCATCTCTTGTGGTAGTGTCACTAAATACCGAAGAAGCGCTGGTGCTGATGATAGAGGCAGTCTCAAAGTTGTTCCTTGGGTTTGACATGGAGATGGGCTGCGAGATAGCAGACATCCCGGAAATGGAGGCTGGTCCTGATCTAAAGCTTCCTGAAGCCGAGTGGGGTCTTCTTTCGGGGAATATGGCATTCACCAGGGTCGCGATATCGGCAGGGCTAATTACCAGGTAAGGATGGACCTCCTTGGTTTCTCGCAAGGACGTGATGGACCTCGCTGGGAGGAGTTTGGCAGCCGGAACCTTGGATCGTGATCCTTGGAAACGAGCGAGAATACTTTCCACATGGCCCTTGATTTTGGGTGGTATGTCCACAGGAACACAGGTTGCCGAAGGCTTACCACTCCACATGCTGGAAACATACTCATGAGCCTTCATGGCTACCTTTTTAAGAATCTTCTCGCGCGCATAAGGCGTGATGTGGTACTCGGCCAGCATTCCATACGATTCTGGATGGATAATGACGCCCAAAAGAAAAACGAAGAAGAGGCATCTCCAAACTAACCAACGGGAGGTGTTTTCGACATACTTGTTTTCAAGCTTTCTCAAAATGGCATTTCCAAGTTCCAAAAGTCCTTCGGGAATTCCAGTGGCATCTTCATCGTCGACAAGCTCAAATAGTTGATTTACTGCGCGTTCGTAGAACTCCTTGGCTGCAACTTCATCTGAATGGTTCCAGTCGGACAAGTTGAATCGTGTCCCATGCTGGTCCTCTGCTCGGTCGAGCAAGAAGGCTCCATCCTCGAGGATCTTCATCAGATACCATTCCATATTGGATTTGCCAGACCAGTCACGCATTGCTGTCCAAATATTGAGAACTGAAATCAAGAAATGCTCGCCAGTGGATTTGGGTTCAGAGATCAGTCGTGCCAAAGCAGTAGCCCAGATTTCTGTACGTCGTTGATCCTCAGAGCTGTCAGGTCCGGCAGAATTGGCAAAACAGGTGTGGATGAGGATGGACAAGGGGTCGTGTCGTTGGAAAGACAGCAGTCGCTCTATATCCACAGCAGTGCTATTTCGTCCGGACGCGCTTGCGTGAGCTCTACCTCCGGAACGGCCATGGAAAGGAAGGACAGATTCCACGGGCTCCAAACCTTTATGATAAGACAAGAATGCGTTCAACTCGGAACTCGACAGAGAACATATACGAGTAGCCAAATAATCCGGGTTTGTACGGAGCTGTGTGAGAAAATCCAAAAACGTATCGCGAGCAGATGCAGAAATGTCGTTCAAAAATGGTGTAATAGATTTGAGAGGACCAAGAGCTGCCGAGTTAGTAGGAGTATCCAAACTTTCAGAAGATGCGAGACCAGCTGAGGCGAGACCTTCCATCTCGGGATCGAGAAGAGCATAACGACGAAGTTCATCGCAGCTGTTGCGTACATCATGGATGGCGCTGTGAAGGGCGGCAAAGTTCTCCTTATCGTCACGACGGAAACTGTCGACCAGATTACGATGAGCTATTTCTCCGCAACGGGTCAAACGGGCGCTGAGAGCAGTAGAAACCAAATTCCTCTGGAGACGCAGACGGGTATTTGCACGCTTGCGCTCCTGGTATTTGGACAGTCGTACTAGATGAGCCAGCTCTTCGAGTGTTGTACTTTCGGATTCGGGGGAAAGATGTGGATTTGTGTATTGCGAAACATCTTGTAATAATGGCTTAAATGGGGAATGCCCCTCGCCGTCGTTGTCGCTAGGCTTTAAAGAGGAGACCCGAGGGCTGTTTCTTGGTGAAGGCTGGCCTGGCATATTCGGCTGTGCCACAATGGGCTTTCTTGACGACATGACTGGTGAGTGTTGTTGACCATGACCCCGATGGTCTCTGTCTTCAGTCTGTCGTTGTGATGTCTGCTTCGATTCGCGGGTTGGGCTGGGGCTCGGAGAGCGTCGTCGTCGAGATCGAGATGGTTGTACATGAATATCGACAGATGGCGGGGGCGATCCCGAATCTTGCGCTACAGCGGACACAGCTACCGTTAATTAGCAAAAGTTGAAGACAGAATCAGGCACAGCCAGCAGTCGGGTTGTTCAGACTATGGCTGAGTGGCAACGTCGGAGACGTACTAGGAGCAGAATGAATGCGGACAGGTGAAGACAAAGATCGTTGCATAGAAACCATTCTGAGCTCAGGGAACTCTACTTCGCAAATGAGCAGCTATTATAGCTGTCGTGAGGCGCCGCTCACTGGCCTGTAAACAAAGGTATATGACTCGACAAATGCAGGCGGAAGCAAGTCGCAAGGAATATGGTTGTACGAGGATTCGAGAATGGGTGCCAGACCTGCCAGCGAAGATTGGAGCAAGTAAGGAATGACAAGGCGCGAGGTTGGAACCTGAGATGATGGATGGCGCGTTCCAAAAAGTTCTAGCGTATGAAGGACCAGGATCGTATCACGAGTTGGAGTCGCACGTCGAGTTTGGCCAAAAACAATGCAAAACAGAGAGAGATACGGAGAACGAGGGAGGAGTATGTCTATTGTTGAGCAGGAGGAGAAGAGAGGAGACAAGAGAGAAGATGTGGGAGGCGAGAGGAGTTGAGGGGAGTTTTTGGAGGTGGGGGAGAAGTAGGCAAGGTATCGTGGGAATAGAGGGACTATGGATGATATGGTGCTTGTAATAACAGCGATGGAAGGGGCCTCACAACTGGCACCTGTCGGTTGCGCCGACCGACTGCAGCATAGACCAGACGGTGATGCAGGCAGGCTCAGACAAACCAGAAACAGAAACAAACAACCTTGAACAACGAGATCGGACTGGACTTGGACTGGGATAAGCACAGGATCCAATATGATGGGGTAGAAGTATCCCATCCCCGTCCCCGTCCCCATCCCTACGCTACCTCGCTATAACGGACGGGAACAGGCGGTGCGCTACGGTAGTGGGTACAGAGCATCGTTGGCAGATGCTATACGCTAAACCTGTTACAGTCGGGAACGTCGCGGCAATGCGGGTGAGCTTGGAAGTCAATTGGCCAAACGGCTCTCTTGTGGGTCGGTACCTGAAGCCCTGTGCGATTCGCACGTGTCCATCAGCGCTGGGCGGCCTTTTTCCCCTGCCCTGGTCGGTCGGGCCGGGTCATGAGTTGTGCGTTGGCAGTGCCCAAGCGCTACAAGTATGAGTTAGGTTAAACAGATATCAAGGCTGAGTTGTTTAAAAAGACTGGCGGCTCTTGAGAGTTGTGGATTTAAGCTGTGGACCTTGAAAGAGCCGAGCAGGGCAGACTTGCGCCCTATCGTGAACACCTGTTCTTGTCCCGTAGTTATGGTTGAGAGTGGAACAAGGCATCCACTGGTTGAACCAAGTCATGATCGACTATGACGGTAGGACAATCATGACTTGCAGCGTGAGTGTGTGCCTGATTTACAATGTAGGAGTAAGTAATCTCGGTGGCAGAAAGTGTATCTTGTTTATTGTCTGTGTAACTTGAAGCTATGAGTTGTCATGCATTCCCCTCAGCCAGCAAGGATAGCAATCTATGAGGAACAAGAACACCGAACCAGGCAATTATGGCCACGAGGACAAGAGATGATGAAAAGAAGAAATTAAAAATGAATGATAACGAAAACAAAAACAAAACAAAACAAAGAAGCACCTGCATGTCTCCGTGTTCGGATTGAGTTTTACTATCGGGTAATTTTACACCTGTGTTTTAAGTTACAAGGGTTTGGACTATTGCCTCGTCCACTTATACAACTCACGATACTCATCAATGAAACCAAAACTCGAACCGTCGAATAACATGTGATGAAAGATAACAAGCTGTTCTTTTCCAACAATACTTCCCCTCTAACAATTGCTATCATCCTCCTACCAGACCTTCAACATCGCACAATGTACCCAAACCCCCCTCCCCCCATCCACACCAGCAACCAATCTAATCGCACCACGCCAGTTCCCTCTATGCGAGGCAAAGACAACAGTTGCTGCAACTCTACAAGCAGCAGCTGGGTTGTGTGTGCCAACGCATCCCCCTCCAAGACCACCAAGACACCAATCATGCGCTTACCTCCACATGCATCCTCTTCCAATCACTGACTGCCAGACGAGTTCTGCGCTGAGAGCTCACCCAGGACCCCCAGCCATTCATATTTGTTAGACAGACCGACTCGTCGACTCTCTAGCCAGTTACACAGCCGTATTCGGTATATTATCGACTATTCTCAGCTGCCTCCGGCTCTAACTCGCCACTTTAGTCTAATGCAACTATCCTTATTCGTCTGAATATCCAGTGAACGACATTTGTGCTACCTACTCGACTCGAATTGTAATTTGTACAGGCGGTGCGCTGGCCATGCTGCTCCACCATCAAAACTCCACCGCCTCCCAACAATTCACGACAACTTCATCCGTATCTAGCTCCCGCCTTTTCCCCAGCCTCTATGTCCTCATTCAGCCGAGGATGTCTTTCCTTTCATGCACGTCAGCGCGTGACTATCCCAACAGCGGTTGACAGGTTGCCATGGTGTGTTGTCATTACCCATGAACAGTCATCAACACCCATCGACGTAGCTGTCGATCCAGCTCACTGCTAAGGCTCTTCACCTAGGTTATACCCTACAGCCACATGGCATCTTTGGACACCGTTCTTTTCTAGCCCAATCGGTACACTCATCTCATCTACTTCATCTACGTCTCCGACTGGCCAAATCATACAAGCTCACCCTAGTTGCACAAGTTCTTCTAAAACCCTGCTATGCATCCGTTATTGAATGCATCGCCAGGACATGTCTCACATCAGAAGCATTGATCTTAATAGACGCATAAATTCATAGATGCATAGACAAGTGAAGTCTACATCTTAGCCAATGAAGGGTATAATATCAACGCTCCAACCAAAACCCAAACCAGTGCCATATTAGGCATGTCGCAACTCTGCCACGAGCTGTATGCTCACTAAACCATTTTTTGTCATGTACTCAATATCTTTCGTCCAGTTTAACGGCTTGGGATCCCATTAGATTCCCCTCCCAAACCGAATATCAAAATCCTTCAGAACGCTCATTATACTTGCTGCTTCAACCTCAATCGGCATCATCGCACCAGGTGGTGCTGGCCGAGTACCTGGTCTAGGTGTAGCCTTGAGCTTGGGCAACCAAGAGCCGATATCATCAGCCGCCTTGGAAAAGTTGCGATGACTGGATAGTGTCTGGTATGCCTCAGCACAACTCAAACCCAGGCTTGGTAGACTTGGGAGGTTGATCTTCTCTGGTTGCGGTGGCTTCTGGGACTTACAGCAGCCGCCACCAGCACCCTTGCCACCACAGCAGCCACCAGAGCTGCCGTCCTTACGATTCAAGTTGGCGGCCATTAGGCGGCAGAAGAGTCCAGACTTGGGATCGGCCTGACACTGAGCACAAGTACCAGGACCGTTGGGACCACAGCCACGACGCTCAGTCGATTGAGTTTGGGGACGGCGAGAAGGAAGCTTGACAGCACCGTCGGCCGTCATCTCCATAGCGAGAATAGGAGGATCAGTATCTTCAGGAGGTGGGGTCTGAACCTGCTGAGAGATGGGAGGAAGAGTATCATTAGGAGTCATGGCGGGAGTCGCGAGAGCGGTATCAGCGCAGACGCAGTAGGTTCCATCCTTGCAGAAGCCGCAGCCATCTCTGAAGGGCATAGAGTCCATGGAAGGGAGTTGAGAAGGAGCAGAAAAGGCCTCTTGGGTCTTGCGGGAGAACATGGCTGTGAAATCAGTCTCAGCGTCGGCATTAGATCGATGCCTCTTCTCAGTAGATACGTTAGCCGATGGTGAGGCAGGACGCTTCAACTCTTGAGATCGATCAAGAGCCTCAGCTACTTCGTCGAGACACTGGCAATTTGATGTAAGAGTGCACTTGCCGCAGCCATTAGCCGCGGAGTTCAATACCTCCTCGGCACAAGCACAAGGTCCATTTGGAGAACAGTTGCCACAAGTTATGGCTGTCTCAGTATCGTTGGAAGTGCTCATGTCGAGGGTTTCTGGAGGAGAGATGATTTGGGAGATGGAAAAGGAGTGGCCTGATTGACGATCAGGTCGTGCATCAGGAAGACTGTGTCTCGGTCCCTGACTGGTGGGACTGTGAAGTCCTTCAAACGGGTGCTGAGAACTCATGCTTCGGGATTGAAAATTTGAGTTAAAGACACCTTCATCTAGACGACGTTTGAGAGTCTCGGCTTCTGTCTCGACTCTGATACGGTCCTGTCTCTCTCGCTCCAGCATGTTTTCAAGTAACATGCATCTAGATCGGAAGGATTGGACATCGAGTTCAAGTTCGTGGATCTTGTCCTTGAGCTCTGATTCATGTTTCTCCTGGGCCTCACGTTGCTGATCAAGTTGTTCCTCAAGCTCTCCAACACGAGCAGCCCTCCTCTCTCGGAAGGCCCTCTGAGCTGCGCGGTTTTGAGCCTTGCGCTTAGTGGGTGGTGTATCGGTAGCGGGCTTCCTGCCAGGCTTGGGCCTTGGAGGAATCACCCATTCTTTAGAGGTCATAGACACCTTTGGAGGCTCCGGCGGAGCCGGCTGGGGGCTGATTACGGACGACATGGCCATCTTGTTGATGGAAGGAAGAGCAGTGCGCTGCTGAGGTTGTGTGGGTGGAGGTGGCTTCGCACTCGGCTTAATGGAGAGTGGCGTCCTGTGGCTGTGGGGACCCGATGTGGCTGGTGAGGCAGCAGGACTTGGTGCAGCTGAGATGGCACGATGCCTGGTTCCTGACTGTGAAGCGACAGGTGTCCTAGCTCCAGGGGATGCAATGGACTGAGGTGATGAAGCCGACATGGTGGGAGTCGACGAGTAATAGATGTTGTGGTTGTGGCGAGATCGGTTCTCTTTTCGGTCGGTTGTGCCAAATCGGGTCGGAGTTCCGAGAGGTAAATCTTGAAAGATTTGCCGAATCAAGTTTGTCAAATAAAAATCGCCGTAATTGAGTTGTTAATGTTTCTTGCTCCAATCCGAGCTCTTCGTGGACGTCAATGGTGGTTTGGGTTGACAGTCAATGCTGCAGATTGATAAGATTGGTTGGGAGCGTAGCTGACGCAACTGCGATGTGACAGCTCGGTGCGATCTCGGCTTTGGCCTCGGTTGATTGATAACGGCTGAGAGCCAGATTGACAGATTGATAAGGTGATGAACCCATCCGAGTACAGGGGCCGGAGGATTTATAAAGGATCATCAATCAATCAGAACAAAGTTGGAGAGGGGAGAAAGGGTAGCAGAGAAGGAAATTAATCGCGGGGTGCCTCGTTACTTTTGTGCCCCGAGCACAACCGACGGTTGGGAAGCCAATGGTCCGATTCCAGGAGAAGATAGTGGACCTGATCAGATTGATAAGATTTGATTGATAAAAGTTTTGCGGACGTCACACGCCAGGCACGAATCATTTGCGCCAGGCATTCAGAGACAACCAGCCAGATGAAGTTTCATCAGATTACGACCGAATTGAACAGCAACTTTTCTCGTAATTTGATTGCCGACCAGGCATTTTTCAGGCATCCAGTCTCAGCGATGGATCTAATCAGTCATAACTTTTGGTGGCTCCGCAACACCTTGACCACCTAAACGCATCCAGCCGTGAGACCCTCAGAGCAAGTTATTAAAACTCAATTATTGACGCGACAGTCAGAATTCGGCATTTTATCAGCAGTAGCTCGTCGATCTTGCTGATAATCCTCCGCGGCAGTTCGAATCACGTTGCACAATATTCGCATTCTCGTCATAATGTAACGAAAGGTAACATCATCACTGAAGATCTCCAATGGCCGTTCTCTGTTCAATGGGTTCCTCCACCGAAGCCCCTCCAAAGCATTGACACCCACCTTCTTAATTCGTCCGAGGCTCGGGGCTCACCTGGACTTGGCCGGCATAAGTCGGAGTTGCACGAGCGAATCCGTGATCACGCAGCCATCAGATAAGATCCTTTCAGGATGCATAACTTTAGTACCAATCCCAGGGTCTCCCTCCGACTTCGCTGTGCAATGGCTTCAACTCTCAGCCCTCTCTCTATACAGGCCTGGAATCCCCATGGAATTTGCGGCGAACTGTTGGGAAATGGCCCGCTCACGTGGGTGAAGTCGTTATATCCGGACTGGAACAGCCGATCATAGGACCTTAATTGAACTTGCATTTTCCGTCCATCCAGCGGCTGGTGGTTCGTGCCACTTGATGTTGGGGCAAGCTACTAAGCTTGGGACCAGATGATGTGACATTGAACTGTAGCAAGGGTTCAACGCCGCCTGAAACAGCACGGAATTTTTGGCATCTGACATGGTCAATTTGAAGAGGCTCGATGTTCGATGATACCAATCAACTCGAAACCCTTGTCTTCAGAGGGATATTGACTGACTCCAATTCTCGATCTTCAATACGTTCAAGCCAGCTGTCCTTTAGCCTGGACTTATCCTCGGTAACATATGCTTCGGATCAGTTCCTCAAACGTAATGCGATCTGCTTCCTCTGACTTTCTCTTTGCCCGTCCAGTTGATTCGGACATGGTATTCAGCGCTCGATCTCCACGGAGCTAAACCCTTTGCCAGGTTACACGGAGCAAGTCTAGAACCAACATGTCGATGATGGCCAATGGGAAAGGGCTCCTCACACGGAACTTGGAGTTCCAGATAAGGTGATCTTGGCGGTCGGTATTCCTGTCGGGAGCAATGGGCTTAAATCCAGGGCCGTGGGCGACGGGAAGAGTTCTTATATTCTCTCATTCTTGAGGAGACTATCATAAGAATAAACTCTAACTTAGCAGTGAAAATAGACATTTAATTAACCTTAATATGTTATATGTTCATATTATGGAAGATAGATATTCTGATATTGTTCTTATTAATATATGGAAATAAAATCGCATTAAGAGTGATCAATATGCCAGTTCAAAGATCTGGGGTCCATCGATAAGATCACAACATCCAATCAAGGCTAGCGCCGCCTAACTTCACCATCACAAGCTCCTCCACCAAATCCATGCCACCTAACCTTTAGCCTACGTCGAGACACTTACAGACGACCACCCGGTATACAACCACCCATAATGGCCGCCGCGCCAGACAACCTCTCATCCTCCATGGCAGATCTCAGAGTATCCGCTCCATTTACACTCTCCGGCTCAGACACTTCCTCTGTCGATGAAGATGCTCCTCTCCCATTTCCTGAAGCTCTCCCACGCGCCGACTTCTTAGCTCAAGACTTCCAACCTGCCGCCTATCTATCTGCTTTACCACATCGCCACCAAACTCTCGAGGATTTGCGATCAGATCTTCGCGACAGGAGTGCTGCGATCAGCTCTGAACTTCTCGAGCTCGTCAATTCGAACTACACAGCCTTTCTTTCGCTCGGCAGCGAACTGCGCGGCGGCGATGACAAGGTCGAGGATGTCAAGGTTTCTCTACTTGGTTTCCGACGAGCTGTAGAGGAAGTCAAGACGAAAGTTACGGAGCGAAAAGAGGAGGCGAATGCCCTCAACGGAGAGCTACGTGGCGTACGATCAGCTATTGAGAAGGGGCGTAAGATGATTGAGCTCTCTGAGCGTCTCGCATCACTAGAAGAACGCCTGTCCCTGGATAGTTTACCGAACAATGAAGAGTGGGACGAAGAAAGCGAGGAGGAAGACGAGGACGACAACTACGGAAGCTCCCCAACAAGGCTCCTTGTTTCGGCACAAGAATGCAGCCGCATCACAAAGCTACTCGAGTCTTTAGACCCAGATGCCCCGTTTGTGATCAAGATGGAGGAACGTTTGACACGGTGCAGAAACACGTTGCTGCTGGACTTGGGCAATGCTCTAAAAGAAGCAAAGAAGGCTGGTGTAAAAGGACAGGATAGAGTGCTGAAATGCCTGGCGATATATAGAGTGCTAGATGCACAATCAGAGGCCGTCAAGGCCCTCAGAGGCAGTTCATAGCCACAATGAATAATGATACCCACGACGCTCACAAGGTCTATTCTTAATATGACATATGATACAATTATACAAGCTCAAGGCTATTTTTACATGATGCTCGACAATGCCTCGGGGGTAATCTGCTCCTCTGCATCCTTCAACTTTCCATTCAAGCTTATGCCAGGTCCATGGGTTGTGCTGAGAATAACCTCGTGAACCTCCTTGTGCACTTCCTCTGAAATCTCCGCACACTCCGCCTTGACCTTGTTCAGCAACACCTTGATGTTGTTCTTGAGCTGATCCGGCGAGTAACCCAACTGTCCAATAGCCATACGAATAACACCCTGTCTCTCACGGTAATCAGCTGCACCAGCAGAGTCTCGCATCGACTTGACGACGTCGGGGACGATGGTTCGCATACGCTTGCTGGGCATGAGACCCTTGGGACCGAGGATTTTTCCTAGACCGGCTTTGTTGAGAGCTCCTTCGCTGGCCTCGTGGCAGATGAGACGGTCGAAGTTGATCTGTTCCTTTTTGATGGCTTCGAAGAGGGTTTCTTGACCGACGGCTACAGCACCTGCGGCGGTGGCTTGCTGAGCGATCTCGCTGCCTTCGGGGCAGATGACGGCAATTTGCCAATCGCTCTGGACGGGGTGAGGAAGTCGGACGCTGTTCTTGATGACGGGTCCGTTTCGGGCGGTCTTGAGGTTGATGTGAATTTCGTACTTGACCGAAGCAGGCGGTTGTCCAACTTCAACGGCTCGTAGGACTCTGTAGAATATTAGTCTCCCCCGCTTGGTGCCATGTTCCCAATCCCACTGACCTCATAGCTTCACATAACGAGTATTGAGGAAATTCCCTCTTGGACAAGTTATGTCTCTTGAAGTCCTTAGGCAACGCCTTCTTCTTCTTTGTCTTCTTGATTCTCACAACCGAAGCCTGTCGAACTTGTTGAGCAGCCGCCGGGGCGAGGAACTTCGGTATCGTGGGAATTGCCGGTCGAGGAGTCTGGAGGAGGGATAGCCTGGCCATGGAGGCCAAGCAGCGGTCGATTGGCGCCATTGTGAGGGGTTAATTGAGAGCTCTGGCGGACCGGCCCTTGATCGTGATACTTAGATGGCGCAAAAAGTCGAGGTTGCTAAAGTGTTTTAGGTGGGCCTGGAATGTCAGGTGTCGACGCTTATCGATAAGCCCCATCGACTTAATGAGACGTGAACCTGGGAATGGAATCACTTTTGTTTTGGCGGAGAGATACTTGAGATATTGAATTGATTTTGCTAATATAGTCTATATACATGTAAACCTACTCAAATCACTCGCTATATCACTCGCTATCTAATCAACACAAACAAGCATGTCCTTCAACTTGCCCAACACAATCTTCTGTCGCGCAGCATCAGCAGTCGTCTTATCAGCAGCATCACCAACACTAATAGAAGCAAAACATCCGTCCTTCAGAGCAATCTCAGTCTCAGTAGGAAGGCGATCCTCGCCGCACCATTCAGTATCACGCTCAGACAGAAGACCAGTGTTGATGCGGGTCAACACCCACTGGAACTTGGACGCATCAGTACATTTACCCTCAACCTTGCCAAAGTTGACGTTGAGATAGACATCCTTGGGCAGGTAAGGCTTTCCAGAGTCGACAATCTTCTTGACGAGAGTGGTCGCGAGCTCAGCGTAGACAAGACTGCGCTTGGGGACGGGGCTAGTGTTGAAGGCCGTATTTCCGGTAGAAGCTCCAGAGAAGGCAATGGCTGGGATGCCCTCTTCGTGAGCAGCATAGCAAGCGGCGCCGACGGTGCCAGAGAAAGGAACTTGGAGCCAAAGGTTGGTTCCAACGTTGGGACCAGCGACAGCAAGCTCAGGAGCGGCGCCATCCCACAAGCTAGGACCAAAAGTGTCGATACCGTACTTCATTGAAGTGACAGGGAACGAGTTGACCCAGTTAAGATCAGGGCGCTCGGGATCATGACCAACAGGGCCGCTGTTGGCAGGACAGCTGTCGTACTGACACGCCGTGGTGCGGTCCTTGGGCTTCTCATCCCTAGAGCCTATATGATGTTAGATGTGATCGAAACGCGTCTTTATGTGACTTACTGCTGCCAGACTTGTTCTCTGCAGGAGCCGAGAGAACAACGTCGTAACCCGCACTGTTCAAAGCGTCATTGAAAGTGCGGATATATGACTCTGCCCAGCCATCATCGTTAGATTGAACGATTCTCACAGCCTGAACCGCAAGGGGCAGAATAGCAACAGAAACGAAGGACTTCATGATGACTGAGTTGAACGAAAGAAGGTGGGAAACAAAAAAAAAAAAAACGCGGGTTTCATACCAGGAGTTTCGAAACTATATATCCCCTTTCGCATAATCCATCCCAATATCTGATTCCTCTAATCATCCACTCCGTCCAATACCACCCTCGTGAGCTCTTAGTGCACCCTAGTCCCAAGCCACCAATCAGCATGCATAGCATCCTCCTCACCAGGTTCGCATCAACGCTTGAAACCCCCAGGTCATCAGCATCGACCACCCACGTGCCGATCACCAGAGCTAATCAGCGACAGCCCAAGACAGTTTCGACGTTCATCATTTCCACGTTCACAGCTCAGTGGTAAATGACCCCTGGGACGCATGCAGGTCTGAAGAGCGCGTTTATTCACATTGAGGCAACGGCCCGAGCCGTTCGATAAGTTTTTAAGCTTTTCAGAGGGATTCGGTGACTGTTTTGAGGGTTGGTCCGGGGTGGAATCGCGAACTGCCGTAATCGGGTCAAGAGCCGGCGCCGGTTCGGGCGGAAGTGGAGAAAGCTCCGGGCTCGCTACCGGAGTGCGACTGGGTTGAATGTAACGGCGACGATCATCGAGAATTGTAATTGCATGTGACATTCAAGATATTGAACACTTCCACAAGCATGTCCCGGTGGTACCCAGTACTCAATAGAGAAAAAGCATGAAGGTTAAGGATAGTGGAAAACTCAGGATTTTAATCGTAGGAAATTAAAAGAAAAAGACAAGTTTAGGGTAAGCTTGGTAGACTTGAGTGTCATCTTTCCGCCTGCTGGTAGCAAATGGCAGTCTTGGATGTGTTGACAACTCAAAGTGGAATATAGTTTTCATCACAATAGGTAACGCTGTGGTATGGATGAAAGAATGTATAAGCTCCATTATCTTGGCGGAAACGGACCGTATCGTATCCTCCAGCTCTCAATCATGGAAGATAGGGTCTATCATTAAGGTACTGTCACTGGTTTGCGGATATGGCCAACTACTATGCAACTGAGTTCCACCACATATGTACTTCTATCACATCGAGCTCCTTGTTGAACCCTGGCTCCTACTTTTCGGCAACTCAATGCAAGAAGTCGACGACTAGTGCATGGTTTCGTTAGTAATGACTTCTTTTCCGTGGTCTTTACGCCAGTGCTCACCAGGAAGATCAGGAGCGTTGATATCTACTCTCACGATCTGAGCCATGATAGACTTCGCCTAACCTGTACGTCAAGTTCCGGGTAGAGAAGAATGCTCGCGCCTTCTTTTTCCATCGGATTTCCCCTATGACAGGGTTCTGACTCTGTCCGGGAATTTGTTGCTGTAGACAATAACCGCGTAGTCAATGTTATACATGACCTCAGGTATTGAGGAGTGGCTTGTTGTTGCTTGTGCAGTGGTCGGCAACCACATTTCCAACTCGCGATGAGCTTGCACAGGTTCGCTTAGCACCTTTCATCGTACAGTAGAGTTGGCTCCCAGGTGAAATTTCCTTCTGTAATATCATCAATTCATGCCAGCAATTCCTCGATGAGTATCATGTATAACTAGTTTCCTGTGCGTCATCATATGCAGATAGTGCGTCTTGAGTAGGAGCCCGAAAGAAGACGGGAGGTGGTGTTGAGCACAGCCGAACTTATACTTCTTTATAGCTCAGGCCTGAGAACTGTCGAGTGTTTCTAATGCTACGACTATTGTGGTCGCTTTGCTGTAATGGCATTCTCGAGGTCATCGACGTTATAATACAGCATTTATAAGGTGTAAAGAAACTCGTGACACGAAAGCGCAAAGCATGACATTACTCATGAAGCTATGTGTGATCGTTGGTGAAGGGGCTCGTTTCGTCACCGATTATGCCGGAGTTTGTATGCATCATTGGCGGTAGAATGTTTGATATAACATCTGATAAATCTGGCTCATTGATGTCTCCCTTAACAGCTTCCAAGCTCATCAAGGTCTCGGCCAGACCGCGACTCCCCCCCTCCTGTCTATTGCAAAGCTGCTCACTACCACCAGTGATGGTTCAGACAGACTGGAACCTTTGAACATTCTGTGACCTTAGACTAACTAGGTTAAAGCTAGAATTTTCATGAATTGAGACTACTACAGTAAAGAAAGTCAAGCTCTGTGTATTTTATTTACCTGGTCTGCACTGATTACAATTATTGCTAACACTTCAAATTACCACTACGCCAAGATGGGAGTTAAGGAAAGTTCTGTAACTCAGCTGTCTTAATATACTACCTAAGGTAGGTAGTGTAGAAATACATTTTGTGACAGAAAACTTTCATACTCTCTCACCATTTAAGTGTTCTCCCCCAAAGCCAGCTTTCGCTCTCACCGTCCATTTTGACAGTATATATACCACTAGTAAGTATAGGCCTCCCTGCAATGAATTGAATGCTGATCAGGATCTCCATAGATCACCTGGAGTGGTGCATAGAGAGGTCAACCAACTGTCGAAAGGCTTCAGACCTCCATTTCAGGGTTCCTGGCTATTTTGCCCCCACGAGGCGGGATGCTACAACCAATTACGTTTCTAGCAAGCGTTCCTGATAGAGCCGTGTGTTGAAGAATTATGATACAAAGAACGAAACCTTCAATTAGAAAACAAGAGTGTCATCCACGCATGAGCATTGGGGCCCAAATATTATGGAGTCAGCACTTGTAGCAGGAAAAATACCAGTAATGGCGACAGTGGCAAACACCAGCACCTCAATTGCAAATACCCCCAGATCGTTTGTTGCAGTCGTTGGTCTCAGAGAGCTTCGTTTTGCATTTGATCAAGGGTGGCCTGCTATCCTCAAGGCGTTTGACCACTTCAGTGGTTTGTGGACATGAACTTATTCTCGACAGAGTCAGTTCCCTTGGTCTAGCGCATACAATGACTAGAACATGCAAGTCTTTTCAGGGTCCTAAATCAGTTAGACTAGTATAAGATTCTGATTTAATTCTACCGGTTCGTGTGTCTAAGTAGGATGGCTCTGATTGTGCGTGGAAATGGTGGGAAACTCTGCGATCAAACTGCATTTGATGCGCCGTATGTGTGGCTGCAATATCAGTGCAAGCATGGTGCTTTCTGTTTATTTCATTGCAAACAAGATAGGAAATGTTTAGAATAATGATTGCGATGATGCTTGTCAAAAGTGACTAAATCATGTTGATTGCTCACTTCCCGTGCATGGCGTTTGCTTTCTTTGTTTCATCCATGCAGCTATCCGGACCATCATTTCAACATGATAGGGGACGAGTCATTTTAAACTCAGAGAAGAAAAATGGAATGTCAGAAATGAAGAGGTGGGTAAACAGAGTTGCTCCTGATGGCAACCATACCTGTATCAGCTTCCAAAGCAGCTTCCAAAGGCCGGGAGGACTTGATGAAACCTGGGATCACTGCCACCAAGACCGCCAGCAGGGGTTGGAGTCCGCAATCAGACCTCGGCGCGTCCATTTCATTGGCCCTGACTTCAAAACTGCCGAAAAGATTGTCGACGCAGGCAGGCCTCACCTCATCACGAGCAACACCCGTCGTCGGCTGATCTTCGACCTCGAGACAAGACAACCCGTTACCGTAACCACACAATGCTCAAACTCCGAAGAGAAGCAACAGATGAGTTGGGTGCATCGATTCAGCAGAGAGAGCACAAACATATACACACAGCCAGGGTTCTGCTATGGGGCTGGACATCGTCGACACATGAGAGTTCGGGATGAACAGCTTGGGGGCTTTTTAACAGCTTTGAGCGAGTTTGGCAAATGGCCTCTCGGTATTTCCAACGTCGTGCGTCTTTTTGATTCCAGAGGAGAAGAATCGCAAGTCGCCACCGATATTGGGCAGCGACTCACTCGGCAAGGGATCCTTAAACATGATGCCAAGTCGACCACAACGTGGTCACTGGCTCTTCCTAAGGAAACTCGCCAGGCTTTCTATAGAGTTATTCCCCTTGTTGGGTACGATCATTGTCTCGCGCTCTTTCTGAGTATCAAGTCCAAGAACCCTATGGTTAATACAGCCAAAGCGCAAATGGCAGCGACAATCTCGGGGAGTAGCACGAACTGCTTTGACTTTGTTGGCAAAACAGCCCCTGAAATCCATGAAACCAGTGACGCAGCCCGAATTGGTCTCTTCAAGCATGTTGCGCATACTAGTACTGTCATGAAAGGTCTTGGACTCATAAAGACTGCGATAACCGCATCACGCTTTTCTATGATCTTACCAGAGATTTACCTCGTCGATAAGCAAATTCGTGTCAGCATGAACGAAGTAAAGCACGCAATGGAACTATGCAGAATGTTACTCGAAGTCCCCAACACGTGCGGTTACAACGTTGAGGAAGCTTTGCCTTTTACCCAGGAAGAAGCGGAGGCTATTGAATTCGATCAATTCATGGAAGTCTGGTCACATCTCCTGAGAGCTTATTCCAAATCGCTCTTGTCACAGTCAACAGACACGGCGATATATTCATAACGGACCTTGTGTCTCAAATACGCCTCGAAGCAAGTTTCGAGGTACGGCACAGTCTCGAATGGCCGGTTATCCCGAAGAACAAGAAGGATTACGCCATGGGCATTTACACTAGAGCTACTCGTGAGCGAGGGAGGACTACGATTCAAGACTGGAATTGGATCCCGCGGAAGGTTTGGGATCGCTGGGGTGCTGAGTTGCCAGGGGGCATTGAAGGGCTGCGAACGAAGTTTAAGTTGACGAAGAATCATGATGAGGTTGTTGATGATACTTGAGTGGTGGGTTGCTTTGATAAAGAAAAGAGGCGTTTGAACAAAGTGATGTGATACCGTTATTAGCATAGTTCATTGTATTTAACTGTTTATAAGTATTATATATGATTGTGGTTTCGTTTTGGGTTTGCACTGGCGAAGATGCCATTAAATGTTAGTTGCAGCACTGTTCCAACGACTGCCTTTCGGCGAATACCCTTACCGAAGCTTGCAGAAGATATTCGAGTTTTGTCTAAATACTTTATAATGTACCCAGAGTAGATTACTTATCCATAAACTGTTACTCTTGGCATAGAAGTTAAAAGTAGGGCCTGAATCAATACTGTTCTACAGACCTACGCCGGTCCAGAGGGGAGCTGCAGATACGAGTAATCAAACAGCTTGGAATCATGACCGTTATCATTGTGCTTGGGTTTTGGTTAAGATCTTAATATAAAGAGTTATAGATATCCTTCGAGTATCAGCACAACAATATATACCTTTTTGTTTCCTTCTTAGTTTAAGCCAGTGCTGGCATATACATGGTAGCCGAAATCACTTTATCATTGGGAATCAATAGATTGGGGAGCCAGATGAATTCTCTGAATACTAATTAACTTTCCTCCGTATTCCTCTTTCTGCTCTCAATTCATCTTGGTCCTGATCAACCATGCCCATGTCCATTCCTTACCCGAGTTGCCCGTGAACATTTAATAGCGATAACTTGTTCAACTTGACAGCGCTGAACATGATCTGTTCAAGACTTGTTGTTACCTGCCGTTGGTTTGGGACTTATTAATATATCGTACTCCTGCCATCCTCTATCATCTCATTCCTTCGCGAGTGCTGTCAACCCCCCGAAGTTAGTCATACGTTAATCACTCAAGGGCGGAAGAACTTATTGTCGCCTCTGATTGCCTCTCCTCTAGGGTCATCAGGCCTAGCTCTTGCTGAGCATCTGGCTCTCACTCCTAACGACGCTGTCCATGGTTCGCCTGCGGTCTCTGGCCTCTTCCGGCGCTCATGTCTCCACCATAGTAGACCTTGGCATTCTCCCAGGAAGAGGTGCGAGGGTCGATACCTCCCAGCTGCTCAGTGTCACGACGATGCTGACCAAGGAGGAAGGGATCTTGAACGTCGCAAGAGATGTAAAATCTCTTGCTATGCTGAAGGCTCCAAGGGAGTCCAGGGACGAGAGTGTTTGGATTCTCGCGCATGAAGTCAAACAGCATAGGGTACCAGAATTTCCCAGTCAGAGGTGGCTTATTTGCCCTGTTGAAGACCATCAGATTGATTATCTCCAGCTTGTCATTCTTGGGGAACTCGGGGCACTTCCAGGTGGAGTGTCTAGAAGAGTTGCAGATGGCGCAGCCACCGATGAAGCCACTTTCACGGACTCGATGACACATGGCTACCGTGTGGCCTCTGTCTTGACAATTACCACAGATCGTCGGGTTAGTGGCTGCATTACAGCGAGTGTTGGTGTCTCTCAGTTTGAAGTAGATCTGGGGATCAACTTGCTCGAGGGCGAGGCAGTCCCTGGCCGAGACGATCCGCTGTCGCTTTGCCATGTTAGACAGCATTTGGGGCCCCGTGTTTGGTGGTTCTGTCGAGAGTCCTGCGTTCCAAGAGAGAGTGATGGGTTCGCCTAGCTGGAACATGCCCTCAATCGCCTGTATGGCAGCTTCACGGTTGAGGAAGCTTGCACGGCCTTTGGCTTTAAGTACTCCATAGTCAATGCTATGATCGACCGCGTTCATCTGGGACATGCTGCCACGGCGGCCAGCGAACACAGTCTGGTTCGCGGCATGGGCCATGTTCGTCTGTTCACCATGCTCTGCGTTGTTCTTGCGCTTAGTGCCTCTATAGGCCTGGTTAGGGTAAGCTTCTTGACCATCACTCCCTGGCTGGCTTTGACTGGCTGACAGGCCCTGATACTGATGGTAGTTGTCGTTCATCGAGAGATGAATAGCATTGTTGACTGCCGCACCGAGTGATTCGAGATACGGAGGCTGGGGGTGGCAAGTTACTGCAGGGGGTGGAGGCTGTTGAGGAGCACGCTGATAGTGGCCATCGTAGTGAGGGTAGTTGTTTGGGAATCTGCCATATCCTTGGGGATACAAAGCAGGTTGCTCGTATTCCCATCGCTGCTGGCCGTAGCTAGGACCTGGTGTGTCGTTTCTGGACCCTTGAGGCTGGCCACTAACACGACCTCGTCCGATGTGAGGAGGAATATAGCCTCGGCCGCCCGCGTATGGGTATCCGCGGACGTTAGCCCGATGGTTGTTGAAGGACATCGTTCTGCTGCTGATGTATTGTTAATATTACCTGCAGTATTGAAGTTAAGTGTAGTGGAAGGGAAACGTGAAGTTGAGAGGAGAGAGAAACACAGAAGAAAATATATTGTCGATGGAGATATTGGATGCCTGGCATGGACACTCGCGTTGACGGCCGTTGCCAGTGTCAGGGCAAAGTCCTGCCACTCCCAGACATCAACTCACACTCCGGCCAGTCAATGTACACTCACGCCCTGTTGCACTGGAAGTATGCTTGAAGATTATACATTTCATTAATTATTTACTCATTATGATCGTGAACAATCAGCATTGCCCCTTTTCCGAGACATTATCTCCTAAACCCAGTTGTTCCATGCTCAATGCACATCCTGTCCCCCATAGGCGTATGAATAGGCCCATACGTCCAACTCCCTCCAAGTCCCTGGACTGCATCCTTCCGTTTCCTTGCACTCATCGCCGCTACACCCTCGAGACCTCTTACCCACGGTGCATCAGCAACGTACCAAAGTGCACCAGCCAGACTTCGTGGATCGACGGGCAAGTCGGGCCACTTGACCAACAGACTCGACAGCATGGCGAAGACCATGATGAGAAGAATACCAATGCTCAGACGGGAGCATATCTCGTGGGCTTCACTTGTCTGTGTGAGACTGTATGGTACGTTGGCGAGCAGGATCGGGAGAAACTGGGCGAGGAGGGTGGTGAAGGCTGTGAAGAAGAGGAGAGGGTCGCGGATTCGAAGAGCAACGAAGAAGCCGGAGACTGGGTTTGTTGCTGGTGTCATGAGGACTGATCGTGTAGGAACTTGAGGGTCTTCAGCCATTCGACGATAGGGTGTGATAACAGCGACACCTGACAGGTCAGTATATGTATCAAAAAGGGGATTAGAAGCGGCTTACTGGTGAAGAGGAACTCCCAGCAAAAGACAACAATGACACCAAGCGCAGAACAAACAAATCGTACACCAAAGTCTTGGCTCTCCATCAACTTCTTCATGTTATTGGGCAAGTGTCCAAACGTATCGACAAAGTGATAGTAGCTGATGAAACCAAGCAGACAGATCAAAAACACGAGGAATGTGAAGCGATACCAGAAACTCAATGCCATGAACGTCTGCGGTGCTCGACGACGAGTCTGTGGACGATACGCCATACCCTCTTCATACGGCGTGTTACCATAGGGGGCTATGATATCACGGTTGATGTCGCCGACGACAACAAGACCATACTCGTCTCTACCTTCTTGATTGCGGAACCATCCCATAGCAAACCTCTTCTCTGTAACAGCGCCCTTCAAGTCTTTCCAATCTTGAGCACCCATCGATCGAATCTCGGGGTTACGAGCAACAAGCGCCGCCGTGTTGGCAGCACACCAGGGATTCGCAAACACGCCAGTTCGCCAGTGACGACTAATAACGCTGAGTGTGAACATGAGTAGAATGGCGATTGCACCGAGAAGACCGACGAGCGCATAGGCAGCTGTGTTCGAAACACCAAGTTCAAGAGCACAGCCGTCAATGGCACCCTTTTTGCAGCGTCCATAGATCTTGAGACCGACAGCTTCACTGGACAACGGCGCCGCGATACTTGATGCCCACAGAGCGAGTGCCGTCAAGAACGGAAGAGGCTGGTTGTTGAACAAAAGCTTGAACGGAAGATAGATACTCATCCATCCATCGAAACTCAGCAACAATGCCTCACGGCCCAAAGCACCGCCCTGCCTTGTCAAGGCGGCAAAAGGCTGATACTGCTGCGCCGACTGATTCAACGCTCGAATCCCCATCGCAAGAAGAACAGCAACAATAGGCGGTAGAAACTTTCCAATGAAATACCCCGAATGCGTAAGCGTATGCGTCGTAGCCTCAACAACAATCTTCGTATCACCAGTCGGCGTCTCAACATCCGTAACAACAACCTTTGTCGGCGGCACAGTTGTAACACGCGTAGTCCCAACAGGCGTGGAAACAGACGTTATAACCTGTCCACCCGCCAGTGTCTGAACCATAGTGACAGGCGGGGGCGCATCAACTACTGTCTTGACCGTAGCAGCGACTTCACTGGTTCTGACCCTTGTAACAGGAGGTTTCGCTACTTTGCCCTCTGAATCTATAGTGAGAACCGAGTAGATCGTTGTCGTTCCAACAGAAGCGTAAACAATTGGTGGACCAGTCCGTGTCGTTTCTCGAACGGTTGTGCGGACGGCGCCGTTTTCTTTTACGGTGATGAGGGTTTTTGTCTGGCCAGGCTGGACGACTGTTGTAGGCTGCCACTCTTCAGGGGGGACTGACTCTTCGGGGATGAAGGATGTGAAGGTTGATGCGGCCTCGGTGATGGTTTCGGTGAGGGTGGTTTCGCCTGTTTCTGTGATGGTCTCAGTTGTTTTGGAGACTTCAATTGAGCCTGGTTCTGTGACCATTGTTGTAAAGACAGATTCGACGAGGGCTGTTGTCAGAGTACCGCCTTCAACATCACCAGTTGCAGCAGGTGTGTCGTCTGTAGGGACAGGCTCAGGCTCGGGTTCTGAGGCTTGAGATTCTTCAGTCCCAGTGTCGGCTGTTGGTTCCGGTTGAGATGGTTCGCTTGCGACATCTTGTCTCTTCATGTAGAACAGATTTTCATTCGTGATTCTAAACGAGCGACTCTCGAGGGTGGCTGTCTTATCGTCGCCATTTAACGTGCGTGTAGCATAGATGATCAATCCCATAAGACCCAGCAACACAATAATCAAGGCGCTGATAAAGGGCCATCGTAGAGGAATTGGTCGGTAATCAGGTCTCTCTCGTTCCCGCTTCTCAGGTGGTCCCGCATCTGTCTCGACAGGATACACCTCTTGTGCAGTGACAGGTTTATACTCGTATGTAGTTTGCTGTTGTTGCGGCTGTTGCTGCTGATACGGCTGATAAGGTTGATACGACTCATTCTGCAAATACGGCGGCTGATACATCTTGACGATCGCAGAGCTTGTGTATCCAACTTGAGTCGCGTGCAAGGAAAGGAGGCTTTATTAAACTACCACAACCTCCAACGCCCCAGCCCACCGGCTCTTCAACTCTCCGAATGCCACGGGTGCATTAGCAAGGCATTCGTCGTGTCATTGCAACTCCATCATTGGCTTCGCCCTCAACGGCATAATAACCTAAACGTAAAATCCAGGCGTGGCGTCTCCCTGGAAGACCAGGACAGCTGAGCTATTGAGAATGCAAGGTTGCTATTGGATCAACAGGCGAGTGGTGTTGTAGGGCTGAGAGCTAGACAGTCTCAAAGAGGGAATGCCAAGACTGAGCTGGAGTCTAGACCATTTAAGCTTATCGATATTTGGGTAAAACCATCATGTGTCATTTCCACAGAGCAGAATATTTGGCAGTTAGCCTTGCACTATTTCTATCTCGCATGTGGGTTTGGTAAAAATGTTTAATTATTCGTATCTATGACAACTTTATTGACAAGGCAGATTCCAACGCCCCATGTCCAAAAACCAGTGTTCCAAACGCCATCCCAATGATACCCAAAATTACCAGCCGAGAACGTTGAACAGGCTTGTTCGGGGATCAGGAACAGAACCGTTGAAAGTCTTTGCACGAACAGATTCGCTCTTTGTGGTGTTGTATTGACTAAAGTAGCGATCGAATGTTCGGGATTGGTTTGTGAGTTGCGAGCGAACGTAGCCGCCGACAACAGAGATGCTTCCAACAGCGATGAGAACAGGGAGGACCCTGAATATGTTAGATATGGAGATTTTGAGACGAGGTGGATGCTTACTTGGGGCCGACAGTGGGCTTGATCATGAGAGCGGCCATTTTTATGGATTGATGTGATTGGTGGGTTGTGTAAGTGAGCTGAAGCTGAAGATGCAAGTGTTGTTGGTGAGAAGATCTCAGTGATTGTTGTTGTGATTGATGGTGATGAGAAAAACTATTTGAGAGTAAAGAACTCCGTCATTATATATTCTCGTCTTGAGGTTCATTTCGTTCAATTCCGTGACCATTTTCTTCGGTCGCATGTTGATGTTCTGAGCTGACGGTGGTGCTGTTTTTGGTGGTGCCATAGAATGATCCAGCCCTGGACACAGCCATTTCGGGCGATGCCGGGGTCCGCAACACCAAGAATTGGATCTCTACAGCTTGTGAGATCTTCAGGATGAATTGATAGATTATCTATATTTCCAATTGATTAAATTTCATCATATAAGTTGCTTTGTTATTTTCTAAACGCTCGCTGCCATTTTCAGAGTATTATACATGTGATGTATGTATACAATTCTAATTAGTCTCGAACAATTGGACACATCATTGTAAATTTAATAGCTATGAGCATGTGTACTTACCTTTACGACAATCATATCTCAGCAATAATTCAATTGAAACTATCTACCGAATGCATCTGTGTATGCGATTATGGTGATGGCATTCTCAGAATCTGGTGTTGAGAAATCATCTGATTTTCGGAACCGGCGTCTACCGAACCCACCCAAAATTCTCCGGGAAATCAGTCCATCATTCAGTTCTCAACACACTCAGCCCCAAAGTCCATTCTCGACTGCCAAGATCGTCTCACTAATCAACTCTAACTCTGTCATCGAAATCATCAGGAACAATGCTGTTTTTTCTTACTTGAGCGTTTATTTTTCGTGATGCGACAGTGGATTGAGAGTGATGACCTCAAAGTCAGTGTCTCTGCATCAGAACCCTCCATGTCTTCTTCTTATCTGTGTATCAGCTCTCCGCACATCCCCGTCCAGGTATGCCCGGAGTCATGAAATGCCCACCGGTCAGGTCCCACAATTCCCGGTGCCTACGCCGGTAACACGGCCGGCGACGTCATGGATGGGCGGAAAAAGATGGCAATTGATACTTAACCCTTCAATTCAATTACATTCAAGAACATATTAGCATCTTTCCTCATAATTAGCATAGAGATCCTCAGCCTGGTCCAATCTCACAATGACCTTATTACTGAACCCAGCTCAAACCATATCATATCATCTCAGCTACCGTTAACAGTCCATCAATACAACCATCCCCAAACCTCCATCCAAACATCGGAAAATTCCAATCCAGCCCCCAAGCCCTTTATCTACATGTCACATGTTTCTATTCCCGCCTCAATCCCAAAACGTCCATCACCCATCAATGACATCCAATAATCGTCAATGGCTACACATCTCCAGATATTCTGACGCGGGGAAGCTCCTGATCCTGTAGCTCACCACGTCATCCCTCCATCATTCAAAGCTCTTAGATCATTGACCAAACCCTATTAAATAGCAAAGGTCCCTCAACTACTGAGATCAAATACTGCTTCATAATAATCGTTGTATCAGAAGAACAAGTCAAAATGTCCATGAGATTAATCCTTCGTCCGGTGGTGCGAATCCCGCTCCTCCGCCCCCAGATCCGTCTTGCGACTACAAACCCTACGCATGTCCATCCAGATGGTAACCTCGGCGGTCCGGGAGGTCAGCAGCCCCCACCTGCACGCCCCGGCGGTCCGGAAGCTATCACAAGGAACTGGTACAGTCACCCTCACCCTCCTTGTTATCACCACTGACACTCCCAGGATGCCCATCGCTGCTGCAGCAGGTGTAATCGCAGGCGGCGTCTACATCATGCTCCCCACACGAGGAAAATCCCCTGAGAGAACTCTCGAAAGCGACATGGTAGCCGCCAACTCGACTGCGATTGGATACATCGGTCAACCATCTGGAAAACCAGGCATTGCTTCTCATTACAGGGAGCTTCGAGATGGGAAGGAAGTCGAGTCGATGAAGGAGTTGAGTGGGAGAAAAGGAGGTGGTTCAATGGGTCCTTTCAGAGCGGAATGAATAACGAAAAATGTGTTCGTAACGGAGGCGACCTGCCCAGAGTATCAAATTGTCTATCATCGCTCGATGGAGCTGTACATTAATAGTAACACATCGCTTACTTCTGCTCTAAAGGTTCGTCTTTCTTCTTTTGTAGCAGATAATCTCCCCCAAATACCGCTTTGTACACTCCTCTCAATCCCCTTATCGGCCATCCTGTTCGTGCAGTTGACTTCATGAGCTTCTCGTCACCTTCAATATCAACTTTGACTTTATCGTAGACATTCGGTAGATACGACGCTCCGTACTTTGCTCTTAGCGCATCGTACGCTTCTTTGTTGTAATGTGACCAGAATTCATCTTCTGTGTAGTATGCTTGGGCGTATAGCCATTTCTTTCCTCCGCAGTCTTGTACTTTTTGCTCCAGAGCTCGATTATGTCGAATTGCGTCTCGTCGGTTTCCTTGCAGAGGTCCCCATATTCCAAAGTTCATGAGTTCCACGGTTCCAGGTTTTGCGAATTCTGCGTGCAGACCATATCCAGAGTCCGGATCTTCTCGTCGTACTCGTAATGGACATATCCAGAGTGGATAGATTCTGAATTGCTTATCCAGCCAGTTTTGAAACTCCGGTACACTGTTGTAAGGCACTCCGACATCTTGAACCATGTAATAGTCAAACAGGTTACTCTTGTGGCCAGCAGAGTACATGACGCGAGCTCGTAGGAGAGGATCCAGGATGTATCGTGTCAGTCGGTTAAATGGTGTGAGAAAGTAGTCGAAGGCGTATTTGGCGACCCAGAATCCACCTCTGTCATATCGGAACAGATAATCCTTCAATGGGATGTAGTCGGCGACGCAGGTGACAGATCCCATCCGTAACCCATCTCGAACCTTTTCAACATGAAGATAAAACCACTTATCCTTCCGTCGATTCAGTTGCCTTGGCGTAGCACTGATTGGTATCTCATCCACCATTCGTCCCGCACATACAACAGTCGTATCCTTGGAGTAGACAACCCCATCAACATAATCATTCTCCCATCTCTTACACTCCTCCTTGATAATCTTGACAGACTCAGACGGCCCCCTCGCAAGCCGATACTTGAGCTCAACATACTCCTTCGCCTCCTTCAACTGAACCTCCAGCAACGTAACAACACCGAGTGTTCCGAACGCCGAAGCAGCACCCCAGAAAAGATCCGGCTGTTCCGTTTTAGAAGCACGCGTAACAGTTCCATCCGCGAGAACAATCTCGATCCAATTCACAGTCGCGTCGAAAGCACCGTACCGAAAAGAGCTGCTCTCTCCCGACGTCCCCGAAAAGCCACCTCCAACGGTAATAGCCGGGAACTCCATAACGACCAGCGGAACAAGCCCCAGCGGTAGAGTTGCATCAACGAGGACTTCCATCGAGACATTTGGTTCAACAATCACCGCCTTGGAATCTTTGTTCACTTCGATGACATGGTTGAGCTTGCTTGTGTCGACGGTGTTGTCCACACGCCGGTTTGAGTGCCGTGTGCTGTTAGTTGAGCCATGGTATAGACGGAACGGTTCCTGGCGGGCGTGAAAGTGCTTAACTCTATCCGCGACGCCAGCGACGATGGTTTTATGAGCGTCCATCATGAGATGGAATCGCAGAAATAAAAAAAGAGAGATGCAGGAATCAAAGATAAAAGACTTGGCGAGTCGTTCAGAGTAGTATCGGGTCGGAAATAGCGAGGAATGATCCACAATTCCTTGTCCTTGTGTCGTGCTTGTGCTTGTGCTCATGCTTACGACCAAGATTTTATATGAGTCGATCACTCATGACGCTTGATTCCGACATATCCGAGCATCATGATTGCTTCGAATCAGCAAGACTCGTCTTATTTACATTTACTTGTTACGGTCTGAGGCGCCACGTCAAACACGTCAGCCCTGCTTTGACCATATCGCCAAGTTTTTTATTCTATTCTGGTCGATCTCAATATGACGTTTGTTGTTTCATTGGTTCAGCTTGTGATGCATGAATAGGCGCGTTTGCTAGTGGACAAGCAATCCTGGAAATGGCCCCCACAAGACATTGACAACCAAACGCTGTGTTAACAAACTATCCTAATTAATGACTCTGCAATTCTAGCTTTGATGTGTAACGCTCTGTTGTGTATTCTCCTATCGCTCCGGTGAATGCGAGAAATCATCCAACCGAGGTAGTTCATAGTCGCTATCATGCTCATCCTCCTCGTCCAGAGTTTCACTTTCCTCGTTCCCATCGTCTTCGACCTCAGCGAAATAATCAAGATCGGCAATGAAGTAATCAAGATCCTTATCAGTAATAGGTCGTTTGTCTTTCCCGCTGATGAAGGGCTCGGGCGTTTCTTCCAACAACTTTTCCAGGACCTTGGCGTTTTCGATTAGTCTCCCTTCCAATTTGTCTGTGTATCTCTTTGCCCGTGTTACGATACCAAGATAATCCGTTTCGATGCCATGTAGAGGACCGCACATCGCCCAGAGTCTTTCCTATCCTGCAATAAGACGTGCTTCGATCGTCCATCGGTCAAGATGGCCTTGTATTATACATCTCCGGCAGTTTGAAGGGACCCTGCCATTGGTCTTAGATTGTAAAAGAAAGCCTGTCGGTATTTTTACTTCGCCACCACACAGGGGAACAGCAAGTTCAGAGGTGTGTGCACAGTCGAACATGACACGATGAGTGCACGGTTCGACATCTTGGGCAACATCTCCCTTCTGCTTGCCTTGCTATGGGCAGATGGGTGACATCTCGGACGACTTGAAGTTATCGACGAGTGCATCGTGACACGAGTCTCCAATAACGTGTCCACAGGGAAACAACAAACCAGAATGTCCTTGTATCGGGGCCATGGTTTCGGCATCCTGGCAAGGTCTTCGACAGGCAACACAACGAAAGCGAATACACGCGAATTGCAAAGTCAACAAACTTTTCTTCCCCTCCGTGTCCTTGCACGCATTTTCTCCCTTGCTGTGGAATTTCACTGTGACTTTCTTCAGCCATTCGTATGCACTCGGCCAGTGAAATTGACTGGGGAGACCTAGGTTTTCCTTCGAGATCGCATTGAAGAACAGATCGGGCATGTCTGGGAACAAGAGTTGCCGTATGGCTGATAAGCTCACGATCTCGTCCTCGGCCGACTCGCCATCACTGTGTTGGGCGTCAGTCATCTCATCGTCTTTCGATGTCTCTTCTATCTTTTCCTCTGCCGTAATTTCTTCTGTCGTTTTGTTATCGTTAATTTTTTCGTCGGCCATCTTGTCGTCTATCGATTTGTCGTTGATAACTTCGTTGTGGGCTATGTTCTTATCGGCAACCTCGTTGTCGCTCATGGTGATGATATCCTCGATAATCTGTAGGCTTTTATTTGTATGAGTGATATTGGTGTGATGGCTGATGTTGATGTTGATGTTGAGTCGACGTTGAAAGAGGTCAGTCGGACTGTTATGAATTGCAAGCACCTTCCAGCTGTGATTCACATCCCTAACAAAGGCAAGTTGTGTCAAATACGTCCTTCCTCATTACTATATGGAACATACGCTGTAATATGATTAGGCAGGTGATGTCTATTCTACGCCTCAAGCCTCAGTTTAGCAGGAACCCGGATCTGCACCCAGCAACTATCAGCCGAACGCCTTCTCATTCTTCTTCTGAGGGACATTATGACGATTCATCTCGCTTTCATGCCTTCTCCTTGGTACATCTCCCGGCGCCAAATTCATCTGATCTAATGAATGGCCTACCCAAGTATATCGCAGCCAACTCAATGGTCTACGCTCCTCAAGCAACGCTTTTTGACCTGCGTTTTTATAGGAGAAGGCCAGGATGGTCTGAATCATAAACACAGTTGCATTCCCCGAACATGATGTGAGCTTTCCGAATCGAGTATCTTCAAACCGAATACCCAGGCGCTCCAGAATATGCTCAAATACTGCGGGTTGTTGAAGGCGTGTCTGAAACTGATTCTCCTTCTTCAAGTCCCATATCTGCACATTGGGTTCTGCTAACCACTCCAAAGCAAGCTGCAACAGCGCAGTTTTGACGGGCTCTGTGTCAAAGGTCAGCAAAATGAGCTGTCGAAGACGTCCTTGCTCGACCTCATCTTTCCGTCTGTTCTTTTTTCTCAGTGCTGAAAAGACTCGGTAAAATCTGTACGCAAGATCTTTCTCCTGAACCCTTCTTGATCGGCCAAAAGCGAACAAATATGGCGACTGATCTGATTCGTCTTGGTTCTCGAACTCTTCCACTATATAGTGGAGAGGTGTCATGTACTTGAACCAGGACGACCCACGATCTCCAGGCATGACGCCTTTACCACGGTCATACAAGATATCTCGCATGTCGAGATACGCGACTCCGGCCTCGATGATAGGATCTTGTCGATATGACGGTCCATGTATGGATACACTGAGCTCTCTCAAGCAAATATGATGGAAATCCAGCGAGATAAGGATGTAATCAGTGTCAGGCATTTTGGCGAACTGGTTCTCTTCGGTATCTAGTGCTGGGAAGACGTTCTCCAAGCAGTTGGTAGAAAGGACACATGATTGGCAAGGGTTATAATCCAACTCTTCGTCAGAAATAGAGGTTTTGTACGAGTAACTCTCCTCGTCACTCGAAGTCGGCATCGTCAGAGCTGCGCTGAAGCGAAGAAGGGTCTCAGGTGAGGCTCGGGTCAGGATTTGAAAGAGTGGCCGATTTCGATCTCATTGATTTGACTACAGAATATACAGCCGAGCAAACGACCTCTCATTTATATACGTTGATGTTCCTGTACTTCAAAGTACTTTCGTAAGTGAACGGCGACAAATTACGTCTATGAGCCAGAGTCTCACGCAGTTTGTCAGTGAACCGTGCCACTGTTTGCCCTCAACCACCCAATACCGCATCGATTCAGAGCGAAATTCCAGACTTCAATCGTGTCATAGTATCGGTCATGTGCAGAAGAAGAGATCCTTCCGCTGTGTAGTCTCATTCACCGCGCAAATACAGCTTGGACCTCGAGATTGACTGCACCCGGTTGAGTGAAGGGATTGTCTTGCAAATTACAGGTGAGGGCAGTACAATAAGAGCTTCACATCGATTGATATCTAACAATTCCAATCATATCTAAGCTTATTACTCTTCGTTACCATAGTGTACCCAAACATCACGTAGAGGTCAAGTTCCTCTTTGTGTGATTTACAGTCTCGGGATAGCTGTCAAGTAGGTCCCTCCCAACTTGAGCATATCAACAGCTTCCTTGACCATCTCATCGACAATCTCCCCAGCAGGCTGGATCTTGGTGATGGCTCCAGCAACCTGTCCCATCAAATGTGGCAGATCGAAATCGTTGCCCTGCTCAAAGTCGTACTCAATTGGTACAACACCCTTATCACACAGTTCCTTGATCTTATCTGGCTGCTCATGCCACTTCCTGATGTAATCGTTCGTCTTCATTCTCAATGGCCGTCCAGAGATAACAAGAGTTCGCTGCGTATCTTCGAATCCACATGAAACAACCTCCTTCTTATGTTCCTCACTGCAACTCGCTTCAACAGAGGCTACAAACCGTGTACCTACCCATACGCCTACAGCGCCCTGCATCAATGAGCTCGCAAGACTCCTTCCAGAGGAGATACCTCCGGCTGCAATAACCAACGCTGGCAGACCCTTGAGAAGAGGAGGGTGGTACTTCGAAGCAACGTCTGCGACGGCGGGGATGAGGATGGAGTTTGCAACATCTCCTGTGTGACCTCCTCCTTCACCACCTTGAGCGCAAACCATGTCAACTCCCAGCTCGAGCGCTTTGGTCTTGGATGTGTCAGTGAATAGCAGCCAACTCCGGTCTGTGACTTACTGCATGCTTAGGATGGCCAACCATGTTCATGACCAGGATTCCCTTATCATGAAACCTCTTAATCACTTGAGGTGGCGGTACACCAACAGCACTGACAAACAACTTGGCACCGCTGTCAATGATGATGTCCACCAACTCGTCCAACTTTCCACCAGTGTAATCATGGTTGGTCTTACGCGCATTGCCTCCGATCTGAGGCAGGGCGAGATCAACACCAAAGGGTAGATCGGGTCGCGAGAAATTGGCCTTCATTTCCGCAATGATCTCTCGAAGTTGATCGGGTGTGTATTGGAAACCACCGATTATACCGAGACCGCCAGCATTGGATACAGCTGCTGCAAGACGACCACCAGACACCCTAGCCATGCCGGCGAGGATGATGGGGTGCTTGATTCCCAGCAGGGATGTAAGTGGTGTTGTAATTGGGCCTGGAGGTGCCATTTTTTGATATTATGAATGATAATAAAAGACGATGGTTTGCCAACAGATCAAGTATAAGAATACAATACAGCTGGATATTGGCCCTCGGCTCTTACATATCTGTGGGGATCGGCTCTTTTAAACATCATCAACCGATCTACCGATTTGCGGGGGAAGCTTCATCCAAAGTCCGAGGCATTACCGCATTAGGCTACCAATTCGCGTATCTCATGTGCCTCTGAAAGCGCTTTGAACCCTTTCTGCATAAAATGCCGACACCGGTGATGCGTTGTATTTGTGCATATTATATTCGCTGAATCTATCAAGTTATCCCGTCTCATTCTCGTTTCATCGTTGGCTCAAATTCCATACTTGGCTCAATGTTGGTATCATACATGAAATATCCGTGACCCGCTATCATCCATCATTAGGTAGTGTTACAGAGAGCGAAAGTCCTCGTCATTGGAAATGCGGTAAGCGCGCTGGAACGAAATCTGTCTTCTCTGGTGATTTTGTGCCATCGGGTTGTGAACTGTTTGGCGCTTCATCTTGTGTGGCGGGCTTGTCTTCGACTTCTTCGACGTGGTGGTAGGCGGCTTTTGAAGGCGATGCTTGATACACATCATCCTCTGCAACCGCTGGTTTTGATTCGGAGATTGATTTGGGGTCAGATCTTGGTGCGAGACCTTTTTCTGCCGCGAGTTGCGCTGCTGCTTGCTTCTTCCTCTCGACATCCTCGTCTTGTTCTTTTCGTAGCAGATGCTCTTCTTGTTCCAGGTCATGTAGAGTCGGTCCCTCAACATCTGGCGTTACAGAAAACGAATTTGATCGCTGCTCCATTCGGTAGTCGTCCTTGGAAGAAATTGACCCCAACGTCGTCCGCGATACTGTTCTCGACCCTGCCAAACCACTAGCTGGTCTTTTACCCTTACTGCTTGTTCTCCCACTTCTTCCGCTTCGATCATCCTTTCTAACCATGTCGTATGTTACTTCGTCATCGAGTGGGATTGCATCTTCTTCGCCTTCGCCATCGCTTGGGAACAAATCGCCTCGTGATCGATATGAATCTGATGTATCGCCCGACCCTGTCGTCCCGCTGCGCTTTCTAGTCACTGGTAGGTCAAAGTCGTCTTCATCAGAATGTAGTAGTGGTTCATTTTCTCCTTCGCCATGTCGTCGTGGATGGTCTTGTAGATCTGCCGCACTAGGTTTGTATCGTAAAGTACCGCCCATCTTCCAAGGTAGTTTGCTGAGGAAACCGATCGGTTGTGTACTAGGAATTACAGTCGGGTCATCATCCATGCTTGGTTTTCGTCTTCGGTCTCGGGTTCCATAGCTCATACCGCGTTTCCTACGCGGTTGTTCAGTTTCTCCCCCAGTATGCCTTCGCTGAGTGCCAGTCCCAGCCAACAATCGATCCCAGTCTTCATTACCCCATGTGCCAAACAGACCACTCTGCTCTTCCTCATACCAGTCATCATAAAAGTCGAAGCTGTACTCTGCCCTACTATGCGACAGCTCTCGTTCTCTGCGCTTTCGTAGACGTTCCTCAGGGTCACCTAGACATACTGTCGTACACTGTTCAATAGAGTGCGCGATGGATGAAAAGCATGGGTTGATATAATTATGTTGAAAGGTCCAGATTCCTGCTGCCGCATTCTCGGTTATGGTCTCGGTATCGTGGGCAATTTGGTTCCAGCGTTGGCGCAGTCGGGGGTCCTCGAGGAATGCCATTGTGAAGATAGTGGATATGACGTCGCAACATGGAAGCGCCGAGGTCGCAATGTTTCAGAAGATGTAAGAGGATTCAGAAGAGCAGATGATTAATTTGGGTGTGAGTCAATTAGTAGACATGATCGCAAAGGTGAGGAGTTCACGATCAGCCATCAGAAGAATAATCTCGTGAGTGACAGGCTATGATCGAAGATCAGAGTTGATTGTAACTGTAAGACAGCGGTTGTTGTGGCACGTGCAGCGAGGTGAGACGATTAACAGTTGGGCTTGTTGGGTGGTTGGTTGAGTGGAGGTACTTTGAAACGTGGTTGTCTGGTGGCTGGCCATCAAGTACTGGATCCACTGGGCTTGACTTTCGATATCTATGATACTTCAATGCTGTAATTCGACGAATCTTGACATGATGAACCTTATTATTTTTGGTGAGAGATGGCGAGGCGAGATCTTGTCAAGTTGTCCAAGCTTACACTCTATTTCGATTTGACGTTACATTTGTCTTAGACGAGGTAAGAAAATATTCGTATTGAGCAGTCTGCAGGTGGTATCAGGCAACGCAAGAAACAGTGATGTAGTACTAAACAGTCCAATGATCTCAAGTTGTGGTATCCTACTTCCTTGGGATACGCATATTTGCTATCACTCTTTCGATAAGCTCTTCCTTGGTGGCCTTTGGGTCGGGATGTAGATTTCTCTGCTTCTGTTAGCCTACGTCAACGGCTGTGAATGATTCGCTTGCCTTGTTCAACCACAATTGGCATTCTTCCTTTGTCCATGTTTTTGGATCACCAGTAGGATCTGGCTGAGGTGGGAAAATACCCTGGCCATCGTTCCCCCAGATTGTGTATGCCGCTGCCATAGAAACAACGCCTCCAAAGACTGGGCATATCAGTATGTGGCTTACCCTGCAGATAACAGATACTTACAGAGGACGACGTTCTGAGAAGTGTTAGTGTGTTTGAGCTTGGCTGATCGATAGATACTAATCAATGACTAGATTGTCTGCTCTTACCTTGGACTTCATAAAGTTATCAAGCCGGGTCGACATGTTGACGACTTTCGTTTAGAGACACTGACGTTATCAACAAGTTTGGCAATCAGTAGATGTACACCTATTCCGGAGCAACAAGTGTTGTAGGGTGAGAGGGTCTAATGAACAACAAAAATAATGCGGTTACAATGATAATAAGCACCTTAAGTATTAAGTTTCATAAGGCATTCACAATCACAATGAAAGGTGGCCATTTCAAGATTCCTGCCTGTTGCCTCATGGCCTCGTCTCATCGTCGTCTGCGCCACGTATTCTTACGCCACATCTCGGTGGATCGGCGACCAACTCTCCCGGACCAGTCCAACAAACGACAGTGGTCCGTGCACTTCAAGGCCCCGCGAAAAGCAGCGCACAAAATTAATTCCTTCCTCAAATTCATATCGAAATCGTCAACCCGTGCCTTTGACAAGTTTCCGTTCAACCCATCCACCTTGAACTACCGCCAAGATGCCTCAAGAGGTCGCCGATATCAAGAAGGTATGAGATGCGAATAACAGCGGAAGAAACGAAATACTGACTCAATTACCAGTTCATCGAGATCTGCCGTCGGAAGGACGCCTCCTGTACGTTTTGACGAAGAAAAACCTCCACGAAAAACGCAATTCGATTCTAACAATTATCCCAACAGCCGCGCGGATCAAGAAGAGCAAGCAGACCAACAACATCAAGTTCAAGGTCCGCTGCCAGAAGCACCTCTACACCTTGGTTCTCAAGGACACCGACAAGGCCGAGAAGCTCAAGCAGAGCCTTCCCCCCAGTATGATCCTCCGCCAGGACACACGATGATACAAACCACTGACACAGCACACAGACCTGCAACTCACCGATGTCTCCAAGAAGGCCAAGAAGTCTGCTTAAGAAGGTGGTTGAATAAAGGGTTTACTATGGGTGTGGGAGGATTTCACAGGCACGAATGGGCGTCTCGGGATACCTTGCATTTCATCATGTGCTCTGAAAGGAGGATACTCGGATGAGTCCAAAAAAATAAAAGAACGATTCGAGTCACAAGATACTGGGTTTTTTTGCGTGACGAGTGTTGAATTGGCTAATGCAGAAAAGGCTTGTGCTCGAAGCGGGAGACTTTGGTAGCTTCGAACCTCACAGCTATACCGGATTCGATCACGTCTTCGAAGCCTGGGGATGCGATTATCACCATGATTGAATCGTCGCCTTCTATCCTCCATCCTGCCCACATTCTTTGACCTGGTAGTGTTGCGGATTGGGTCTCGATGGAACGATATTCTTTTTCGAGAGATGCTTTTTCTTCGGGCTTCACTGATATCTTCCAGACCTTGACGGATCCTCTTGACAGAATGTCTCCTCGGAATTCATTTTCTCCAGCTGGCCCCAGATGATACAAGGCCACGGCGTCCTTGTCTTGACTGATGAATTCTTTGAGCTCTTGCATTAGAGAGACATTCTCTTGACTTTGGATCCATTCGTTGTGACCACCCACAGATTCCCACGGTGCTGTGAGAAATAGGTAGGGCGCTTCGCCATCGGTGATCCAAATGTCCGTGGTGTAATTATAAGGCTTTCCCTCAAGGAGATTGGGTTGGTGCTCCCTGATCCATTGAGCTTGTACTTGCTGGGTCTCCCTGAGGATGTTTCGTAGCTTATCCTCATCGTACCCTGGCTTTAGCTGGATGGAGGCTGTTTCAACGATACCGGCCATTTTATCGACAAAAGACTTGAATTGCTCAATTGACAAAAGTCTAGACGCCCTTTACCCTTCACGATGAAGCTGAATAAATAATCAGTCAATCAGGCATCTTTGACGACGTTGATGCGGGGTTCAGTCGATGATGCGCCATTGAGTTGCCTGGGAAGGATCACAGTCAGCAACGTAGTCGTCAGCCATAGGGTTGAATACTGGTCGTAGTCCAAGGAGATTTCCGTTCATTTGATATAGCCATCGTGTCAACCCTTTGTCCCAAATCCTTCATCATAGAATCTCATAGTACTCTTACAATATCCTCAAAATGTTAGCCTCAATCTTGAGACTGTCAACCAAGTCATTGCCGACAACGACATGCGTGCAGCCTTGACATATGGATGGATGCCTCGAATTATTCCGTGCCTGGATTGCCGCCCTCTAGAAACTTGAAGAATGTCAACGTATTCCCATCAGGATCTTTGATAGCGAACTGCCGAAAACCCCACGGCTTATCTTCAATCGCTTCTTCAATTACATCGCTTCTCTGACCCTTGACAGTATCATGCAGCATGTCCAACTGCTCTGTACCCAATGCGATATATACCGACCCTGGTTTGACATCACCATCAGGTTTGAAGAAGTAGATATTGGCTGCTGCTTTATCCCCTGCAAAGATCGAGCAAAAAGTATAATCTGAAGACGGCCCGTCCTCTGGCTTTACCCCGCCCAATTCGAATCCAAGAAAGTCGACATAGAAATCAAGAGTTCTCTGTATCGATTTTGATTCGAACGTTGGAATGATTTTCCACGCTGAAGCGATTGGCGCCGTCATTTGTGTCTGTTCAATATAGTATTCGTATAAAAGAGATGCGAATACGAAAGTGTTTCAATGCATTTAGCAGCCAAGAGGAGCGTTATGTATGCGACAATTGATGCACTCTTTGTTGTCCAGTAACAGGCTACAGCTTCTCCAAGTACGGATACGGCCACACCAATGAGTTATAGCATGGATATTTTCCCGCCTGTCGTCATATTTTAGCTTCGCCTCGACGACGTAACTGCAAGCCTCCAAGTTCCAACGACTCCAAATGTTCTGTTGCTTCGGCAGATATTCGAGGCTGGCTCAAAATCTCATAACCTGATTTACAGAGAACCGCCTGGCCAACCAGACTGTTCCCTATCACAATCAACCCCTTCTGGTGCATCGATCAACAGCTGAACCAGACGGCTTATCCGGCACGCAGGGTCACACGGTTGGGTTGCTGTTGTATTGTTCGTTGCTATTGTCATCATCATCAATCACGCGGCGACAAATGCCCATGCTTGTCTCTTATGCAGTTCTTCTGCATCTCTTCTTCAACTGATAGGCATTTCTGATTCTGAAACCTTGAAATACCCGGTCCTCGCCGGAAAACTCGGTTCATATACTTTTGCTTGTTCGATTTTCCACTCTCGGTTGCTGCATCGACAAATCGCGGGAGACGGGACGTCTAAGTCGTGGTGGGCTCAGCTCAGTCTCCAGATAAACCTAAGCCCAGCTGGAGACTCGACTTTAGCGCTAGACCGCTATTTTGAGTTCTTCCAATTGGAGGCCTATCATTACACATTCAGTTCAACAACAGAGGACAGATGTTGTGAGCTGTTGGCAACGTCTTGTAGGCATCTCATATCAACTCATCTCCAATTTGAAGACGAGATAATAACGGTAGCACCTAGATTGTAACCCAAGTCCCTTAGCCCGTCTCGTTAAAGCAGTTAGTTCCACCTCATCTTGTTGATCGTTGGTAACTGTCATCTGCACCATCGAGGCACTCACATCCGGAACCTTTCCTATTTCGGTTGACGGGCGTTTCCCTACATCGTCCTGCTCCTGCACTTTTCCATGGAAACAAGTGTGAGGTGTGCCAGAAGGCAGGTACACTGATCTAGGGACAGAGGTGGAAAGTGCGGGGGACTCAATTACCCATTACGCCAACAATTCCCAGAGGTGCATCAACCTACGTCTAGACTTGAGCTAACACTTCTTCTGTGACGCTGCTATCCCTTTCATTATCGTCTTTGACTTGCATTGCATTGTTGGGAGTCAAAAGTCCGTCCGTTGTTGCCCGCTTCCTTCCTAACTATTTTAACTTATCACACCCCCGCTCTCGAATTTAAAGAAGTTACTTTCCACCCCCTGACGATGGTCAAGAAAGGCAACCACTAATTTACCGAATTAAGCAACTTTCCTCCTTCATCTTATACTTTTCTTTCTACCGTTAAATTCAATTATCTTCATACAATCTTTTACTCCTATTTCTCGCTATTCACTTTCTACGAAACATACCGCAGGCAATCATCACGACAGGGGTCAGACCACGTAGTTGGAGATAATATCAACACCAAACAACGCGCGCGACACAATCACCTCCATGCCGTCTGTGACCCCAGTCATGGTAAACGGGCTCAATGGCAGCCATGCCAACGGCAACGGCAATAGTCACGGCCCTGCCTCTGATTCCGGCTCCGAAACATCTGGCGACTCCAGCAATGGCAGTGCCCGTCGTCGCATGAAGTTGAATCGCAAAATGTCTAGCCCCATGGCACCTCCTTTCATGGTATCAGCACCAGGAAAGGTCATTGTTTTTGGGGAACACTCCGTTGTCCATGGAAAGGTAAGTCGGTACCATCTTATCGCCAATTGCATGCTTACATGATTGGCGCATAGGCAGCCATTGCCGCAGCCATCTCACTGCGGTCCTACCTTCACGTCACCACCCTCTCCAAGTCGAAACGTACCGTCTCGCTCCGATTCGCTGATATCGATCTCGTTCATACCTGGAACATCGACGACCTGCCATGGGACGCTTTCCAACAACCCTCCAAGAAGAAGTCATACTACTCTCTCGTAACAGAACTCGACCCTGATCTTGTTGCGGCCATCCAACCACACATCGAAGTTGTCTCACCCAACCACCCAGAGGAGATTCGGAGAGTTCATCATAGCTCTGTCTCAGCTTTCCTCTACCTCTTCCTATCGTTAGGATCGCCATCTTTCCCCCCATGTCTATACACTCTCCGGTCAACAATACCAATTGGTGCTGGTTTGGGCAGCAGCGCGTCAGTTTCAGTATGCCTTTCAGCTGCACTTCTGCTTCAACTACGGACACTATCAGGCCCTCACCCAGATCAACCTTCGGAGGAAGCACGACTTCAAGTCGAACGAATCAACAGATGGGCATTTGTGTCAGAAATGTGTATTCACGGAAACCCTTCTGGCGTGGATAATACGGTTGCGACGCAAGGTAAGGCCGTGGTGTTTCAACGGACAGATTACTCCAAACCACCGACAGTTCGACCATTGTGGGATTTCCCTGAACTGCCTCTGTTGTTGGTGGACACCCGGCAATCCAAGTCTACCGCACACGAGGTTGGCAAGGTCGCAAAGCTGAAACAAACCCACCCTAAGCTTGTTGGCACGATCTTGGATGCGATGGACAAGGTCACGGATGCCGCTTCTGAGCTCATTCACGACACTTCTTTTGACAGCAATTCGGAGACGGACCTTAGCAAGGTGGGCGAGCTGATGACCATCAATCATGGCCTATTAGTATCACTAGGTGTTTCTCATCCACGTTTGGAACGAGTGCGAGAACTCGTCGACCATGAGGGTATTGGCTGGACAAAGTTAACTGGCGCTGGCGGTGGTGGATGTTCAATCACTCTTTTACGACCCGGTGTACCCACAGATAAGCTGCAAAAGCTCGAAGGACAACTAGAGTCTGAGAATTACGCCAAATTCGAGACGACCCTTGGTGGCGACGGTATTGGCGTCCTTTGGCCAGCTGTCTTGAAGAACGGTACAGAGGAAGATGACGAGGGCGGTATGGAGATTGATCTTGAGAAGTTCTTAGAAGCTGAAGGCACTGAGGGTGTCGAAAAGCTCGTCGGAGTACATGGCGATACTGGGGAAAGAGAGGGATGGAAGTTCTGGCGAGTTGAAAGCCAATAAATCACTAATAAGACAGAACACGCTCAAGCTGTTGAGCATTTACTCCGATTTACACCATCTGGTAAGCCATGCAAGGTCAAACATGACTAGGACTTGAAGTAGCAGTGGAAAAGGCCTGTTTGGTGGGAGTTTTTGGCATATATATGATTATAATCTAGTAATGCGACATGTTCTTTCTACTCACTCCGTTAGGGCACCGTACTCCGGGTCTCTGGGCATTCGATGTTTAATAGGACTACAATTCAGGGCTTGAGGTATCAAATCATATCATATCAAAACATCTCCAACTACTCCTTTGCGCTCTGACCGCTCTTCAGCAGTGTCACACGGTATTTCCAATATCCCTCTCGTACAGGATCCCATTTCTCACCAAGTCGTCGTAGACACAGCTCAGCCTTTTCCTTGTCACCCTCTTCATCATACAATTTGGCCAGGAAATCAAGCGCATGTGAACTGCGGACCTCTTCTGCTTCCTCTCCCAGTGCAGTGACAAACTTCTCGGCGAACTCTTTAAAGGAGGATAGGGGACGAGAGCCCTTGGTCAGAACAGCAAAGACATAGTTCCACGGAGACTGATTCTGCGGCGCTAGATCAATCTTCTCTTTGGAGTAGTTGATCTCTCGATCAATTGTCTCTGCTGGAACGCGGGGGTCTGCTTCCGTAGGTCCTGATCCAGGGGTGGAGGCTGTGGGGTCTGAGAAGACAAGATAGAAGCGGTGCGACCAAGCTGAGTTGTTTCGTACATCCTCTTCAATGTGGTTTTGGGTGGAAAGAAGCTCACTCATAGTCCACATGTACAACTTGGAGACGAGGTACTGGCGATACGACCAAACATGGTAGTTCTTGGCATCTGATTCCAGCATCTTTGTGATGAACTGCGTCTCAGAACGAGCCAGCTGACGAACAGTCGCAGTATCCTCCTCGATAAGAGGATAGTAGTGGTCCATCAGGAGCTGGCGATGGTTCCAAATCTGGTAGTTCTTGAGATTGCTGAGAGCAACCTCGTTCAACCATGTGATCTCATCAGGAATGCTGAGCTTGAGTACCGAGATGATCTTGAAGCGGAACAACCAGACAGTGTAGTGTGCTGGATTCATGGAAATGACGTGCTCTGTCAAACGCAGACTTCGGGGAGAGCATTCGTCTGCAGCCATGACGGCGCGAAGGTAGGATACGGCTATGATGCTGTTCAGTCAGTCACTCCTTTAAGGCCTGGGCATCAAACGGACGTACCCTCGGCGTAGTCGTCCGGGTAGGCAATCTGCGCGAGGGCGCCTTCGGGCTCATTCTGCGGGATGGGGATGACATCGTCCCATTCAGGATCCTGGGCCAGACTTCCCGTGATCTCCCCGTACAAGTCCCTCTTGAGTGCAGCCATAGCTTTTCTTCTCGTCTTTTCAGCGGCGATTTCCTCTGTGGTTACTTCGAGCTGCTTCTCTCGCTTCTTGAGAAACTGACGGTGCTGTATTTGTAGCGATGTGAGCTTTGCGTGCTTTAAGGTGCGCTGTTCAAGTTCGTCGGGCGAATATGTCCCGATATCTCGTCCGGAACGGTCTTTTCCCCAGGCGTAGTCGCGGGGGAGTCTGCGAATAGGTAGACCCTCTTTTGTAACGAACTTCCAGAACTCACGCTCTGTCTTGTTGGAAAAGGGTACGCGGCGGTTTACAGCGGGATGGATAAGGTTAACGTGTGCGTATGTCTTCTTCTCAGCGGGAGTTAGAGCCGATAAACCGACTTGCTGACGACGGTTCTCGATAGGATTCGTCTGGAAGAAGCGCTGCTGCGAACGCTGAGCGATGGTGTCTGGGGGAGATTCTGGAGCGGCTGCGAAATGTTAGACAGATATATAGAGGCCGAATCAAAAGGGCATACCTCTGGGCTCGGGGTTCGGGACCTTGGAGCTGGCTTTTGTCTTGGGTGGCATTGTTGGAGTTGGAGAGCTACGTTTGTGATGGATGGTGGGGTTTTGTCACTGGTTCTACTGTTTTTTTGCTGTATGGGGATTGATGTATGTGCAGGGGAGGATACCCCGCCAAAATGAAGCAATTGTTCTTGAAGCCTCGTTGAAGAACAATATGAATACGTGCAAGAAGTGGTTAAGCTCGGACATTTGTTATGTAGTGTTGGCAAACAGTTGTTGGTGGTGTAAAATGAGTTACTTGTTGGTTTGATGTCTAAATTAACCGATACTTGGATGAAAGCCTATCATCTGAGTTCATCCGAATGCCCTATTGTTCTATGCGCCATGATACCGGCTCGTCTTTCATGCCTCATCAAAGCCCAGTTCTCTCCCATTCGATCTGGATCTTTCGTTCATGATCTTCTACCCTGAGTGGCACGATCTGCCCCCTATGGCTTCTGGCCATGGGGTTTCTTGGCCGAGTTTGCGTGACTGTTATCCTCATTCAACGCACGCTTGATCTTTCCAAAGCTTCTCTCAAACTCTGTTTCCTCTCTAATCGGTATCTCTTCACCCTCCACCCAGCCCTACAGGGCGCGAAAGTTCTGAGACATGACCAGCCATTTCTTGACGCCCTTCGGAGGGTTCTTGACCATGGATTCCCAGTTCGGTACGAGAACAAACGTCTCGTTGAACATCTTTTGAGGCGCCTCTCTGCCCTTTCCGAATTGTACCCTGCCCATAACAGTAACGAGTATAGACATCTTGTCGCCGTTCTTCTCCTTCTTCGCGCTGTCGAAGATGTTTTCGGGCGCGCCCATTGTGAAATTTGGGTTGAGGACGTGTGCGTCGAAGGATTCGATTTCATAGTGTGCGTCTTTGCCTTGCGCTTCGAGGAGTTTGGAGTAGTCGGCTGGTGTTGGGAGGACGGCACCGTTGATGGAGATGTCTGCGGCAATGGGGTATCTTTGGGAGGAGTTTATGTAGAATGGGAGGATGTTGTTTTGTCGGTTTATGGCTTGGTAATAGTTGCTGGTGAAGATTTCAGCAGCTGGGTTTGTTAGCTATTGCTTTCGCTGTATGATGATGGAGATGACCTACCATCGCTGGAGGTTTGCACCTCTGTTGCTAGAGTTGGGGCTGACATGGTTGTGTTTGTGTGTGTATTGATGATTGGAGGAAAGGATTGAGTGGGAGGAAGAAGACGGGCACAAATAGGTCAGGAAACTTTGAGGTTGTCGCAAAAGTAAACAGTTCCAGGCAGAGTTTCAAAAAAGATGCCTGCGATGATGCAGACGCACAGTTATCACAGACCTTACTCACACGGTACACTTTCTAGCTTATCGGATGAAGCTTTGCAGCTGCACTTCTATATCCCCACATTCCGCTCAGAATTACAGCAAGAATAGTGGCTTTAGAAGCTCTCAAGTGCCATGAGGGCCTTCAGGTTTCAATCGTTACACGGCCTACGCCAAGTAAAGTCTAGATTGGCCTGTCAATCCCACTTGAGTCGCCTAGGATGTCGAGCCTATGCGCCAACCTCACAATGGCGCCGTTCGAATAGCACTGAGTCGACAGGCAAAGAGAAGCCATTTTACGTGACAACGCCGATCTTTTATGTCAATGCTGGTGAGTTTGATGCCTCGTAGATTTGTCATATCTAATTGCTGTGTAGCTCCTCATATTGGCCATCTGTACACCATGGTTCTGGCAGATGTCATTAAACGATGGAAGCAAATCAGCGGCCATGAGGCCTACCTGGCTACAGGCACTGACGAACATGGCATGAAGATCCAACAAGCAGCTCTGAAAGAAGGATTGCCACCGAAGGAATTCTGCGACAACAACTCCAACAAGTTCAAAGACCTCGCCGAACATGCCAACATCTCGCACGATTTCTTCATCCGAACCACCGATCAAGAACATAAAGATGTTGTACAGCAGTTTTGGCTTCTTCTCAAGGCTCGCGCACCTGAGGGATTGGGTCTGTACAAGGGAAAGCATGAGGGATGGTACTGTGTCAGTGATGAGTGCTTCTATCCTGAAGATCTTGTCCAGCCAAGCGTTTCTCCTCAAACAGGGCGCAAGATCATGGTCAGCACAGAGTCAGGCAATGAGGTTGAATGGGTTTCGGAAGATACGTGGTTTTTCCCGCTGTCCAAGTATAAGGAGAAATTGCTTCAGTTCTATGACGAGAACCCGACATGGATTCAACCAGCTCATCGTATGAATGAAGTGCGCAACTGGGTTCAAGATCATCTTGAGGATCTCTCCATCACTCGCCCTGCAACAAGACTGAACTGGGGAATCAAGGATCCCGAAGATCCCAACAACACTATCTACGTTTGGGTGGACGCTCTTGTTAATTATCTAACCACATCTGGGTTCGGCACAAAGTGGCAGGTTGGTGATAAGGACACGGGAATCTGGCCAGCAGACATGCACATCGTCGGCAAAGACATCATTCGATTCCACGCGATCTACTGGCCTGCTCTTCTCATGGCCGCAGGTCTTCCCCTACCTAAGCAGATCCTCTGCCACAACCACTGGACCATGTCGAACCGCAAAATGTCAAAATCCATCGGCAACGTCGTCAACCCTTTCTTCGCCGTGCAGCGCTGGAGTCTCGACGCTTTGCGATACTTCCTCATGCGAAATGGCAGTTACAAGGGCGACATGGACTACGCGAACGAATCTATCGCTGCTATCTACGAGAAGGACCTTCAGGCCAATATTGGTAACCTGTTCAACCGAATTTCTCGTGTCAGGAATAATAAATGGAGTACGATTGAGGCAGTTGAACTTGCGAAGGCCGGGAAGTTTGAGAACCTCCAAGAGATCTTGCCTACGACTTCTCCTGGGCCCGACTTCTTAAGTCTCGAGAACAGTCTGCAGTGCCTACCGGAGGAAATTCGAACCAACATGGATAACAATCAAGTGAACCATGCCCTGCGGTGTATCTTTTCGCTTCTCCAGGACGTGAGTATTCCTTCTCCATTTGACGACCAGTGACTGACCTGTCTCTAGACCAACCGCTTTATTTCAGAAACTGCGCCCTGGAAGATTGTGAAAGAGAAGAAGTCGGATGAAAATGCGCAAACCCGGCTCAATTGGGTTATTTACCGATCAGCCGAAGCTCTGCGCATCGCAGGCATCTTTCTGCAACCTGTCATGCCCGAAAAGGCTACCCAGCTACTCGATGGTCTAGGTGTCAAGCCAGAGCGACGTACCGTCGAGTATGCTCGCGCTGACGCTGATCTCGATTATGGCACAGGACCTGCTCTTGTGAGTAGACAACCTGATGCCTTTGGGTCTATGTTCCCTCCTGTCGCGGGCATTGAGCTGCCTGATGCTGAAGTTGTGGCTGGGATGGAAGGGCCAAAGAATCGATTGGGTCGTGTGGTGGCAGCGTTGGCGAAGGAGGCTCAAAAGGCTCTAGAGGCTGAAAAGACTCAAGAGGTTGAGACCAAAGAGCCTGAGACTAAAGAATGATGGATGTGAATCAGTGTAACGAAATATGTAAAATATGTACAATATAAAGAAAGCGTTGGTATGTTATCCTGCATTTACCTCTGGTTGTGGTTGTAAGAAAGTTTTTGGTGCCCCATTTTGACTCGACTTTTTCACCAATGGTGTTGAACTGTGAATATTCACCTCACAACTTACACCTCACAAAATCACAATGAAGATCAACCAGAATACAGGTAAACACCAGGCTTTTCATGAAACGCACGTGCACTGATACGTAATAGCCATCTCAACAAGTAAAGCCTTGCTCGTTCCATACGAGGCGCATCATGTGAAGCAATACCACGCATGGATGCAAGATCCTGTAAGCTCTCACCATCACCAGAATCTCACATACTAACACGTCTCAGGATATCCAAGAAGCTACAGCTTCAGAGCCCATGACTTTGGATGAGGAATATGAGAACCAGCAGTCATGGCGCACATCGTCTGATAAACTCACCTTTATCGTCTGCGCACCGCTCACCGAAGATGTATCACTTGTGAAAGCCGGCACCGCGGATGCAGACCCTCTTATGCGAGGCGATATCAACTTCTTTCTATACCCTTTTGAATCCGACGATGAAGACACAGAGACAAACACAGAAGGATGGGTTACAGGTGAAGTAGACGTCATGATCGCATCGCCCTCACATCGCGGCCAAGGTTTAGGGCAAGCAGCAGTTTGTGCATTGCTCGTCTATATCCAAAAGCACTTAGACGGAATACTAGCAGAGTATGGAGCAAAAGAACTGAAGGGCTTGATGGTCAAGATCAAGGAGGGGAATAAAGGAAGTAGGGCTTTATTTGAGAAGTTGGGATTTGTGCAGAAGGGAGAGGTGAATTATTTTGGAGAGATTCTCATGACTATTGAGTGGGATGAGATTCTGAGAAGAGATTGGTGGAAGGGAGCTGGGGAGGAGTTTAGAGAGGTCAGGTATGAGATGGTTGAGTGAGGACATCTGGATGAGACAGTTATAGGTATAAGCAGCTATTGAAGTGGCACATCTCGGTCATGCTTATTTAGGTGCACCGGATGAGTTTATCCCACTATCGTTTTCCGAACCTTTATTTCTATTGAGCTGTAAGTCATCTCGAACCGTTCAGGTCACATTTACCCACTTCTGTAAAGATTACCGGGGTCTTCCATCCTCATGCATGTTACTAGAGGCTACCCTCACAGTTTTTTTTTTTTTTTTTTATCTTTCTTGTTGGCTCATGGTGAGGAAGTGTACTATGTACGATAGATAAGGCATCTAACAAATTTCATCCTGTATCGTGAGTAGGCTCATCTATCCCTAATGCTAGTCAATAGCGTTGAACCCCTCATAGAAGCTAAACAGCTCTCTTCGTCCATTGATCTTGATGCAAACTTACAAATCATCACATCACAACTTACCCATCCCCACACATTTCCAAACCATTGGCCTCACATTCACATATCTTCAAGCCATTGACTCTTCCCCTCAACCTTGCTTCACACCACAATCATCGGCCTTCCTTATCAGACCATAAGCGGGGTTCCCAAGCTCATCCACTTGTGCGTATAGAATCTCCTCGGTGTTGCACACGAACTGACCGGTCTGCTTTCTCCGCTTCCCCTCCGCGGACAAAGTTCCGCTGATCGAGCGATTTATTGGGTGGGAATTTATCTGATCAACCCATTTATTGGGCGAATCTTATCAAATGCCAAGACCAAAGGTGGGATTTAGAGTTAGCGTCGCTTAAGCATAAATACAAGCAAGCATCGAGCCCGACTTCCGACGGGACATCGCTCTTCATTTCTAATTCATAACTTCAAAATGTATTCCAAGACTCTTTCTTTGAGCTTACTTTTTGGCAATGCTGCCAGTGAAGTTATTCATGGCGCTGTAGTCTTTAGCCGTCACGGAGATCGTATGTCTAACAAGCTCAATTGATGAATCTCACTTACATAAATAGGTACTACAAAGTGGTACGGCGCTCAATCTCTCACTAGTCTCGGCGCAGAGCAGAATTTCCAAGTTGGTCGAGATTACCGTGATCGATATCTCGCTTCAGACTCTCAGTATCGCATCTTGGGAATCTCTGAGGATGAATACAAGCCTTCTCAGATCTTTGCCAGTGCTCCTGACCAGGGCATTCTCATGAACACAGCTACAGCTTTCCTTCAAGGATTTTACCCTCCTCTTGCTGACCTAGACCCTGAGATTGCTTCTCAGACTCTTAACAATGGTTCTGAGAGTCAGGCTCCTCTTGATGGGTACCAATATGTTCGTCTTCATACCATCAACGACAATTCACCAGACACAATCTGGATCAAGGGCGACGATGCTTGTCCTAAGTATGTCACCGCCTCAAAGTCTTTCATGAAGAGCGACGTCTTCGCTCAGCGTGAGGAAGATACAAAGGAGTTTTACGAGCAATTCTACGATGTTCTCTCAGACGGCGTCTACAACCTTCATCCCGAGAACATGACCTACAAGAACGCATACAACATCTTTGATCTCGTCAACGTCGCTCGCATCCACAACAGCACCTCTCCAGCCCGAAATGTCTCAAACGCGGACCTTCTTCAGCTCCGCACCCTCGCTGACTCTGCGGAACTCGGCCAGAACTGGAACGAGTCTGATCCTGCTCGAGCTATTGGAGCTGAGACTCTTTCTGGTGCTATTCTCAACCAGTTGAATGAGACTGTTACTTCTGAAGGAAAGCTCAAGTTCTCTCTCTTTGCTGGAAGTTACGATACTTTTCTTGCTTTCTTCGGTCTTGCGGATCTTCTTGATGTATCTCCCAATTTCTACGGCCTGCCAGACTATGCTTCTACAATGGCATTTGAGCTCTTCACCGATGATAACACGGACGGTTTCCCCTCGGACCCAGAGGCTGATCTCCGTGTGCGTTGGCTCTTCCGCAACAGCACGGCTGGTGATCTTGAGACTTACCCTCTGTTTGGAACTGGCGAGGACTCTCTTTCTTGGTCAAAGTTTGTGACTGAGATTGAGAAGCGTGCTATTACTGATGTTGGAGATTGGTGCACCAAGTGTGGCGCCGAGGAAGATTTCTGTGCTGCGTACAAGGACGATGACGAGACTGCCGAGGGCGAGAGTGAGAATAAGACCTCCAAGAAGGGTGGCATGTCCAACGCCGTTGCTGGTGTCATTGGTGCCATGGTTACCCTGGGTGTTGCCGCTATCGTTGGAGCTGCTGCTTTTGTTCTCTTGAGGCGCAAGCGAACTACCCCTGCTGGCGAGAAGAGCAGTGTTCGCAGCGGAAGCACTGATGGGAATGCGGCCAAGGTCTAGACATCACGATATGGAAAGGACTATATAAAAGATTGTGTAACTTGTAGGCTAATGAATGACGATTGATACTCCCCATCACTGATATCCACTTCAATTTCTCTCCAAGGCAGATGTCTGTCGAGTCGCCCTATCGACGATAGTAAGGGCACCTTGAAGCTTCTCGATATCATGCTCCAGCTCTTTACGTCTCCTGGCAGTGTTCTCATTCTCTCCACCAACAATCTTCATCTCATCTTCCGAAAGGCTCAAAATTCGGTTCGTGTTGAGGCCAAGAACAGGCCCGTCTTGACCAGAGATGAACGACTCGATAACGGTGTTGTTAATGGTACGAATAAAAGCGTCCAGGGAGAGCTAAAGAGGTCAGCAATTGTTGAAACTGAAGATATAGCTTATGGCACATACCTTGTAATAAACCTTGAGAACATCGTGGACATCAAGAACCATGTTCTTGCCCAGACTTGGGTGGACAGACTCAAAACACTTAGGAAGATCAAGATGTCCCGGATCGCAATCCACACAAGCATTTGTGAATCCCTCGTAAAATCTCAAGATTCTCCAGCCATGAATCTCGTCCCCAAAGCGAGGGCCAGTGGATTGCAGTCGCACACACTTTGTCTCCATCTCGCACTGAGACTTGCATAAGTCTTCAGTTCTCTGCATGGATTCTTTCCACGAAGCTTCCAAGAGTGTGGTCAACTCCCTCGACAGAGTTGAGGTGTCACTTTCCGCAGGGCAGACGTCGTTGAGGATGGAGGCAGTGCATCGATTGACGGCTTGTGCGACTCGCGCAAGGTGGATGTTCGCGATGTGTCCCCATTTCTTGACTTGCTCTCGATACATATCTGGGTAGATATCGGGGTTGATGATTCCATCGAGAAGAGATCCCTGATAGAGCGCGAGCTTCTCCTGGATGGCACCCATAAGATTTCTTGTGTCTTGAACTTGTGACAAGCCCGGGAACGCCTTGTCAAGTGAAGCATCGAGCTTCGTCTTGTTGACATTGCGAACACGAGACGGTAACTGCTTTTCCTCAGCCCTCGCCTGAGTCTCAAGAGCCAGACGTTCATCTAGCAGGACGCGAGGATCAACTTCTGCGTCCTCAAACTCCCAGGTACCACCTCGTGCTCGCATGAACTTGTCAAATTCAGCATTCAATCGACTAACTTCTCTGCGAAGCTCCATGCTGTGGTCGAGAAATCCTGGACGGTCCAGAGCCGTCTGCGCCATCTCTTCATATTTTCGTACAGTAGCAACAACAAATTGCTGTCTTGCGGCATGGCTAGTGCGAGGCTCTCCAAGCATGGTCTTCTCGTGTTGTCTTTCTTCAAGGTTATGCTGAATTGTACTGCGGAGTGTTGGGAAACAGTCACGTATCTTGGAACTCAGAAGAGTACCAAGGTATGACTTGGCTGCAGTTGAACCCAGACGGCTTTGAGAAACAGAGTTCCAGGGGCTCTTGCTAAACAGCTTCTTCTCTGCGGCGCTCAAGTCGAAAGAATCTGGATCTTTGTCTGCTCGATTGCGAACCAGGAACCAGCCACCAGGAAGGCGTCCAAGGCTATGAGTAGAGTTACCAGTTGCGATAGATACAATCTGACTCAATGTTAGCATGATCAAAAGAGTCCATGTGGTTAACTTGCCCTCTTGGTCGCCTCTGGTTCATGCTGCACCATATCGCATTTTGTGAAAACGCCGACGAAGCGGTTTTGCTTGATGGGCTTCTTGGCCAGCCTCAAAATCTCCTGTCGATCAAAGTCTGTAGGTGCATCGATAACGCAGCTTCAGTTGTTAGTATGATCGATCACTAATATCGTGCCAAGCTGACTCACATAACGATGTTGTCTTCATTGTTCATGTACTCCTTAACCATAGCCTCAACCTTGACTTGATCTGTCTCGTTAACAGCAGAAGCATTCTGAAATGTGCCTGGAAGGTCGAGAATACTGAAATAGGAGCGGTGGGGGCCTGACAGCTCGATCTTGAGGACTTCCGCTACGAAGTTCTTTCTGTCTTCTCCTAGACCAGTTCGAAGGCCCATGAATTCAGAGGATATCTGCGGTTGTCAATCCAGGTACGTAAAATTGATGTGAGCCACCTACTTCATCGATGACCTTTGCAAATCTCTCCTTGGTGAGGATCTTGCCGCTGCACTCATAGTTCTTGATGTTGTCAGATGCAGGATCCAAACCAGGAACATCAACTTCAGCAGGATCAATAGTAATGCGGAATGAGTCGTCACTATCTGGTTCTGTGCGACGAGAGACAATGCGTGTGGGGAACCGAGTGCAGCAGCCACTATCGACTGGGAAAGGGATTCCAGTCAAGCTTTGAAGGAGAGACGACTTTCCAGAGGATTGTCCTCCCACAATGATGAGCTATCACTTGTAAGTATTGCAAGAGTTCAAAAGTCCTAAGATTACATACCTGAGGAATGCTCAAGTCACCGGCACCAAAGGATTGCAGGGCATCAATTGCATCAAACAGGATGCGGTTGTGCTGACTATCAAAGGGATCTTCGGGCATGATCTCTTGATTGGAATCATCACGTGGTCGAGGTGAAGAAACTGAAGTTGGAGAAGGATCATAAAACACGTCTCCAAGGCTGGAATCGGTTGGAAACTTTCCAATCACTTTTCTAGGGCTCTCCTTGCCGGAATTGAGGCTATCAAACCCTTTGTAAGGCGTTCGGGGAGGAGTATCAAGAGCGTGGGGATGCATAGAGAGAACTTCAACAGGTCCAGCCATGATGAATTGATGATAATAATAGATGAAAAATGAAATAACAAAGGAAAGGTTCAGACAAGGTATCTTGATATGAAATTGAAGCTGAAGAATGGATTGCCCTCTATGACTGTTGGTGGGACTTGAGCAGATTTATAGCTTCCAGGACGACTTAGCTATCTCATCGTCAAACAAGCATAGCACTCTTCTGTAGAATGAAACGAACCCACAGACTTTGTTGCCATTACACCAGCTTCTCATGCAACTACGCGCCGGCCATCAGTTAACCTCCGCATAAAGTCAAGGTTTATTCAGCTCAAGTATATCTATTGCCGGATCAAGGCATCTCGGGAAGCAGTTTTTGGCCAAGAGCTTTCTTGGCACGTTAGAGATGACTTCCCAACCAAACAATTGAGACACATCGGCTGTATTGCAGATGGCTGAGACCATTGTCGACCAGCATAAGAGCCATAGTCCAGAGATAACATAGAGTTCAGGTGAAGGTCAAGAAGGAATCAACCGGCAGGTTTCGAAACGTCAGATTTTGATCTCATTGGCCGCTTTAGCATATGCTGTTGGTTGCTGCAAGCACTCATTCAGCTATCTGCAGGGGTTTGAGCGCGAAGCTGAGAGAGGCAAGAGATAACTCAAAGAGGCAACTCGAAAGATTGAATGTTTGATCTTATCGATCAATTCCCCTGCAGTTTTAGAAACGGCCAGGCAATTGTTTTGAGTTGCATTTATGACAGGCCAGAGTAGCACGGGTGGCAAGGCTGCTTTCAGCTCTGCGGGAGCTTTCCTGTTGAGCGAGATGTTGATAATGGACAAAACTCGCAATCAAGACCGAGATTGACGACACTGTGACTTGCAAGCGCCTTGGATAAATAAAGGTGACAAGATCCCAGAAAAAACGCATCCTAAGGGTCATTATACTGGCCGGAGAAGAAACACATCAACCAACAACCAACAACGGCGGTTGTTCAGCCTGAGCAGCCAATCAGATTTGACCGTGCCGTTTTCAACCTGAATCCATCGAGATGTCTCAAAGTCTAGCGTTGTTGTCGCTAACATTTTGACCTTCCAGGTGATTGTTGGCCACATCTTCCATTGACCATTGTGCTTTATCAAGAGCTAGGGGATGAAACAAAACCTGGGACAGCTTTGGAATGATTTGGGATAAACTTAGCCGGCTCTTCGACGAGTCGCTTTATCGCACATGATTGTGCTGTAGCAAAGCGTTGCGATGGATGTTCATGGGATATCCACAAGACTGGGCTGTAGTTGGTGAGAGCTGGTGGCAAGCACAAAACCTTCATCGAAGTGATAGGAGACATGACTCATTTTTCGTGCATTACAAACACACAACTTAATAACGAATTGGAGAAAACTGACATCATCTTTGAGAAACTTGCTGATGATAAATCAGGACGAACGGAAGGTTCAAGTGAAGCCATTGAGGAGAAAAAGGAGATACAGGGTAAGCAGCCCCACCTCGAATCAGCAGCGTCACTTTCGATTGTAGCTCAAAATTTCAACATTTACATCACCAGCGACTCTACGGCCGTTGCAGCAACACACCACAAGCCGCAGTCTCGATTCTGCGCGCTCTACCGAAATGAACACGATGTTCTCTTCTATCACGCGCCTCGCGCGCCCAGTTCTGGCCAAGCCCCTCACTCAATCGCCCAGGTAAGCTCATCCTCATGCCTCTATCAAGCCATCACTAATTCCATCAGGACATTCACGACCCTCGTCCCTCTCCGACCCTCGCTCACTCCCATGAACGGCGCTATCCGAAGAACAGCTCTTCCCTCAAGCTTCACCCCCTCGACAGCCGCATCAGCCGATATCGTTCCTTCGAGCGCCATCTCAGCACACCCTGCCCTCGGCGATATGCAGATTCGCTGCGGACCCCGAAATACAATGAACGGACATACGAGGCTGGTTCAGAAGCGCAGACATGGATTCCTATGTCGCAAGCGAAGTAAGACGGGGAGGAAGATTCTCCTCAGAAGGAAGATTAAGGGCCGAAGGCACATCGCCCAGTAAGCCTGTGATTATGGCATGAGGAGGTTGGAGGGCATGTGTCAATGAAGCATGAGCGAATTGTGTACGATACCAGAGAAGAGAGCGGAGACTTGGGTACGGATGCCTTAGTCTCTCTCGTGATACAAATCTGTACAAAGACCTACCAAAAGAAACAAAGATCTTGCATTCTCACATCTCGGTGGAGTACCGAACTTGCATATTGCAGCTAAGGTTTAAACCAGGGGATAATATCACGCACTTTTACGAAGGACCAGTTCCAGAACATTTCGGACTTTTCAGAAAAAAACAAAAGCTCACAGCCTGATGACGCCGGTCGACGTCGGTGTTGCAGCAAGGCCAGCAAGGCAGAAAGCTCCGAACTATTGCACCTGACTTCGGAGAAAGTCTCAAATTAGAAAGATGAGATTCAGTTCCGATAGACAGATGCAGTCCTGATTCGGATTCACCGGAGCTACCGTTAGTCAACACCATCACGATGTGCGGAAAGTTCGAAACCCCGCATTCTCGAGTGAGAATCACAGGCTTCTTTTCAGGCACAAAGTGCATTGGCTTGGTCTTATTCCTCGGCTTGGATTTTCTAGTGTGGTGGCCTGCATGCTCTTGGTGTGCCGATCATCAGGTACGCAGTAAGCGGAGAAGCAGGCTGTGAATTGGAGATGTCTATCACCAGGTGCTTTTAACAATTGTCTATATGGAATTGTGTATAGGCAGTTTGACTAGAAAAAACCAATTGTCAATGCTGATAAAGAAACAAATAGTTTTGACTATCTGATCACAAGTCTATAGATGCAATTGCTATTATCATGGATGAATATCATCTGGCCTCAGCTTTTGAAAGTGATGATGATGACACTAGCGTCCAAGAGATGCAGCTTATGCCGGCCCGCCTTGCATTAAGAGGATGAGATGGTGTGAAAGGTGATGAAAAAGGTAGGTGTCAAGACTTGATAATGCAGCTGAAATGTAAGAAGTGAATAATTCAAGTAATCAGAGACATTTCATGTGATGTTGTACTACCGATTTTCTCATATTCAATCAACGCCATATTCTTTCGTGAGGATTGGGAAATATGAATACTCGGATATCTTTCGTCTGATAAATGCCAGATTGACATCTAATTAATCGTGTAAATAATCTCAATGCAATATTACCGCAATTACTGCACTTCCTGGGTTAGGTATCGTGTTCCCCAGATATCGGCACTTGACTCCAGATCAGTTAAACCGGTTTTCCCACACAAACACCCCACCTGACAAAAAGTCCCTTGTCGACAAAAAAGCAAAACCTTGTCAACTCGTAGAGTCGAACTCTGCACGCAATGGAAAACTTGATAGCGGTCAAGGCTGAACTGAATTGAGCCGAGAAGGTTGCAACATGTTTCGGGGTATACTTCCGTTGATCGGCTCTGCAAGTGATAGAGGTGAATGTTTCTGTGAAAGATGGTTGGTCAGTCGACTCGATATAGCTCGGGCGGTAAATCGTAGCGTTTTATCTGGTGGTTTGTACTATAATTGGTTTGCTCATCACTGTGACACCAGAACTGTGATCTAACTATTGGATATCGACCAACCACTCTTACGATTCATACGAATCACCAGACTATTCTTTTTTTCCTTCTCTCCTATTTTTTTCTCAAAGCCCAAAGCCCTACAGTCCCAACATTTTGACAGTCCCCATCGTAATGTAACAGAGGCTAACAAAACCCCTGTAGCCCACCATCTTGATCACGACCCTCACGTGGTCCGAGATCGTCGTTACCTGTAAGGGAAGCTCATCCGGGCCCAACGACAAACGGACCAAGGAAAAATGCTGTCAGAGCCCGATGAAGGGGACCTTGTCTGCTGGGATCATGGAGCCAAGAATGCGGGGTGGGCAGTGTAGAACACACCATGAAGGATTAGACTGCCGCGAAGCTTCATTTCCGCTGTTCGGTCCTGGGGCGGCGGTTATTACACCGACGACGTGAGGGTTTGCCAAGATGGATGGGGGGAGCTATGGGTGGATGTGTGAAATGTGATGGGAAGGGGAGAGACAGGATCAGCGACTGAGGGTTAGCGGGTATTGTGATGGGAGCTAGCTGAAGAAAAAAGATATATAAATGTCTGGTTCTTCTCACGATGTCGATCTCTCAGTAGATCTCAAGGACAGCTTCAGCTTCAGCTTCAAAGGCATCTCTAGGAGTTGTACCTCGCCGGCCTATCCTCACTTACACCCATACCTTGGACCCTATCCCTTGTCACGATGCTTCTTCTACCACTCCTCTCAGCCATCACCCTCGCGGTAGCCAGCCCTGTAGCTCTCGATGACTACGTCAACTCTCTCGAGGAGCGAGGTAAACATAACCCCATCCCGATTACTTCATAAGCTCACATTCCCAGCTGTTGGTGTCACCACAACCGACTTTAGCAACTTCAAGTTCTACATCCAACACGGCGCCGCAGCTTACTGCAACTCTGAAGCCGCAGCTGGTTCAAAGATCACCTGCTCCAATAATGGCTGTCCAACCGTTCAGGGCAACGGAGCTACCATCGTGACATCTTTCGTGTAAGTACAAGGCAGCACAAACACATCGCCCCCTTATTTACACATCCAGTGGCTCCAAGACAGGTATCGGTGGCTACGTCGCGACAGACTCTGCCCGAAAGGAAATCGTCGTCTCGTTCCGCGGAAGCATCAACATTCGAAACTGGCTTACCAACCTCGACTTCGGCCAGGAAGACTGCAGTCTCGTCTCTGGATGTGGTGTACACTCTGGCTTCCAGCGAGCCTGGAATGAGATCTCCTCTCAAGCAACAGCTGCCGTTGCCTCCGCACGCAAGGCGAACCCTTCTTTCAAGGTCATCTCTACAGGCCACTCCCTTGGAGGTGCTGTGGCCGTTCTTGCTGCCGCAAACCTGAGAGTCGGTGGAACACCCGTCGACATTTACACCTACGGTTCTCCCCGTGTCGGAAATGCACAGCTCTCAGCCTTCGTCTCAAACCAGGCTGGTGGAGAGTACCGCGTTACACACGCCGATGACCCTGTCCCTCGTCTCCCCCCTCTGATCTTCGGATACAGACACACAACTCCTGAGTTCTGGCTGTCTGGTGGTGGCGGCGACACGGTTGACTACACCATCAGCGATGTCAAGGTCTGTGAGGGTGCTGCCAACCTTGGATGCAACGGTGGAACTCTTGGTTTGGATATTGCTGCTCATCTGCATTACTTCCAGGCGACTGACGCCTGTAACGCTGGCGGATTCTCTTGGCGACGATACAGAAGCGCCGAGAGCGTCGACAAGAGGGCCACCATGACTGACGCCGAGCTTGAGAAGAAGCTGAACTCTTATGTACAGATGGATAAGGAGTATGTGAAGAATAACCAGGCCCGCTCTTAACGAGGGTATGAGGTTTAATGGGAAATGACATGATTCATGAACGAAACCATAGTACATATGATGCAAATAGGATATAAAAAACATATTTCATTCACTAGCTTTACACATTACCGTGCGCCATGCAATGCCCTGCTACTGACTCAAAGGCCATGCTCAAATTGTTTCATAACTCCAAGCACCAATCACCACGCGCTGTATCAGGGATTAATCATGAGATCCCTCAACCACCATGCCTTGAGCATTAGGAACACCAACAAGGATGACACCACGAGGTACGCGGACCTCTTTGACCTTCATGCATCCAAAAACGTTGACCTCTCGGATCTTGGGACAAGATCGGAAGATTGACCCCAAAATGAAATCAGTCACCTCTTCACAGAAGCTGATTTCCAGATCTTTCAACTCTGGGTAACGAGCATCCTCGTGGAAGACCTCTTCGAAAGCCTCGCGTGAGATATGACGGCAAGCATGAATGTTGAGGTACTGAAGCTTCTCACCCGAATGAGCCATCAACGCTTTGAAACCCTCACTGCAGAGCCCAACGCTATCTGGGTTCTCCCGAGGCTTACTTGCATCAATCTGTCGACATTTCTGGAGATCCACAAAGTGCAAGGGAGGATTGGCCCATTTGGTGAAAAGATTAACAAAACCCTGGTCAGTCATAAACTCACTGTCCGTGATTCGGAACTTGGAAAGGGAGCGACAATGCTCGTGAATAGCCTGCAACAGCCCATCGTCAACTTCAGGAACAATCTTCAGAGACAAGGTCTTGAGATTGACACCGATTTTCGAGACAACTTCGATGTAAGCGTCAGATTCAGTCTTGTGCTGTAACTGAAGTCCGAGATGCTCTAGAGTCGACAAACTTGCGATCGTTTTGACACCGTCGTTGGTTAGCTTTTGGTTATTCTCAACCTTGAGTCGCTTGAGATTGGGGCAATGATCTCTCAGCGTGGCTATGGTTTCGTCACCAAAGTGATTGTCTGTATAATAGACTTGGATACCCTTCAGCTTCTCGCCCTTCTCCTGGATGAACTTATGCCACTTCTCATCGCTCAAAAGATTGGCTCCGTGAAGGTAGAATGTTTCGAGATTGATGTCACGGGACAAGAGGTAATCCATGACCTCGTCCTTGAACTGAATACCACATCGGATCTTCAGATTTTTGAGTTTCGAAGCCGTCTGAAAGATGGAAATGTAATCTTGTTCACCAAGCTTTGCGCCATCATAGATATGGAGGTCCTCGGTGCCGGGCTGGACGAAAAGGGGCAAAGTCTCTGGCTTGAGGAGTCGACGCTTGGAGAACATGCGTGCAATTTTGTCGATCAAGTGATCAGGAAGGTCTCCAAGACTGTCAGCCAGATCGACGTTCTTGGCCAGAGTCTGTACACACAGTGTGGCCAAGCTCTTGGTACCAACGTCGCCGTCAAGTATCCGACTTTGAATTGCGCGACGTCTTCCAACAGGACCCGTATTGACCGGTTTCTTCGGCTTCTTTTTTTGGCCACCTTCTCGTTCTTTGGCCATCTCTCGTCCGCAAGGAGGACAAAGAAGTCCTCCGTTAGGACCAGCGACCGAGTAAGGTGTGACAGTGAATCGTTTCTCGCAAATTTCGCAGTGCTCTATCTGTCCAGGCAGGGGGCCAGAGTTCGATTCCATTAGCGCATGAGCAATTTCATCATCAGATAAGTCTGTTCGTTGCTTGCGCTTCTTGAAAGCTTTGCTCTCCTTGATCTTTGCGAGTTTCTTCTCTTCTTCTCGCTTACGCTTGAGTGAAGCTTCGTCATTGTCGTTGCGACTAGAACGTCGCCCGGACCTGGCACCTGCTGCAGAGGACTCGCCGTTCCCGTTCTCATCTTGAGCTGCATCCTCACGTGCAGCTTGTCGGCGACGTGCTTCAGCATCTGAGCGGATCTGAGCAGCAGAGATATTGTGCGACTAATCATGGTTAGTATGCTATAGCGACGTGCTCTTCGTAACAGCCATAAACTTACAGCAAGAAAATCAGTCAGCGCTGATTGACTATTGAGATGTTAGTATGATTATATGGCTAGAGGTGGTATTTTACTTACGGTCCATAGACAGCACGACCTTGTCGATTAGATTGATTTGTCTGGCCATTCTGGTCGTTTTGACCAGCTTGAGCGTTCTGGTCTTGAGCGTTCTGGTTGTTACTGCGTGTTGCCCGCGCCCTGTATATGATAAGCTTATCGCCACTATAGGCATAAGAAAAACCTACATGATGGAGGAATAACGAGTGACCTAGCAAAATGAAAGATTTACACAAGAAAAGATTCCCCAATCTTCGGCGACCACATTAGCCACCCAGTGAATGAAAGGGAGGGGAGAATCAAGCTTGAAAAGGAGTTGGCGCAAAAAAGTAAAGTCAGAAGCTGCTCGGACAAGTGCAGCGCCGTGCAGTGGCGTTCCCGCTTGCGCATTCTTTCACGAGATTGACACCGTGTCACGTGATGCAATCGCCCCTTGAAGTGGCAAATCGAAGATCTCAGCATCAGGGTCCAGAATTGAACGGCAGCGACAATCTACTGCCGTTTGCAATATGAGATACTGCGGGGTTTCAGAACATACTGGGAAATCAAAGTGTAGATGTTAATACTAGACTTAACAAGGCTTCTACCAGTATGAGTCTTGCTATGTAATGAGCTATAGATGAACTCTTAATCTATGATGCAACTTATGGCGAACGGTTCTTGTAAGTGGGATTGACCAATGTTTTCTGTCCCCGATCCTGCCAGGAACGATGCACCCCAATCAGATCGACAATCAATACCCCCTGGCCCCGGGCACGTGCCTGCGCGTAGCGGGGTGCTCTTTTCGACACTGTGAATCGTGAATTGGGGTATCAAACGGGAAGCAACGCCCCGAAAAAAGGAGCTGGTGGCGATTTGCCTTTAACTTCTATCTGACTTTTTCCCTTCATCCTCACGCTTTCATTGTTCATCCGCTTGGAGTCTTTCTCATCTCATTGAACAAATTCTGTCAATGTCAGTCGTTTGTTTGCGTGATTGTTCTTTTGTTGTTGCCCGCAGTCAATCAATTTGTATCTATTCACGGTCACTGCCCAGCACTGCATTCACGGCTGTGCATTAGTGAGCTGCCAACAGACAGGGGTTCAATTGCCGCCCTTTGCCTTCCACCAGGCTCCCATCGTTTGATCTCAATTTCCTGAAAGAAAACACCATCAAAGACTTTTAATCTTTGTCCTTAATCGTGCAGCTGTGCAATTAAGAGTCCCATTTGGAGGGCGACAAGCTGTCCCATTGCACATCGTATCCAAATCAGCAGAACATCCTCTTGGACCAACTGACATCATGCCTCGAGGTCGCCCTTCCACCCGGGGTACGCCCATCACTGCAGCAGATGGTAAGTCTGATGTTCATAAATGGTTATTATTTCTCACTAAAAAATTCTAGCTTCTAGAGATACATCTACTGCTTCTAATCGAATGACCCGCTCAGCCAGGACTAGAAGTCAGGCTGCCTCGTCTATACCAACTCCCACCCCAGCTGTAGATATTCAGCAAGATGCTCCCTCTGGGTCACGCCCAAGAGGAAGGCCTAGGAAGAGTATCCCCGAAGTCGAGGCATCACCTCTGTCTCAATTTCCTACTTCTGACATCGCACTTCCCACTAAACGACGTGGCCGCCCAAGCAAAGCACCCATCATTGAGAGCGAGTCTGTATCATCAGTTCCCACGCCACTAGACCCAGATACAGGGAGCGATTATTCAACTCCTGCGTCTAGCAAAGTGCCAACCCCGGCAGCAGTCGATCATGGAAAATCAACTATCTTCGAAGTTCAACTTCCTGCTCCTTCTACCTCTCGCCCCGTTGACCGCGAGATAGGTCTGCGCAAGAGCGCATATTCTATGAACTCGAGGGCCAAAGGTCGGATGGTGATTGAAGACTCGGACGACGAAGATTTTGACAATCATCGAAACGCTCAAGTAGCTCGTCGCCTCCAGGATGAAGAACTCAAGCAAGCATCCAGTGCCGCATCATCATCACTTCCCTTACGAAGAAGCATGAGACCTTCGCTCTCCGGTAGTTTCAACACTCCTGCTCAGACTTCTGTCAAGCGAGAACGAGCATCGACCCTGACTGACTCTACCGCCAAGCGTGGTCGCCCAGCGAAAAAGCCTAAAGTCATCGCCGACTCAGATGACGAGGAAATTGACATGGATGCGGAGATAGCCCAAGGGCTTGACCTGGACAGCGGCTCGTCATTGAGCTCATACGAGGATGAATCCTTTGCCGATGATGACGCTAGCGACAAGGAAGCAGCTCGATACATCTCCAGTGATGACGAAGACGTTCCAATGGCTATGTCGAGAAAAGCGGCCGGAAAGCGGCCAGCACGTCCCATGGCACGCACCGTACCCCGTGTCAAGGCACCTGCTGCGACTTTTGCCCACTCCGCAAGGAAAGCCGCGCAAGCTGACGGCCCGTCTGGTGATGAGCTCGATGCATTGGAAAGCGCTTTAGGTGATGCTGAGTCTACAGACTTTGCAACTGATAACAATGACGGCTATATCGACTTGAGTAGTAGCGATGCTGATGCAGATGACGCCGATAACAGAGACCATCTCGCGGCTATCGCCAACAACCGAAGGGCTTTCAGGAACCAGGGTGTGAGCAGACGTGCCGTTAGAGAACGAGAGCGTTTGGAGAAAAACCACCCTGAGATCATAGGCATGTGGGACAGGATTAAAAAGGAGCCAGTGATCAAGGCTGGGAAGGCTACACAACCGGAAAGAATTTCACGCCAACTCAAGCCATTCCAACTTGAAGGTCTTGCTTGGATGATGGAGATGGAGAAGGCAAAATACGAAGGTGGCTTACTCGGTGATGAGATGGGATTAGGCAAGACAATTCAGGCCGTGTCTCTGATTATGTCCGATTATCCCGCGAAACAGCCGTCGCTGGTTCTCGTGCCTCCTGTTGCGCTCATGCAATGGCAGCAAGAGATTAAGTCTTACACCGATGGCGCCTTGAACACATTTGTTTTCCATGGAACAAACCAGAAGACCAAGGGGATCACCGTGAAGGAACTCAAGAAATTCGACGTTATCATGATGTCGTACAACAGTCTCGAGTCAGTCTATCGCAAGCAGGAAAAGGGTTTCAAGCGCAAGGATGGCATATACAAGGAGAAGAGTGCTATTCATGCGATCGATTTCCATCGAGTTATTCTGGACGAAGCACACTGTATCAAGACACGCACCACCATGACAGCTAAAGCATGCTTTGCTCTCAAGACTACCTACCGGTGGTGTCTGACGGGCACGCCTCTGCAGAACCGCATCGGAGAGTTCTTCTCTCTGGTTCGTTTCCTACAAGTCGACACCTTCGCGTCGTATCTCTGCAAGCAGTGTCCGTGCTCCACGCTTGAATGGTCGATGGACGAGCACAGTCGTTGCACTGGGTGCAAGCATCCGGGAGTGCAACATGTTTCTCTGTTCAACCAAGAGCTATTGAACCCTATTCAGAAATATGGGAATACAGGCGCAGGCGCAACGGCTTTTGAAAGACTGCGTTTGATGACAGATCGCATCATGCTGCGCCGTCTAAAGAAAGACCACACCAACTCTATGGAACTCCCAGTCAAGGAGGTTTATGTTGACCGACAGTTTTTCGGAGAAGAGGAGAACGACTTCGCGAACAGTATCATGACGAACGGCCAGCGCAAGTTTGATACGTATGTCGCTCAGGGTGTTCTCTTGAACAATTATGCCAACATTTTTGGCCTCATTATGCAGATGCGACAAGTTGCTGACCACCCTGATCTCATTCTGAAGAAGAACGCTGAAGGAGGGCAAAACGTGCTCGTTTGTTGCATCTGCGATGAGCCTGCCGAAGACACAATCCGTAGCAGGTGTAAGCATGACTTTTGCAGAGCCTGTGTCGGTAGCTACGTCCGCTCTACTGATGAACCTGATTGCCCCCGTTGTCACATCCCCCTCTCGATCGATCTGGAACAGCCAGAGATCGAGCAAGATGAGAATCTCGTCAAGAAAAACTCCATCATCAACCGAATCAAGATGGAGAACTGGACCTCCTCTTCCAAAATTGAACTTCTAGTCCATGAGCTACACAAACTTCGCTCTGACAACGCCTCACACAAGTCGATCATCTTCTCTCAGTTTACTACCATGCTGCAGCTCATCGAGTGGCGTCTCCGTCGGGCTGGTATCACTACAGTCATGCTCGATGGTAGCATGACACCTGCCCAACGACAGGCCTCGATCGAGCATTTCATGAACAACGTGGACGTTGAATGCTTCCTGGTTTCTCTCAAGGCTGGTGGTGTGGCACTGAACCTCACCGAAGCCTCTCGAGTATTCATTGTTGACCCGTAAGTGTTTGAAACGAACATTGTTATCTGAGTAGCTGCTAACAATTACATAGATGGTGGAATCCAGCCGCTGAGTGGCAGTCCGCTGACCGATGCCATCGCATTGGACAAACACGACCTTGCACTATCACGCGACTGTGTATCGAGGATTCTGTTGAAAGTCGAATGGTGTTGATTCAGGAGAAGAAGACTAACATGATTCACTCCACTGTCAACTCGGACACCAAGGCCATGGAATCGCTCACCCCCCAGGACATGCAATTCCTCTTCCGTGGTTCATAGACGAACTGGGACAACGGCACAGAGCAAAGAGCAAAGACCTTCACAAAAAACTAACTGGTCTTTATGAAAACTTGAAATACGGGGACATGAATATGTACAGCATGTGGCATTGGCCACCAGGCATGCAGGGTGTACGCATGGAGTTTGGAGTTGACATCAGTAAAGACGCCTTGTTCCTTAGAACGATTTGATTTTAGCACTCGGAGATTCAAACATGTATAAATTTAATGAACGAATTAAAGTATCTGAGGAGACCTGTGTGACCCCGTGATTTGTAATAAATGCAAGTGCCGTGGCACAACATGTCTCGCAAGGAATTACAGAGGTGTCTGAGATTGACAGTTCAGAAATTAATTATGATCTAATATCCGTCTATCTAGCTCTTTTCTCGTTTTCAAATATTGACTGTCAACTTTTGTGTTTCTATTTTCATCGGCCCATGATGAGATTCAAAACATACGAACAAAAGGATTCTCCAAAGAGAACACGAAAGAAATGGTTTCGCTAGCCATTAAGGTGCAAGAAGTGATTAAAATCACAGACCAAGAAGGGCCTTGGCACCAGGCTCGCTGCAGACGTAGATAACGTCGTGGGCGTTGGAGAAGCCGTTGAACTGAGTGGCAGAGCACTTTGTGTAGGCACCCATGTCCTCGAAGTACAGCCAGTCACCGACATCGAGAATGGAGTCGAAGCGAGTGCTCTCAGTGATGCGGTCGATGCCATCGCAGGTAGGACCCCAGACGGAATACTCGAAGCCCTCGCCCTCGGAAGTGGGATGGGCAGCGGTGGTCTCGAAGAGGGTCTTACCGGAGGCGCGGAGAACCTTGGCGATAGGCTGCTGGTGGTCAAACATGATGTTTGAGAAGTTGCCGTAAACGCCATCGTTGACGTAGAGCATGTAGCCCTTGCCATCGAGAGTGGGGTCCTCAACAGTTCGGCGAGCGATGATGTTGCAGGCGATGGTGAAGGCGGTGGCAACGTAGTATCGACCTGGCTCGGCGATGATCTCGATGTTGCTGTGAGGAGGGAAGAACTCGTCGAGGGCGTCGCCGAGGACAGCAGCCATGGTCTCGAAGGTATCGCCGCTGAAGCCACCACCAACGTCGAGGGTGCGCATGTTGAACCCGAACTCGTGGGCCAGCTGGAAGACGGTGTGGGCGTCGCGCACGGCCTTGTAGAAGGCAAGAGGATCAGAGGCACCAGATCCAACGTGGAAGCTGACGCCAACAACGTTGAGACCAAGATCCTTGGCCAGGGCGAGAAGACCCTCAGTGGTGTCCATGGCGGCACCGAACTTCATGCTGAAGCGGCACAGAGACTCGCTGTCGTCGGTCATGATGCGGAGGAAGAGCTCAGCTCCTGGATAGAGCTTGGCGATCTTGTAGAGCTCATCGGCATTGTCAAAAGTCATCTGTTTGACGCCCACAGACTTGACGTATCGGACATACGAGTTAGTCTTGCAGGGTTGGGCGTAGATGATGCGGTCGGGGCTAAGTCCTGCGGACAGGACCTGCTCAATCTCGGTCTTGGAGGCACAGTCGAAGCCGGTTCCGAGCTCAGATAGAAGCTTGATGATCTGAGGATCGGGGTTGCACTTGACGGCTGGTGTTTGTTAGTGTGTATCACTGCATATTGTCGAGATTTGTACTCACCATAGAAGGGCCGGACCCGAGGGAGATTCTTCTTCCAGCGAAGATGCTGGCGGTAGACCTCTCCGAGGTCAGCAACGAAGAAAGTATCTTCGTCGCCAGGCTCACACATCTCATGGTCAATGGCCTCCACGCGCTGGTGGAGAGCCTGACCGATGAGTTGCTTTGGAGTAATCACGCCATATTGCTCAAGAGGTTCCTGAAGCAGGGGTTTCTTTAATGCGATATGAGGGTGATTGACATTATGATTGTAGGTGTCGAGGACAGCCGTTGCCATAACCATATCCCAAACAGTTGCGGGGGTTCGTTGGGAAGTTGAAAGAGGGATTAAGTCCGTGGACTAGAAAGACGATACTTTATAGAAAAGTATATATAGTAGAGTGAAGCTTGAACGTACGGGTTCAGCTGGTGTTAGGGCGGTCGAGAGCGGTAGCAGACTGATCCCTCAGTGGACTGGCGAGGCCTCCTCGACTCTTCCTCGGCAAGAGGAAGAACCTCTGTAAACCTCCTATGCGGCAGCTGACGGGTGTCGAAGAACGACGGGGGAGTGTAGTCGGATCGAGAGTCGTGCAAGACGGAGAGATCGAGGAGCTTATCGTCGAGCAGCAATAGCAGCGGGAGGGGGGATCGCGTTGATGATGTGAGAGGGCTTGCAGAGGCTGAAATCTTTGTCACTGACGAAGCTCACGGCCGGAGGAGCCGTGGTGAAGGCGGTGCCTTTAATAGACCAAAGGCGGGTCGAGTTTGGTGACGAGTTTGAGCAGTTTTCAAGTGCTCAAAGTTGCTAGGTTTTGTTGATAACGGTTTCGTATCAACGGGTGCACATTGGAGTAGTTGAAGAGTATAAAAATTGTCGTGATGAAACGTGACAAGTTGTCGAAGAGGAGAGAAAGTGGATGGGGAGATGGGGGGGCCGCCTTTTTATCTGGTCGGCTCTAGTCTTGGCCCACGATAGAAAAAAGAGGCCGATGAGTTTAGTTTGGGCTCTGCTGATTCGAAGAAAATTGTGGAGGTCGCGTTTCCGTTGCAGGTTCTAATTGCATTTGCAGGTCCAAAGAGTTCGAGGTCCAGGTCCAGGTCCAAGAAAGAATGGAGAGAGAAATTTTTACCCTCCACTGTGACGTTGACGAGAGGGGCAGTAAACTCTGTACGTACCGTGCACTTACAGGGGACTTTGAGAATTCGGTGGCGCAGTAGATGAACTGGCGCCTAATTATTATTGTATAAAATACCTAAACTCTGTATATATTTCTCTCAACAACTAATGTTGACAATTCATCAAAATTACAGTCACAATTCGTGGCCTGACCTCGTAAATAATCGCCAACTGCAACTGGCGGTGGATGAACCATCTCGATTCTAGGTAGCTACAGGCCTAAGAAACAAGAACCCCGCGCTAAACCCAAAAGCCCCAGCAGCGGTAGAATATCCCATTGGTCTCAGACACTTCCAGAGTCTCGGGAACAAGACACCACACCTTGGAAAAAATGCAGAAATATGTACCGATACATGCAGTCCGTGCATGTGCATTTCCCAGTATAGAAGCCCGTTACGTTCCGGGTCTTTTCGAAGGTTTTCTTGACCGACAGAGTCACAGGCTTCGGCGTCATGTCCTTTCCTTGGTATTTAGCATAAAGACCCAATAATTCCCTCAGTAAATAAACAAAGCACAAGACCACGGACCGCGTAAGGCTGGAGCTTATTCCGCGGTCAGGCACCATTGACCAACCCCTGGCTATCACTTGCCATCGTCATATTCTCCATCAAAAGGACACCGTCAACAAAGCCTTTTTAATGCCTCTCTAGTATTTATCGTATACGAATAGACGAATCGGCATGTTCTTCCGCCCGAGCATCTGTAACAGTCATACAGCATGTCAACGTTGGTCACTCTGTAACACATCACATGCATGTACTCTGCTCTTTAGTCCAGTAAATCCATCGCTCAAGGACTCCGGCTCTGATAGAACGAGCTACCACCTCTCTTCATCCATCACACCGACTCCCTTCTTCCACAGTTTCCCCAGTCTCCAATCATAGAACTCCTCGTGCTTGGTGCTTTCGCTCCGCAGCCTCGAGGGTTTCCACAACAGATGCCAAGGTGAAGGTAGCTTCCAGAAATCAAGATAGACAGAAAAGAAAAAAGAGGGGCTGTATCTGCTCTTGCGTTGCTCTGTGGTCTCTGTACCATTGCATAGGCAAAGAGATGTATCGTATCTGAACGCGTAACGAGGCACCAAATCCCTCGTGTTCACATAGAGTGGAAAGTTCCGCTGCGATGCAATGTGAGGAGGGTCATTTATGCTTTGTTCATCTGTGTAATTTACACTTCATCGTACACGCCATCATACAGCTGTAACTCCAGCTGCTCATTGCTCATCCAAACCTCTAGCATGCTGATGCTTCCAACTCTAGGTCGTCATTAGCTTCGTAATCGTTTTCTTTTGGCCTTACTCGGCGCCGTTGACATCCATTTCGCGGATCTTCCATTCGCCATCAACCCAGGACTGCTTCTCTCCAAGGAAAGCGACTCTGCCTTCGCCCTTGGCCAGTCCGTCAACGAGGTAACGCTGCGCCACTTCGCGCACTTGGTCCTTGGTAACGTCAAGAAGCTGTTCACGCTTCTTCTGCTTCATCTCCTCAGTGATACCTGAGAGGAATCGGCCCATACCCTCCTGGTTCACAGATTTGGGGGCATCAACTCCCTGGAACACAGAGATCTTGGCCTCCTCAAGGTCACGGTCCGACCACTTCTTATCGACGGCCCATTGCCCAGCACCGCGCATGATGCTCAGTGTGTTTTGAGGGTTAGGGTCACGGTAAGAGTAGAAACCAAAGAGGCCGTCAAGAGGTCGAGAGTAAGCACCTCCACCATATGCGCCACCCTTCTCACGGATTTCGTGATGCAGATGCTTATGTGTAAGAAGCTGTGACAGGATCTGGAGAGGTGCACCCTCCGCTGCTGTGTACGATGTGGTTGGTACTGACAATCCACCATAGTAAACTTGGTAAGGAAGAGGATAAAACGTCTTGCTATCCTTGGGAAGCTGGCGGGGAGAGGGGTTCTTCAGGTCGAGAGGATCGCGGGAGAGGTTGCCCACAAACTTCTGCAGGGAAGCACCATTCTCTGCAACACTCTCTGGACCGCAGGTAATTGCTGTACGCAGGTTTCCACCAGCAAGTGCAATGCTCTGAATCTGCTTCAGCTTGGAGATAACATCTTCAAGCTTGTCCGTCTCAGGTCGGCTAGCTAAAGAGGTCACCAGCTGCACTTGAGAGAGGCCGGAAACTTGCTGTCGCAGCCACGAGGAACGGGTAAGACCAGACTCAGCACTACCCATCGCGAATCGATGTCCAGTGGATGCAATATCGTTCACAACACCGTCAGCAGATGCCTGAAGCAGCTGTCGAATTCTGAGGGCTGCCTCGGGGCTGTCGAAATCGGTTCCCAAAACGAGCTTCTGGATGATATCGAACATGACAGGAACGTTGCGATCTAGGGCCATACCGGTGAAGATGAGGCCTTCACTAGCAGCGTGGAAATCGGTGGGAGATGGTGTGCAGTGGTAACCAACTGAAACGCCACCAGTCTTGAGCTTGATCAGGTCTTCAAGCTGCTCCATGTTCAGGTCCTTAGTACCAAGACGCATGATGCTGTCAGTGAACAGAGGGACCAGCTCGCGAAGCTCATCAGGCAAGTTCTCCAATGTGTTGATAGCACGGAAGTATGTCAAGCCGTTCGTAGGAGCCTCGTGCCACTGGATCTTGGTCCCGTTGGCATTCTCGTCTCGCACAACCACAGGCTCCTTGCTTCGGGGAATATCCTTGACGTGGACAGTGGGCAGACAGCCGAGGTCCTCGGTGTTAGTCTTGTTTTGTTCGACCAGCAACTCCTGCTCTTGCTTCTCGAAATGCTTCCGGGCGTTCTCTTCACTGCCAGCCTCCTTGATAGCTGCCTGGATTCTGGTAGAAAGTCGCTCCTGTTCCTCCTTGACAAGATCCTCACCGTAGGTGGTTGAAGGGGCCATTGTGAACGTCAAAGTGTTATCGTTGAGCAAATACTTATCGATGAGACCCTCCAGGTAGTTACCCTCGGCCATCTTTGTTTGGAAACCATTGATGGTGTCGTTCCAGGCCAACGAGTCAAAGGGGTCCACACCGTTGAACCACTTGGGCTTGAGACGGTTCAGCATAGAGAATCCAAAGTTGGCAGTCTTATGCTTGAGCGATAACTCAAGCTGGTGGAGGGATCCGTCGATCTTGGTTTTGTCAAAGCCCTTCTCTCGGACTTCCCTCAAGATCTGTTGAACCTTCTCCTTGAGCTTGGGAACATCTGCCTCCTGAACACCGGTGAGACCAATAGAGAAAATTCCCTTCTTAGCAGAGCCGTCATATCCAGCGTTGGGGCTCCAATCAGCGCCCATGCCAGCCTCAACAAGACCTCGGTACAGAGGAGAACCATAACCATCCATCAAGAGGGTTGATAGAAGTGCCAGAGAGAAAGACTCCAGCACATCTGTGGTGTCACCCATGATCCATGACACAGAGGTCTTGTACTGACGATCAGGGTCGACAAGAGGATCAAGTGGTCCGTACAGAGTAACTTCCTTGGGGCCGCTCAGTGTTACGGGTTCGTGAATTTGCTTGTCACCCTGGATCTTCTCGAAAGCCTGGAGCTGAGCATCGACCTGCTGCAAGTGGTCAACCAAGGGCATATCACCATAGGTGAAGACCTTGGCGTTGCTGGGGTGGTAGTGCTCGGCGTGGAACTTTCGCAGTTGCTCGTATGTCAGGTCTGTGATCTTCTGGGGGTCGCCACCCGAGTTGTTGATATCGGGGAAGATATGGTCGTGGAAGCGAATGTAGTAAAGATATCCAGCATCCGACATCTGACCCTTCATTTCGTTGTAAACGACACCCTTGAATACCAATTTCTTGCTCGCCTCATCCTCAGCAAGTGGGTTCTCAGGACCAATTCGCCAACCCTCCTGGGTAAAGTCGGACTTCTTAAGCAGTGGGTGCAATGTTGAGTCAAGGTACACAGACATGAGGTTCTTGAAGTCCTGCGCGTTGGTTGTCGCAAAGGGGTAGAAAGTATGGTCTGATGCCGTGAACGCGTTCATAAAGTTCGATAGTGTTCGCGGAAGCATCTTGAAGAAAGGGTCACGAATGGGATATCTATAGACAGTCAGCATTCTCTGCTTTCATGTCTATATCAAGACGAGTCGTACTTTTCGCTACCGCATAGTGTCGTATGCTCTAGAATGTGAGGAATACCAGTATCATCCGGAGGGTTCGTCTTGAAACCGATCGAAAAGACATTGTTGCTGTCGTCGCGGGCAATGTGCAGATAATCGGCTCCTGTCTTGTCATGCTGAAGGTGAAGAGCCGTCAACTCAAGCTCAGGAACGTGCTTGGATCGAACAAGGGTGAAGCCATGAAGCTTCTCGCCGGGCTTAGGAAATTGCGAAAGCTCCGTGACGGCCTTTCGAGCGCCGGCGGCGGCGTTACGAAGCATTGTAGCAGAGACGTATAAGAAACAATAAGAGAATTAATAATACAGTAAAATCAAGGAAATAGTGTAAAGTCGGATATGCGAAACTACATGAAAGAGTTAAAATTGTCGTTAAACAGTCACCGGAGATTTCGATGGATGTAATGACGCCGGAACGATTCGCCCCGAAAAAGTGAAAGGGTCTGCTTTGTAACCCCAGCGGTTTCCTCATGGAGTGGCCGGGTCCCAGCCCACGTCAGTGCCAAGGACATGCCGTAATTGTGGGTGGCCAGTGGACAGTACTCAGTGAGAGGCCACTGTGGGATAGCGCCAAAGCCTCTAAAGCCGCATTAGTGTGCATTGAAGCACTAACTGAGCGGCTCGAGAGGCCCACCAGAATCTGTTAGTGACTTAGCAATTATCAACATAATCACCACAAAGGTCCATGGCAAAACCTATCCATCTCAAACCTCCATGAGCCCTCCATCTCGTCACACGTTAGCGACTGTATTATTCGATGTCCAACGAACCCTGACTCCAACGCTGTGTCCTTCCAGAATTCATATAGGTCGTACTGTTGCCGTTACTCAGCGTTGGTGTCGATTGCTATCATCATACGGACAAAGCCAATCTTGGTGCGAAGATATTCCCTCCTCAACCACTCAACGTGCCTCTTCGCTGCGAGTGCTGGACTTGACAATCTATGCGTGAAGCCGACTAACAGCATCTTCTCGCATCTTAGCCGATACCGAATAGTGTTTTGAGTATCATTTTCTCGTTACCACAACTTCAACCCCTCATCTGGCGACGAACATCCCACCCACGATTAACGACGATACATCCCGCTTCGATGCCCCCGGCTTTTCCTGACCTCGTGACCCCCGCCTGAACGATTGCCGTCGCTACCTTGGCCCATCGTAGCTTCGACGGCGATGCCTGCCAGCCAGGTGGATGCTCCTGTAGCCAACGGGCATGACGGACACGCTCATTCACCTACCAAGAAAGGCAAAGGAAAGAAAGGAATGGATAACAACGAGGCATCGCGTCTGCTCCATGCGCGGATATCCCAGCTGGAGCAGGATGCCGCGGGAGATAAGGAGCAAGAGCTGGAGATTGGTGCGTCTCGCCCTCGTCGTCTGCAGGCGGCAGCCTCCCATGGATTCGGAACGATACTGATACGTGGATGGTACAGAACGTGAAGTGAAGAGAGCGAATCGGGATCTCCTTCAGCAGGTATCCAAGATGGACAACATGCAGAAAATCGACCACCTCACCAAGCGGTCTAGTGAACTGTTGGCTGATATGCGACGATTGGAGCGTGAAAATCAGAAGAACAAGCGGCGCGGGGACACCCTACAAAAAGAGAGAGATGCAAGCCGCACGGAGCTTAATAAGACTGTCGGTCTTAAGGAGAAGCTGGAAAAGTTATGTCGCGAGCTCCAGCGGGATAATAACAAGATGAAGGTTTGTGCGAGAGGGCTGACGGAGAGGCGTTGGCTAACTCTATTTGCAGAATGAGAATAAGGAGCTTCAGACGACACAGAAACGGAACAACGCTCACTGGGACGAAAAGTATGCTACACTCTTGACAAAACTCGATGGATATCAGGAAGAAAAAGATACTCCGAAGAAACAAGTCGTGGATATGGAAGTCGACGAGCTGTCAGTCCCAACCATTCTTTTACGTAGAACTCCGCTCACCTTTTGTTCACAGGTTCCGAATTCGCTTCAAATCGTTCATCGAGCAATACGAGTTACGAGAATTGCATTTCCACTCATTAATGCGCACCAAGGAACTCGAAGTGCAGTACCATATGGCGCGATACGAACGAGAGAAGAAGAACGCAGAAGGGGAATCGACGAAGGCCCGACATCTACAGGCGCAGGTCCAGGCGTTTACCAAGACAGAAACTGAGCTGAGGAATCAGCTTAATGTTTACGTTGATAAGTTTAAGCAGGTGGGTGGACTCGGATAAGATAGTTCGGCATGTTGACTAATGGCACAGCAGGTGGAGGATACCTTGAACAATAGTAACGACTTGTTCCTATCATTCCGCAAAGAGATGGAGGATATGTCGAAGAAGGGCAAGCGGTTAGAGAAGGAGAATGAAGCCCTGAAGCGACAGAAGGAGGCGACAGCTGCCAACATCATCCGCATGGCCGAAGAGCGCCAGGAGTGGAAGAAGAAGACAGAAACCGCCGAGAAGAAGACCGAGAAGCTCATGAGCATCATCCAGCAAATGCAGCAACAAGGGCGCAGGGTGCCACCCGGAATGTCCAACACCGTCGAAAGCGGTTACTCCGATAGTCACGGAGGAAACGAAGGAGACGAAAGCGACTACTCCGACGAGGAAGGCGAGGAGGAAGAACTTAGCGAGTTCGACGACGATACAGAGGAGGAACCACAAGGCAACGAGCAAGGAACGCCAGTGGCCTATGGTCCTGAACGTCCCCCTCAGCCGGTTCCTTCGGCGGCGACAAACGGGCACTAGGAGGCCACTCGGAAGGGGGCTCAAACTGGAGCCAGTGTCAAGAAAAGACTCCCCAGCTTTCACCTGAAAATCCCTTTTCCGCTGTGAACTTGATGGTCCAGGCTATCTTGTATCAGGCGCAGAACTGGGGAGTTGTAGCTTTTGGGGGCGTGATGATGGCTTCGCGCGTACCGAAAGAGTAAGGATCTTGTTAGTTGGCTACTGGTTGGGCTGCTTGCTAGAGGTGCTTTTTTGTTGCTGTTTGTTGTTGCTGCTTCGCTATTGCGTGTAAGATGTATTGTCGTAGCTTGTGGATTATTCGAGCATTCATGCCTCGCTCTACTTGAATGTCTACCTTTTGAAGTGAGACATGTGTGAAGTCTGCAACAATTGCACATATAAATGATTCGCGCCACGGCAATTGAATCACTCAATTCATGACATTCAAGAGTATGACATCTGCTGCTGTATTACTAGAGTTGCTCTGTTCTTGTTTCGTATTCTGTCGTGTTACCACATCGGGACATCGGGGAATATCACCGCCGACGTGCGTTAGGCCAGATCTACTCTATCATCCATCCCACTCTGATAAGCCGCGCAACAGGGGCGCATTAAGCAGCCTAGCTTCGCTCTTACAACTACAACCCCAGGTTTTCGGTTCATCAACAGCACCGCAACCATGGATTTCCTTCAGGTACGTTAATATCAAGCATGCCCTGAACACAACTAAATCCTCCAATTACTTCAATGGATGCTAACTCCAACAGCGCCTCGCGCGCTTCCTCGATCGACCGCTCTTCCCATGGAAGAAGCTCATCATGGGCTTCTCCGTAGGCCAATACCTCTTCGAATCGTTTCTCACTCTCCGTCAATACCGCGTCCTCCAGAAAACCAGTCCCCCCGCCGTCCTCTCCAAGGAAGTCTCCCAGGAAGTGTTCGACAAGTCTCAAGCCTACGGTCGCGCCAAGGCAAAGTTTGAAATCATCAACGGTCTCTACTCTCAGGTTCAGAATCTCGCTTTCATGCACTTCGATGTCCTTCCTAAACTGTGGTCCTGGACTGGTGATCTTCTTCTCAAGTGGGCTCCTGCGCGCTTCACTGGAGAGATCAGCCATACTATCGTATTCGTCTTGACTTTCGCCGTTATTAGCCAGCTTCTTCGTCTTCCTTCTTCGATTTATCAGACTTTCGTCCTTGAGGAGAAGTTTGGTTTCAACAAGCAGACGCCTAAGCTCTTCGTCACCGATCTCATCAAGACCCAGGCTCTCACCTTCGTTCTCGCGCCTCCTTTCCTCGCAGGTTTCCTCAAGATCATCCAGAAGACTGGTAACCAGTTCTTCTACTACCTGTGGCTCTTCGTCATTGCTCTTCAGGTCTTCATGATCACCATCTACCCCGTTGCTATCCTGCCTCTGTTCAACAAGCTGTCTCCTCTTGAGGATGGTGAGCTCAAGACCAAGGTTGAAGCTCTCGCCGCTAGCCTCAAGTTCCCTCTCCACGAGCTCTATGTCATTGATGGAAGCAAGCGAAGCGCCCACTCCAACGCCTATTTCTTTGGTCTCCCCTGGAAGAAGCACATTGTTATCTACGATACTCTCATCGAGAAGAGCGAGCCTGATGAGGTTGTTGCTGTTCTTGCTCACGAATTGGGCCACTGGAAGCTTGGTCACACGACCAGCTTGTTCGGTATCTCTCAGGTAAGTTTTTGAATTCTATCAGATTATTACTGAAGCTAACAAAAATTCAGGCCCATACTTTCTACATCTTCCTCCTCTTCTCTGTTTTCATCAACAACCACTCTCTGTACTCCTCGTTCGGTTTCCTCAAGCAGCACCCGATCATCATTGGTTTCATCCTCTTCTCTGATGCTCTTGCTCCTATGGATCTCGTCATCAACCTGCTTATGCATATCGTCAGCCGCAAGTTCGAGTTCCAGGCCGATGCCTTCGCTAAGCAGCTTGGTTATCCCGAGCAGCTTGCTCGTTCTCTTCTCAAGCTCCAGATCCAGAACCTTAGCACCATGGACGCCGATTGGATGTACGCCAGCTACCACTTCTCTCACCCCCATCTGTCTGAGCGCCTCAAGGCCCTTGGCTGGAAGGGCTCTGAGGGTGTCACCGACGGCGTCACTGATAAGTCCATTGGCAACGAGAAGGAGAGTGTTGTCAAGGCCAGTGGACGTGATGAGCTGTAAATGCAGCAAAAGATTATCTATTTAGATTACATCTGAACAGGGGCTCCTTAGTCTCCTTGGGAATGTGTTTTAGATATAGGAAAATGGCCGGTATGAGCTGGTCATCTAGAAAGGACTTGGCCACCCTTAGACACGTATAGAACCAGACTCAACTGTACAATACAAGTGATTTTTTTCTTAATCTTATCTATTCATGGCATTGCTACCGATATGCTCTTGATGATCCCAGAGTCTACCTGTGCGCCATCTACATTTTACTCATTTTGTTCATCTAATCATCATAGGACTCGTCGGAATCGTAGGATCCTTCAGAACCTTCCAACCCTTCATCTTCTTCAGATGACTCTTCCTCTTCACCTTCTTCGGGCTTCAGGCCGTAATCATCGTGGAAGTAGCTAAGCTCGTGAGTCTGGACCTTGTAGCCCATGCCCTTGAACGCTGTCTCCATACCCTGGAATTTGTTAGTAATGACCAGAAAAGACAGGGAGTGAAACAAACCTCTTGCATGATCTTGGCGGCAGTGACAACGATATTGCTCTTGCCAGGCTCAAAGCACGGTAGGACAGTCTCAAGAAGAGCAGTCTTGATCTCATCCTCGGTAACGGCTCGCACGCGTCGCAGAACCTCCTTGCCCCAATCCTTAGGCAGACCACGGACAACACCCTGGACAAAGTTCTGCTGGGCGGCGCTAGGCATGGTGGATTGTTCATCGGCGAACATAACAACGATCTGGCTGATGGTGCCCTCGAGCAAGTGACGATCAATCTCAACTTCACCTTTTGCAATCTTGCTGATGGCCTCCTTAGAGGCCTTGATAGCCTTATAAGCATCGGGTGAGCGGTAGACATGGTACGAGATGATACCAGAGTTGATATCCCGAGAGAAGTAGACGCCGTAAGCGTATCCAGCACCACGAACAGCGTTCCAGAGAGGACCTTCAGCAGCTTCGAGATATCCAATGGCAACCATGATTGAGGCGAGACGAGGATCGTCGAAGGAGGCCAGGCCTTGGGCTGTTGAGACTGAGTAGGAGCTCTCCAGAGTAGTCATGGGCACAATGATAGCGCCAACTGATCCAGGGTTGCGACCTTCATCGTTGAGCAGGCTCACAGGCTTAGGAATCTCAACCATGTTCTCGGCGACAGTCAGAGACTTAGAGAGCGTGTCCCAAGTAGTCAAGGGGTCCGGAAGAGTTTCGAGATTGGCTGTGACAAGGAAACGGAGGTTCTGGAAAGTGAAGAGCGAGTCTCGAACGGTGTTGAACCAACCAACAACCTTCTCGGGTTCCTTCTCGAGAAGCTTCTTGAGTCTCTTCAGATAGACTGCGCGAACAAGCACACGCTTGGCAACAGCCAGTGAGGACTTTTCCATATGAATAGCAGCGTTGACCTCGCTAGCCATAGATTTGCCATCACGCTTTGACTCAGGGATGTCAGCCAAAGCCTTGGTAACGCTGGCTTTGAGTCGCTGGGGATCAAAGATTGAGTCAAACATCATGGTGCGAATCCACTCAACGGCTGCAGCATACTTTTCAGGCTCAACCTGGAACTGGATCATTATTCCGTCAGGATCGCTGATGTAGCGAGCGGAGTGGAGGGAGTAGCTGATAGTGTCTCGCTCAAGTTCCATGACAACTTGCTCAAAACCGACTTGCTTTCCATCACGCATGATGTGTGTGTTGAAAAAGTTGTCGCTAAAGATTGGCATCAGGGGCTTTAGCTCATTGGGAACTTGAGAAGTGCCGATGTGGATAGTGATGTGAACAAAGTTGGTGGGAACATCCTCAAATTGGATGAAAAGAGGAAGCTTGCCTTGAGTTGTACCATCAATGAGTTTCTGTGCCGAGCCACTACCCAGACCGACTGCGCGTGCATGTCCTGAGCGAGCAGTATCCGACTCAATGAAGTGGATAGAATCCGTGCTAGGAACACTCCAGCGATCGACGACAGAGGCGGGAATGGGCTCATCATTCTTCTTCTTAGCATCTTCGAGACGCTTGGCAAGCTTCTCCAGACCTTCAGCACCCAAATCCTCCTTGCGCTTGGCAATCCGAGCTTCTTCATCCTTCTTCATCTTGGTGGCCAATTCATGGGAAGGCTTGCCGAGGATTGAGATGTGAGGAGCGTCAGCCATCCATTTGCTGAGGAAGTCTCGCCACTGCTGGTCTGTCCACTTCTCCAAAACATCGTACTCTTCCAAATCCTTTAGATCCTTAAGTGTCGAGCCATCTCGCTTGCCAAAGAGGTAGTCGGTGATGATATTTGTAGCGTAGAAAGACTCGGATGTCTCAGCATGGTACTTGACTTGACGCCTCTCACGACGGATGCACTCTCTCATGTAATCCATGTCGATAGGCTTCGAGGCAACTTCCTTCAGAAGCTCAAACAGTCGCTTCTCGACAAATTCAAGCTTCTCAGTAGCAACACCTGTGGGCTGCAGCCAAATGACCATGTCAGGTCGAGGGTCGGTCCAGTAAGAGACCGAACTGGCGAGCTCCTCCTTTTCAACCATGACATTCTCAAGAATGGAGACAGAAGAACCACAGAGGTATGTGAGAAGCACATTAAGGGCAGATGATTGGATAAGGTCGTTGCAGTTAGGTCCGAAGAAACCAACGAGGACCTCTCCAACGGATTCGTCTTCCTCTGGGAACTCAACGGTCACAATCTGTGTCTCGTTAATCTTTGGGGGTTGGGCGGAGTCAATCCAAGGCCTGTGACTAGTCAGCAAAGCACAATTCACTAATGATTATGCAACTTACCTCTTGAAAGGGGTATCAAGAGAAGGAATGTCATCCTTGATAGACTCTTCAAAGTCTTCGAGGATGTGGATAAGCTCATCTTGGTTGACCTCACCTACAAGAACCAAGCAAAGGTTTCGGGGCTGGTACATGTCCCGATGGAACTGGCGGATACGTTCAGGGGCAAGAACTCGAAGAGCATCAGTCATGCCACCAGTCTCGTAACGAAATCCAACGTTTTCAGGATAGAGGAGACGACGGGCCTTGATATCCATGAGCTCAGAGCTGCGGAATTGCACAGCTTGCATTTCAGAATAGACAACACCAGCATCGTTGCCTTCGCCATCGATGTGCCAGACCTCGGTCACGATACTCTCATCCGTAATGGTAGGCAAGATAACATGCTCGAGGTACACAGGGAGAACTTGGGCGAAACCATCCCAACCGGCGGTTTCAAGTGTGTAAGCCGTATGGTCGGTAGCAGTCCAGGCGTTTGTGTGGGAGTATGCTCGGGAAGAGAGCTTGTCAAGAAGACCCTTGTACTGGTAGCTCTTGGAACCCATAAAGACGAGATGCTCAAGAGTGTGAGGAGCGCCAGAGTCGTCAAAGATCTCAGTGGCTAAAGTGAAGTAGCCATTGAGCTTGGGACCCTTGCGGTCAGCGACAACAACCTGCATTCCACTACGGTCTGACACATATTGAGTGATTGTGCAAGGCGCATAGTCCGTTTTGAAGCTCTGTATCTTGCGGAAATGCGACTTTGAAGGTTCTGGTGACATCTTGAAGTGTTTGAGGCCTACGAGGCTCCAAATAGAACTTGTTAAGTTAGCAAACTACTTATATATAGAAATTTGAGAGGAGTCAAAGAGATAGAGGAAGAGAGCCAGGCTTATATAGTAAGAGCACGTGATAATTTAGTGACGAACGGGATATTATAAGACTGTGAGCGTTTGAGGAAACAAGAATCGGGAGTGGCGCTCATTCAAGCGGACGGTGATTGGGTTCGACCAAGAAAAGCAACTGTGTCAAAGAGAAGAAGACATGACTAACTCAATGCTGGTAGCCGCAAGAGAAACGTTTGACATGATGGTATAGACGATAACGCTGAGCAGGGCGACTACCGCTGCAGCAGCATATCGTGAACGCGAGTTTTTGGGTGACATCACGACAGTGAAAGTGCTTTGTCGATGACAGTTATTCCCAATCTGAGAAAAGAAGCAGCTGGCAGCTATTCAGAGTTCAACTCGGACTGCATCCAACTTAAAAGAAAAAGCGAGGGTTCCAACCAACTTCATACAGAGGAACAGGCAGAGTTATGCTGATATACGAATTCTCGCGAATAGCTGTTACACAGCAGCACAGATACTCAAGACCCCGCCATCAAGAGAAGAACACTGACAAGGAAGAAACAAGGTTGAAGGACAAGGCAGACAAGGCAGAAACCCACCAAAATATGTGACACGCAATGCAGACAGTACCTGATCACAAGGAAAATACTTTACTCACCTTCAAAGATTTGTTGCCTAAGTACCGTAAGATAAGGCTGTAGGTTGCTGCGAGTAAGAATGACGAGGAGAGGAGGGGTCCAATCAGTTACTGGGAATGGGCCTGACGAGAAAAATTACCCCGCTATCGAGGTAGCACTTGGTGTAATTGGTAACAGCAATACGACAGAAGACGGCTGAGGATGCGCAAGAAAGATTTAAATGGATGGTTTATATAGAGGGAGTTGAAATAAGACATTGGATGTGAGCAAACATTTTGTTGAATGGTAGCAACCAACATTGTTTTAATATCTTTTGCTCCTACATCAACCACAAGCACGAATTAACCTAGGCATCTATCCAGGTATAGCCTCCGCCCTCCTCATAACTTTAGGTAGGAGCACAAGCCTAATTTCCATCGGCATTCTCAATTTTGGTTGGCACGGTCCTTGTCTTTCCATTCATGACCTCAAGAACAATGCAATCCAAAGATGGGCTTTCATGAACAATCCATTAAAGTGGCTTGTGCTCGTCATTAATTGGCTGTACTGCCGCTAAGCGCACTGGCCAAGGTTCAGCCACTCAGTGCTTGGCTATCAGTGGGAAAGTGGCAGGTGCACCAGGGAGGGAAGCTGTAGTGCTGTCATGACGGCACTGGAAAGTTGCCAGCTTGTGGCTGACTCTCGACTGTAACTTGCGACAGACACCGACAGCTCATGACAAGAGCCCACAGCAAGCCAGAGAATATTGATGATTTACCTTGAACTTTGAGCTGTCCAATTACTATTCGAGTCCCACAAGTGCAACATATCACTATTAAGCTCCACGAACAACTCAGCAGCCGTTGTGCTAAACCCACGATACACATCTAGCTTCACCTGACGTTGCTCAACCTTCTTACGATAATACACCTCCGTCTGTCACGATGGCTGCGACAACGGAGCAAGCTCCGCAACAGCTTAGCGACGCTCTCGTCGCCTTCTCCCTCGAAGGTCGATTCCCCGACAATATCTCCGTTCTACCTCCTGTTTCCGAAACCGACCTACAACCTGCGATCCAAGCTCTGGCGAAAGCCAAGCGAGATCTGGAGGTAATATGACTCTATTCAAACGAACTTCAGCCAGCTATGTTGCTCACGACGCCCACAGGCCGAGCTACACACCATCAATCAAGAAACAAAACAAGATGTTGATTCCTGGGTACGGAATTCAAAGACTCTACAGGAGGACATATTCCGCTCGAAGGCGATGGCCAATGAGATTGAACGGCAATCTGAAGCTCCTGATGCTTCTGGCGAGGCGATTCAAGACGCGGAGGAAAAGGCGGAGTTCTTGAATCGCGAAGTCCAGTACAGTCAACAGCTGCACGGCGCATTGCAAGGCATCAAACGTGTCAACCAGCTCCTAAGTGAAGTAGAAGCTGCTAAGAATGAACGCCGCATATTAGACTCGTTACGGCTACTCGAGAGTATGTTATAAAATTCCCATTGCCGATATCATACTCACCACTTGACAGAGTCATGGGAAGCAATTGACCAAATTGGTGTAAGTAAAACTTGTCGAGTCATGAAACTTCTGAATCTTCGAAGTTTTGAGCTCAAATCTTCTGTTCATGAGGTTTTCGACCATATCTGGAAGACATTGATTCATGCGGATATTGAGACACGCCAATTCGCCGTTTACAATGTTGTTGAGGGTGAGGAAACTGCCTCGCAAATACCACTACCGCTGACAAGTCTTAGATGAGCAAATGAACCTCTCCGATGCAGTAGTTGGCCTTCAGGCTTACAAAGAGGTCGACGAGCGTATGGAACAGTTGTGGCGAAATGTAGATGCCGCAATCATATCTCCCCGGATGGATATCAAAAACAACACCTTGCCTACTATACAAGCAGATGGAGAGGTCCTGAAGCTATCAGGAGAAGCATCAAGATCAGTCGATGCTCTACTCACCGACCTAGAAACGTCCTTCGCTTTTCTCGCCCAAAAACTTCCTTCTGATCTCTTGCCACCACTTGGTAACTTTATGATGGCAGACGTAATACCCAAGCTTATTGGGGAGTGGCTGGAGGTTGCCGTACCTTCATCATTGAAAGAGATGGACAACTTCCAGGCCATGATCAAGAGAGCTCGCGAGTTCTGCCAGTCGCTGACTCAACATGGATACACGGGCTTCACGGATTTACAAGATTGGGTTGACAATGCGCCATCAATATGGCTTGGGAAGTGTCGTGAGACAACGCTCGACTCTGTCCGATCCAATTTACTTGGCGGAATTGGAGAGTCAAAACAGGTCGAGAAGGTTGAGAAGCAAATGGTATCTCTGGCAGAAGGTAAAGAGATCACAAAGACGCCAGGAGGAGCTGCAGCAAACACCGAAGCTGCTGACTGGGGAGCTGATTGGGGTGATGCTTGGGAGGAAGATAATGAGCAACCCGAAGTCCAGAACAAATCTGCCTCTAAAGGCCCAGGCTCTGCGAAAGCCGACGAAGACGATGGAGCAGATGCATGGGGATGGGATGAAGAGGACACCACTACCGAGGCCAAGGACACCAAAGAAGCCCCCGAGAAGGATGATGAAGATGACAGTGCTGCTGCTTGGGGCTGGGGAGAAGAGGACACAACCCAAGAGCCAGTGCAGGCCCCGAAACCCAAGGGCAAAGCCCCTAATGCCCAAAACGAGACTCGAGAGCTCGTGTTAAAGGAGACATATAGCGTGTCGTCAATGCCTGAGCCTGTCCTCGAACTTATTTATGCCATCTTGGAGGACGGCGCTGCACTAACGAGAGACGATGTGGAATATGCGCCTGTTGCAGCTACAGCGCCTGGTCTCTTTGGTCTGCCAACATTTGCGTTAGCCTTGTTCAGGGCCATCTCACCTCATTACTACTCTAGAAGTGAGGGTGGCAACATGTAAGGACATTCCAAGAATCGGCTGAGGGCGTTACTAATCCGGAACAGGTTCCTATACAACGATGCTATGTATCTAGCAGAAAAGCTCTCCGAATTCGCTGATGGCTGGAAGAAGCGAGACGACTTAACACCTAGGGCGCGAAACATGCTACGGCTTGACAATGACATCAAGAGCTTGCAAGCCTTCGCCAATCGCAGCTATGCCAACGAGATGAACATCCAAAAGACCATTCTTCGAGATTTCCTTGGTGGAGCGCAAAGTCTGATGCAGCAAGATGAGATGGAGGCTTGTGTCGAGTTGGCTTCGGCCCGCATCCGTGCCATGGCTTCTGTCTGGAAACCTATCCTCGCTCGTTCAGTCTGGACTCAGGCTTTGGGTTCGTTGGCTGATGCTCTCGCGACCAAGCTCATCACAGACGTCCTCGAGATGTCGTCCATCGGTCAAGACGAGGCATACAATATTGCAAAAACAATCGCCACAGCTACTGAGCTCGACGACCTCTTCCTGCCCAGCACCCTGACAGGAACTGCTAAGTCGGAGGATGAGGTTCCTCAAACAGCTCAGTATGCTCCTAGCTGGCTACGTCTCAAGTATCTGAGCGAGGTTCTGCAAAGCAATCTCAACGAGGTACGGTATCTGTGGTGTGAAAGTGAATTGAGTCTGTACTTTTCGGTCTCTGAGGTTATAGACCTTATTGAGGCTAGCTTCGAGGCGAACTCAAGGACGAGGGATACCATTCGTGAGATTCAGTCCAAACCTACGCCTTTAGCTGGGCGATGAGAGATGTTTACATAGAGATGAGGGCTGTTTGTGAGATATCTTGGAAAGATGCAGCATTTATGACGCTTTAGAAATAAATATGTGATTGCCTGGCTGTTTAAAGCCTTGCTTCATCTCTGTTCTGTCTTATTTTGTATTTGTTTTGTCTTGTTTTCATCTCTAGTACTCAAATCTATTGTCAGGAGCAAGTCCACAGCTCATCACCAACAACCACACAAACTCACACAATAGGAGCAGCTCTATGAATAATAAAGTAGCCATCTACTACAGAAGCATCTCGTTCTTATAAAATTAGCACCATATAATGCTTTTACCTCAGGAGCAGCTTTCATGTTCATCGACTTCAATGCAAACTCAAGCTACCCTATACTTCAACCGTGTCGAAAAGTGAGGCCCAGAATCGCTTGTCCGATTACGAAGACGATAAGACCCTTGATGTTGGTTTACTTAAGAGAGTAATTGGAGTTATTCTGCCATTATGATTTATGGTCACTTGTTTGTGGTCTTTGAACTGACATCGGGGAGAAACCATTGTCAAAATCACAGGCAACAACATTACGAGCAATGAGGTTCCGTCACTTCACAGCTTTCAGAAACTGGCCAGAAGATCACAGGCACCAAGAGGCAGACTCATCTGACGGCCATAACTCTCCTTGTCCTTGGCAGATGACCTCGCGTAATGACCTCTCAACACGGCATATCACAATCCACAAACTCAATCCGCCTTTCTCACCTTCGTAGCACAAACAATAGGCATAGGTCGAGTTTCCCATCGTACCATAATCTAGTGAGCTGACTGACCGGAAACCCATAGCAAGGCAACAAGCGGAGGAACACAAAAGCAGATAGCACAGCATGAGGCAGCTGCCGAGATGTCGCGACGTCATGTCCGCCGGATGAGTTTCTGTAAGAGGGTGAGTCCCTGGCTGGTATGACGACTAAGCATGCCAAGACGGACGTGGATATCTCCAAGACAAGAGGACAGCCAGTTAAAGGAGCTTCGAGCATGGCACAGCAGCCGTAGGATGCTTCATCGGAGAGAAGCGGACATGATGGCTCTGACCGTGGGTTACAGACAGGTAGTCGCAGGAAAGATTGCGCATTTCAACCCAGGTCCTCCCTGTGTAATGTCTCGTGCCAGCACATTCACCGATGAGGCAAACTTTGTCCAACAGTCGGGTGAAATCTCGGTGATGAGTCAATTCATGCCAAATCCTGATGTTGGTTGATGATTGTTGGTCTCAACAACGAAGGCATGTGCGTAAATTTGATGCCCGGCGAGCAAGCATGCATGGAATGAAACATGCAGCACAGGCGGAAGCCATATCCATGAATAGCATATTCGCTGAAGCCGCGGGCGATCCGCTGCCGAGTCCCGTAGACCAAAGCAGAGGTCAGAAGCAGGTCCACGTAGCATGGCATTGTTGAGCATAGCATAGCGGCAGTGACAGTTGGTTGAAACGGCGTCAGAAGATTGGACCACAAGCATCAAACAATGCCGCACAGATCCAAAAGGATTCAACGCAGGATCTCAAGAGGCTGAATTTCATGCCTTTCGGTGCTGGTGTTGTGCCTGTGCTGGGCTGGGCAGACTCTTACTTGAGTGTCAGAGTTAGACCCCCGGTGAGATGAGGCCCCTTCCATCTCCCTCAGAATCCTCTCAGGACATTTGGTCTTGTCTCAGCATATGATGAGATGAGATGGGGCCTGAGCTCTTACTCGTGGGTCTTTGCGGATGTTTTCCAGAAGCTCTGGGGATGCCATCCGGGCCATAGCTCTCAGAATAAGTTTTCTGAACTGTTCCGAGGCCCCCGTTCGAGCAGGGAATATCCATGAAATTCTCATCTTTTGCAACTTCTTGTTCGAGTAATTCGTTTGCGTCGTGGATACGTTTAGACATGGCCCCCAAGTCATGTACTTAGCCCCGACCGAAATAGATGTATATCCCAAACAACCGTCGCTGTCACCCAACGGACTTAGACTTTTGTACCTACAAGGTCCACCCCCGCACTAGGACCAGCTACTCGGGACCAAATTCGCCGTTTCACATCTCGCGGTAGTAAGGGGAACCCTACCACACTCTCTGTCTTTACTTCTTGGGCAGAACTTGCCATGTCCATGTCGTCAAAAACTCAGACAATAACTGGTCTTCGCCGCGTGAAACGTGACCAGATGAATATGCGAGTGATGGCGTGATGCCCCGGTATTGTAAGCCTGTGGGAGATTAATTCAATGCATCAGCCCTGTTGTCAAACAAAGTAAATGCCGAATCCTCATGAATAGTGAACTCTACTGTACAACAAATAGATAGGGGTTGATCCTGCACTATCTGACTCATGGGATCAACTCCTACGCTGCTGTGCCTATCATTGCGAAACAGAGCCCATTCTGCGTTAGGTTCAATTAGTGTCGGACCGTCGAAAAGTTGCCAAACTAGTCTCGAATAGACGGTCTTCAACAGTTGCCTGTTGAGGGAGTTGACGTGGCATGCCAGCACAGTCAGAATGACTATCTGTGGTGGTGAGGCTGATTAACCATTCCAACGACATGTGCTCAATTGCATCACCAAGCATGACGCCTGACTGATGACTTGTGAATATTGCCGAGCCATGTCGGCGATAACTCACCTGCATCTCGTCAAAGGGAGACAAACAGAGGTAGACTCAGCTGACAGAGGGTCAAATTGATATCATTTCTCCTCGCACGAGGTGTTTCCAGTACCACCATGAATTATGATATCCAGTCAGCATCCTTGAGCTCGACGCCATGGCTCTGTGAATTGGTACTTTATGCATCATTGGTCTCATGATGAAAAGGCGGCCTATGCAGCACCAGACATTTATCCCTCAAAAAGCACATGCATAGAGGGTCGTTGCATCTATACGTGATGCTGGATATGAACCACACTATGGCCTCTCACGCGATGTTGATATCGAGTGCACCATACCATGGCCACGATGCCGCGCCACGCCCTTCCGATCTTGTCTATGTTTGTCATGCCGCAGCGTCTGCAACTCACCAGGAACGGCATGCGAGGTGCTGGCTTCGCAAACTCCCACACAGTCCAGCCCGAACTGATACTTCAAAGTAGGGTGACCACCTTTGCCAACAAAGTGACTGGTCACCTATGTAAGACGACCCATGGGGCCGGCCCGAGCCAGGGCTAGCGATTCCAGACACAACCTTCAACAAAAGACCATACAAATGGTTGATCAGGGCTCACATATGGCAGCACCCATCAGTGGTTTTGCCAACACAACCACCAACACAACTTTTACAGCAAATGAGATGCAAAGCAGCGGCTCGAGGGGTACCCTAGGATTACTGTTCATCGTCTTAAGGGTTCCAAGGTTGCACTCGTCAGCCTACATACAGCACACAGCCAGCTGACCCGACAATTGGGCACATACATCTCATATGCTGTGCCGTAGGTGCCTAGACATTGGTGTGGTGAGATCGGCAAGGCTGAAGTCGCAAATATCCCCAATATGTTTGAGATGTGGAGTTGATATTTGCCAGCACACGAGGGTTGTGTGATGGTCTTGACTATCAATAGAAAACAAGACAATCTAGATGATGGTGTCTTGAACTAGGCGAATTGCCATGGCATTGAATTCAACCGCTTTGGTTACAAAGCATGCATGAACCAGCCAGTGGTTTCTGAGCGGCACGATACATTTTCAGACAGCAACCAAGCTGTCAGACAGTATGATATGTGATAACTGTCAGAAATGGCAAACAGCCCGCTTGCCAATGACACCTTGCAGTGTCGCGACCGAACCTCTACCATTGGTTCCATGCTGAGGTATTTGGTGGCCTTCATGCGATGCAACATGTTGACTGGTCATAGTTGATAAAGCTCTGTAGCTACACAACATATAGCCTGTACTACAACAGCCTCTGACGCATCTTAGTTGCTGTTCCGTATAGAGAATACCACCGGGCTGCTGGGGCCTGTGTAATGAAGACAATCAAACTATGCTGACCAACAGATCACGCTCAGCCAAATTCCCAGCCACTGGTGTCAATAGACATTAATCTGTAGCACACGCCTCAAGACTAACAGTCAGCAGCGACGCCGAAAGATGTCAAAGCTATAGCTGTCAGGGATCTCGAGTCAGGGGCCCATAAGAAGGATTCTAGAAGGCTGAGTATCTAAACGAACAGGCCAAAAACCCGACGACCCTAGGGATGTGAGGTAGGGTTTCTTGGTCCCTGGATGTTCCAAGCAAGGTATGCCCACCAAGAGTGGCATCCCAATCATCCGTGGTGATTTGCAAAAACACTGAGAATTGATGTGTGTTTCAATAACTTTCAAACTCGCCGAAGGTTCGGGCGTCTGGAGCATGGTCAGGGGAGCTTCAATTATACCCAACAATCTGCTTCAATATAAACGATACAGTCGGCAGTTTGTATGGTCGCGTTGAAATTAGTGGAAGAGTGTCGTTTCGAAACCAAATCGCCAAGATTCGCCATGCCTGGCTCGATTCTCCACTGATTGCCAGGCACAGCTGATCCCCTGAGGCTATGGCGTTTGTTGGTCCAAGCCTCCAAGTTGGGCGACAGATTAAACTTTGCACCGAAATCATGTACGTATTTCGCAATCAATCGCATTGTCAGTACACCATTCCCAGAGCGCAATACTGCCGACTACCACAGCATATCATTGCGTAATGGTGCTTGTGTATCCTTCTATGAATCAATGGGTCTTGGACCGCGAGGTACCCATGGACATATGAGAAGAAACACGCATGTAACCAAGTGCTGAATTTTGGCTCTGGGCCATCAATAAAGCCGACCTGCGAATGCCGCGGACGCCAGCAAACAACGGCGCCTTGATACCTAGTTCAACGCTTTGATGAACCGGGGAGAAGTCCCGCGAAATTGTGTTGCCCGTTGACATTGGTGGTTAGGCATTGACAGTGAGTGTTGTCTGTCTTCTTGAAACCGCCGTTGAGATTTTCCATTTATTCGACACAAATGCGCCGTTGGTACGGAGTATTAAGCTCTGGAATTGATGTGATGCTACACCCCAACCTCAACTTCCCCAGAACCCCTTCTTGCGCGTCAATGATGTGCAGCAGCCACAGGCCCAAGCTTTGTGGTGTCAACGAATATGCAAATGATATCCTGTGTGAAATTGTTTGCCATATGGCGCTCTGTAATTTGCTTCTCTGTCCACCATGTTTCCGGATGAGCTCGCCGGCGATTGATCCATGGAAAATGGTGGTGCCATGCCCTCCAGGTGGTCTGTTGCTCGTGAATCCGATCCAAAATTGAAAATTATTGCAAAGCCTCCTTCGGGTGATGTTTCTTACCATCAGCTCGGGTCAATTGGAGGCGCAGGCTCTAGACTCCACTGTAAGAGGAATTCGCCGAGGCCTCAATAAAATCAAATGGCTGAGCATCGACTCCATTTTGCAGTACAAGGGTATGGTAGCTCAATTCGTTGCAGAAAGTCAATGCTACCTATGCCCTGAGTGTTCATATGCCCGTTCATGGTTGCTGAGACCAACATCGAGAGACTGTGACACAGCTGCAGATCGAGGAATCGAATGTTCGTTCCGAGGTTGGTGTGTTGTATAGATTAGTACAAAAAACTGTTTTAGATACCATCGATTGATCATCACAGACGTATCAAGTATGGATTGTCTGATGCATGTAACAACGGTCTGTATTGCAACCTTGAAGTTATCAATTTCAACACTCGGTGGTTCTTATCCGAATATCTACACCTCAATAGGAAGGCCGAGCTGATAGATCAAACGTAGATTGGCGGTTCGGATGCACGTTGTCACCCATTTGCCTAATCCATGCGGCATTGAATGCAGCGGCAGGCGCGCAATGAGCGGGCACTCCCGTGGTATCAATCCCACCGCGTGGTCTGTATCAGTCCAATCACCAAGGTAGGATGATCTGGCGCACCCATCACGAGCTTCTCTGCGTACCCGATTGCGCGGGATGAGGTCGCTTAGAGGTGCCAGCTATGTCGAACTAAAGAAAGACTAATGCTGCTTCTACACTCTGCCACGAATGATTGACGAATTCAAAATAGCCTCGTATGCGGTGCCGCAAACCTCGAGTTCAGGTTATCAATCTTGTGGTGATTGGATTGCTACTCAACCTGGCCCTGGTCATAGCTTTCGTATACGACTCTGTCCTCGAATAGGCTGCTGTTTGCACAGGGTATGCTTAAACAACAGACACCATCAAACGGCTAGTTACCATCTTGCAGCATCCTCGTCAATGGTGTCCTTCCCCATGAAAACACCTGTAGCTCGCCTCACACGAATAATTGGACCCCAAGATGCAATTCGCATACTGTATCATTCACAGTGGTGGGCTTCATAATACAGCAGGTTGATGCGAGCCAATGCAACAGGTCTGACGCTGTGCCACTTCTTGCTGGCATGGCATTGCATAGGTCGCCTGCAGACCATCAGGTGCCCAGAAGCAATGACGCGATAGAATGCATGGTGAGACTGGGCATTGCGTTGTGCCTTGCGCCGACAGGACAAGGTGATTGTGACGCAGTCACTGTAATTACTGGACACAGTCGAGTGTTCAAAGTCTCGATACAGAGCTTGATGGCGTACCGCAGATGCTTGGCCTATGGTTGGCTGTCCTCCACAAAGGGTTAAGACCTCTGACATACTGCTTAAGGAAGCGCACGTGGATGCAACCCGTAGAACAGTGGAAATTGAGGGCGTGCCGCAGAAGTCTTGGAACGGAATAATCGGCATCCTTTGCTATGCTCTGTAAGAATACGGCGCATCTTGGACTGGCCGTGCCAACGCCCAGAAGGGATTAATACGATGGACAACACGGCCGCTTAGCAGGCCATGGGCTTGGCATTTACCATGTTATGGTCAGGTAGGTAGCTGTGGCCCTGTGGATAAGATAGCTCAAATGGAACGACGATAGAAAATCGACTTGAATACGAGATTCATATCGGCTGCAGCATGCCTGGGAGGCAGAGGTACATAGAAATACCTCAAACAAATCGAGTGCCTGAATATGGCGCGTGATAGCTTTGACGGAACATCGCATCCCTTGAGTATGCAAGGGCCCTGGCTGGGCCGTATCTCAATAAGACCTTTGGAAAAGTCATGACCGACATGGCCGAGACGCTGCCCCTCGAGTTGGAGAGAAACTGCAAGTCAAGGCGGCAGCTGTGTCGGTGGATTGAGTGATGAGCCTTTTTCGCCCCTCTAAAAGGGCCAATGGATAATTTCTGAGGATGGGACTGTGGAACAAACCAATTCGCAGTCAGACACTCGTTGAAAGGGTGAGAACTGGGTCAAGCTTGAGAAATTTAGAATACCATCACTAAATGTGATAGCGAATGAGCTTGCCCCGTGATTTCTAACGTAGCTTTGAAGGTGTCAAAAGTTTGTGGTTCGTTTATCCGCTCTGTGCCCCCGCGCTCGTCTTTCATTGTTGTATCCGTAATGAGATTCCCTACGTCACCCGGCAATCGCGTCATATCACCATTCTGGTCACCCTTATTTTCCCGTGACCAAACTGGCTTGCCAGGTTCGCCCGTTCAATATAGGCTGATGACGGAATTTGGAAGACTTGTGTTGCTCTTGAATCTGCCATTTTGCGATTCGTTTGTCTGTTGAGCCATGTCAAGTGAAAGACAGGGCTCACAAAGTTGACTGAACGATTTGCTTCTAAGGTTGAGTGTTGACACATACACAACGCTGACCGATACCGCAGGTCGTCTCCCGAGACACTTGAGATCAGTCCTTTCAGGGGCTCAAGGCAGACGACGGCCCCATGTCTCACAACCATGCCCCTTAAGATCCCTTAGGGGCCGAGAACCCACAACAGATCCTACAACCGATTGGATGATGAATCAAGCAAGCGACGTCATTGTTCTTCCCCACGCAATTGAGCGAGCCCTTAACGAATTAATAGCGAATCAGAATTCCGCTGGCGGTTACGGCTGGCCCAGCACACCGGTGCCGTTTGAACACCCAATTTGCTTCTCCAGAAACTCGAGATACTGGAACCGCTCAAGAATATCCTATCACCGGCCCAGATTGGAACAAGTACCGGCACACCGCATGTGATACGACACTGTCGACATGGTCTTCGTTGCTGGCTCTTTGTCGTTCGGGGTCCAGAATGGATACCTCGTGACCATAAGAAATCTTGCCGGTCTGTCTAAAAATGTCGGTGTATGCAGCCTAAGATGAAATGCGGTCCATGGTTTGTCGTTTTCCACGACCCCGCTATTGGATTCTCTAGATTTCAAACAGGGCTGCTAATGATAGTAGGCCTCGATGTGTTGAATAACAAGCGCGAATGGGATTCTGGCATAGGCCACTAGAGTCTTGAGGACAAGGAACCTTGTACGGAGTAACATCAACTCTATTTGCCATTGTCCCCAAGGCAAGATGTGCATGAATAATGATAAAGAAATATTGAAAGGCCATGTCCGTTGGAGTCGGGAAGGATATACGCCTGGCAAGGCTGCAGACTGTGTGTATTACCGAGTGTTTGTGATAAGAAAGCGGGGGATGGCGTCCGTCAAAGATGATGGATGAGCGGACAAGCCGTACGGGCAGTATGCATTCTCCGTAACCCACGGCCGAGATATCTGGAAGGTCCCCACAGCGACATGCTGCCCGCAGCAAACGATCTTTTTACGTATACACCCCTATGCAGGTTCCAAGCCGGTCCGGGGCCCTTGTCTTCCCCCTGTCTGAAGCTTGGGGGCCCTGACCTAAAATTGGCGGGAGTCGGCGCCAAAGGATCGACGAGATGATGATCTCATTCCGTTGTTGGCTGTTCAGAGGTTTGTTTCAAGATGCAGCATGAGGATATTGTCAAATCAAATGGCGTATTGCTAAGACGTCCCACAGAAACTGGCGGAATGTGGGATATACATTTGAGGTCCAGGAACTGGTATCCTGGGGCATTCAGCCTCCCAAGTCTCAGGCTCTTCTGCCACCACTTCCCATGACGCTCCTCAACCCATCCCCTGGGCCCAAGACGCGATTGGCTTCCCCACAGGATTTCCTTGACCAGCGTATGATCCGTCTGGCTATCTCGTGTCTAGACACGCTTGGAAGTTATAATTACCCTGATGTTTGATTGTGTTGTTTCGAGCGGGAGGGGAGACTAGAAAGCCAGTATGGGGAATCGAGAGGTGAGCCGATAGGCAAGTTTGACGAAAGAAATGGCAATCCAACGCTCCACTTGCGCTGGTGGTCAACGATGCGATGCTCTTGTCAGCGAGCGGCACTTGGCCGTGTTTCGCTATTAGCAAAGCGGCAAAAGGCGATAATGCCACGTCACCACGACTATAAGTCCGTGGACGACTACATGATAGACATATCACTGGGTTTATGTGACCTCAGATTCCTTGGTTTGACCTTGTAAACGAGGGCAATGCGAAATCGTGTCTGGATTACCATCCTGCATGCCCTATCGAGTAAACCCTGCCCCCCCTTAACCGAGTATTTGGGTACAGTCAACCGTGGCTGCATGGCAATCTGCACTGGGACCAGCAAGGAATTGAAACCCAACATGCCATACACTGATGCAGCCTTGTGCACAGCTCAGCCGCACGTAGGCGAGAGCACAGTAATCTGTAATCTGGCGGTCACTTTTGAAGATCAGGATGTGCCATCCTCTAGCGAGGGTAGGGCAGGGTTAACAACAACGGTTTGCCGGGGAAGGTTAAGAAGAGCCTTCCGGCGCTCGTGACAGTGGATACGAGAAGGCCCTAACTTGATAGCACGAGGAGCCACGCGGGCGTTGGTGTTGAAGTTGACATTTTGATAGTTGCTGTGGATGAGGCTAACGGTTTTCTCAAACAAGCTGCTTGGGTTCCTTGTTGATACTGAGATTAGACGATCCAGTAGCAGCTGAGGTAAGCGAATGCGCCGTCCTGCACTGTATAGAGAAAGATCAGTCATCGCTTTCTCCAGTATAGTGGATACAATTCCTTGAATAGCTGAGATTGCCTCGAGATGCTAAAGCGACACGATGTGATGCTGACAGAGAACACGAGCGTGGAGGATTGAGATGCCAGGAAGAGCTTGATAGCGCGCTAGGGGAGTGCAAGAAAACTTAGTGTTTAATCCCAAGAGACAAAAAGACTTAGGTAAGTTATGGATAGCTTAATAGGCCATTTGATGAGTTTATTTTGGCAGCCTTGTCAAGGTTTGAAGTTTTTTTGGCTCCGTAAGGACGCCATCTGAGGCTGATGATTTTAGTGGAAGGTACTCTATACGTAGTGGAATCTGGAAATGACCGAAGGACTCTACTTCTGCCAAGCAATATAACAACATCAAACACTGCCCGCAGGCAGGTACATTCAAGGACTAGGTACATCTTCGATTTTGGGTCCTGACTTTCAAGGCATGGAATTCAACACCAGACCATACATCATCACGATATCAATATCGGCTGTTAGTCGATCTAAATCATCGCTGTTGCTCGTTTCAAATCCTCGGCTCTGCGGTCCCGTTCAAGGGCCAATTTCCCTCTGGTCGGGTCGGGTTGTTTGGCTGGAGTCAAAATCAACATTGGCGCTCCACACATCGTGTCAGACTGAGGTCATTGTTGGAGGAGGCTCAAAAGCCCGGCCAGTCAAGCCCAGCTCAACGCAACCTAAAGCAGAGCAACGCTACGCTGCTGAGGCGCAACACGGAGTAGGGCAGTCAAGCCGCCGTTCAGAGGCTCACCAGCCCCCTTGCAACAGCATGAATCCTTGGGGCACAGGCACTTTTGCTTACTGCTCCCTCTGTGGTTCACTTGTTAGTAGTCTTGCGCATGTGGCTCCATGTGGCCTATAAAGTCAAATCTCTGGCATACAGATCGAGTCATCGCCTACGTATGCTGCATGAAAGAGGTACCACGTTTTGATATCAAAGTCCAAGTCAACGTCTGTGGCGATTGATTGGTAGCCCTGCTCCTTGACCAACGCTGGGCACATGGTTAGCCATGTGCCGAAGCGAGAGATTGAAGTGCTGTACACGCGAGTACACCCAATTCTAGGCGCGGAGACGGGTACTGTACGCGTATTGACGGGCGTTGAACGATTGAAGCTTCTACCATCCCCTGTCATGGAATTGTTCTTTTTCTATGACTATCGAAACTTGAATACGGTAGCGACGGGCAGCGGCTCCGACTGCTGTCAATGACTCCTCAAGCTCAGTGACCTGCTCGTCAATCATCCCAAGATTGTTTAGTCTTGGCCGGATCGCTAGCCGAAGCTGTCCTCTTTTTTTCTGTCTGCTTACTGGTTCAAAGTACGCTTGGGAACCACCAGTTTGTGTCAAAGCTCTTTGACATTTCCTTTTCTCCCTTTTTGATCCCCTCGTGATCATGATTTGAGAGGGTCTTACAACCTGGGACAAACGAGAATGCAAATATATGCCAAGAGGACAGAAAGGAGCCGACAAAGACACAATAATAAACAGTGAAGACGAGACAATCTTTGATGGTTGCTCGGTTGAGCGTGGGCACCAAGCTTGTTTATTAGGCCAAAGTCAAAGTTTTTTCTTGAACAAAGTTGAAGCAGAAAAGACCCAACCCCAACCCAGACTATGGACTTTTTTACCACTTTGCCCCTCTTCTCTTTCATTCTGACAGTTTGACCGGATACGGTCTTGGTTGCCAAGTTCGTATCGTGATCGTTGATTGCTCGATCGCCCTCGTCTAAAAGAGAACTTGGTCGAATTTGACAAAACTTTGCTTTTACCACAGTGTCATGGAATGGCTACCAAGGAGGGGTATGGCGTCTTATTGCATCGTCATTCTGAGATGGCTGCTCATCATCAAGCAATTGTGTTGCGACCAACCAGACTGATAGCACATGTCTATCGGACCATTTCGTCCACATTAATTCATCTCGTTTTCATCTCGTTGTCAGACAGCTTTGTTAGTCAGGAACAGAGAATTTGCCTATCGCCCCTTCGGATTGCTCTGGCATGGTCGAGAAATTGGATTTGCGCCGGCGCGTCTCATTCTGATTGACCAGCTTGAAAGTAAAGGTGTGTAGCTCAGACCTCTCGGATCCAGCGGCGCGCATCTCTATCTCTCTTCTTTTGCACCGGCTCTCCCTTACGACAAAACCGTTGATCGCCATGAGTATTTCATGCATTGAAGCATGGAAGATTGGTTTGTGTTGCAAGCCTAGTTCTTGAGTTACACAAGGATCAAGTGCCGAAGTCATCAATCATCATCAACGATAATCGCAATCGCAATCGCAATCACAATCACAAGCATGATGATTTATGATGATGGTATTTATGGCGTCTTTCTCCACTCTGAATGGCTAGCCGTTAGTTCTGGTTTAAGAGTGTTATTGGCCGCTGTTGTTGGTCCATTGCGGCGCACTACCGTACTCCGAATCAACGAGGAGTCCAGCAGAGCACTTTGAGGCAAGCGGTGTCGCGTTTATTCTGTCGACCTTGATGGACTCGGCGCTAGAAAAGCCAGAAAAGGGGTGCCGTAAGAGGAAGTGAAAGAAAACGGTGTGAGCCACACACTATCCATGATCCATGGCATCCATATGATGGCCGAGCCCCGAATCCCGCCCACAAGCACAAAGCCTCAATCCGACCTTCAAAGGAACAGTCCAAGCCCACTACCGAGCGCTAATTGCAAGCTGGGACGCTAAAGTTACAACACAACGGTTCCCGAATTCCACGTATTCAAGGCTTCAGAGTAAATCTTTTATAAGATTAAGCTTCTGATTTGAGGAAGTTATGATGAGATAATGAAGCCTATCGCGTAATTGCCAAACCTATGATGCTCTATACGACACGCTTGGATTCCAGGGATTGTCTAATTCGCAAGGGGGAATGAGGATGGACGAGAGGAGAGCTTAGAGGAGGATTGAGCCAGGATCCATCGTCATCTTCCAACGTTCCGGTTCCCCATGTAGGAGATGGCCTTCTCACATAGGCATGGATGCTCTGACGATTTCCAAGAGTTTCGTTTGAATCAAGCTCACACCGCTCTGAGCACCTATTTTCAATGCAATGCAGTTCCCTTTGCATCTCGCCCTTTCTTTTTCTTGGCTGGCTAGTCCATAGGTGATGGAAGACAGGGTAAGCTAACCAAAGATAAGCCAGCATCCAGTCCAGCCTATCCGATATAACTTGACTTATCCCTGGCACGTTGACGATGACCCTGTGGTAGGACTAGCTTGGCCTATGCTATGTTTCTGAGTCTAGCTTTTTGTCGCTGGGTTTTCCCGTGTAACCGTCTTGTCCTTCAACTGGCATGACTATGACTCTTCCCCCTCTTTCTTCTTGCCCTGTCATGTCTACCAATTGCTTGGGTGACTTGGCCCGTTCGCCCTGTTCTTAGCACCGAGGCATAGTGTGTACACGGGAAGTGAGTAATCAAGTAGGTGAACAGACAGGTGAGGAGGGAGGTTCACCGTATCTGTCTGTGTGTATAATGATTATATTGGTCTGGAAGGCACAACGTGGTATGTCGGTCAATCTCAGTTCGAGACATTGTCCTTTAACGACATTAATTTCTGGTCATGTGCACAGATGATGTATCAGAATAAGTTAGACCTCGGAACATTTCATCAGATTTGAGGTTGAGTTGAATGTGTTGCATTAGACCAGTGTCTCCCTGCAAACTCAACTTTGTCTCCCTTGTATCGATCAAGTCTTGAGCCTTGGGTAACACCTCTCAACCACCTAAACTTGGACTCTGTGTCTGGCTGCATAAGGAGGACATGCTCACTCACTCACACTCTCACACACACCATCAGGGCCTAACCATTCGCCTCCCCCTTGACCATTGACCATGGAAAACCCCACTCTATCAAGTTACAGTGGATGAAAATCACACACCCCTCCCCCCGGTCACCTCCCCAGTATCCACCCCGGTCTGTCTGTCATCCACAGTAAAAATTGAAAGGTCAAGGGAAAAAATAATTAAAAAAAAGGGCTGTAGGGGGAGATGGAAGGGTACGTGCCCCAGTCCAAGGTTCCCAGCGTTGGGAAATCCCTGGTCTCTGTATGTACAATACAAGCCCCAGTATCGTTGGATGCTGGTCCCATCAAATCAATCAATCAATCACTTACTCTGGTCATCCTCATCACCCTGCCTGTCTCTACCCAGACTCCACTCCTGAGTTGCACTTTGGAGATTGACAGCGGATCAATATGAGGAGAGGTGTAGATAGAGTACATAACATAATGTCTGTCTGTTACAGAGACAAGCACGGGCACACAGGCACAGGTACGGGTCGTGACTGAGACCTTAGTGGGCTGTTAGGACTAGGCTTAGTGAAGCTCACACAGACGCTTTCGACTCGGTCAACGCAGGCCAGCAGGCAGCGCCGTACAGCGCAGCGGAGGAGGCCCTAGGTACCTACAGGCTACAACGCAGCACAGACTTTAGTACTGACACTGACACTGCCAGAAGATCAGCTCGTGTCAAGTGTCAAGTAGAGATGCTCCAAATAAAGAAAAAACAGTCTTGGCTGGTCACCCCTCCGCCATAATTTCCCGGCCCCAGCCCAAGAAGACACCCCCAAGTCAGTCAGAGAGAGAGAGAGAGAGCCCAACCATAACAGCAACCGCCCAGGCTCTGGCTCTGGCTCAGCGCACCGCCGCCGCATACAAGACTCTTCCGCTGCCCGCGTCCAAGCACCAGCAGCTTCCATTCAGTCTCTTCTATTCTGTGATCTAGCTTTCTTGACGTTAGCTCTCTTTTTTCTACAAAGTCTCAAGTCTCGCCCGCTCCAACGCGCGCCAAAAGAGGACGCCTCCATACTTTGAAGCTTCTGCCCTCCCTTGCCCAGTTCGCTCTACCAACTGTACCAAGAGGAGATTGCCCTATTTTTTTTCTCTATCTTTTTTAACCTTCTGGTTCCCAGGCTATCATACAGCCACCGCCCCAAGCTACCACCTACCTTCCAGTACTCAGTTACCTTTTTTTACCACAGGCTACTTATTACTACTTGGACTCCCCCCCTTTTCCATCTCAACTATCTTTTCTACCCCTCCCGCTCCACCACCAACTTTCCCATTGACAACCTAACTCACCTCTTTGCCTTTCTCACTTCTTGTCTGTCATAACAATCTACTTTCTTCAAAGAAACCCTTTGACACTCTACTCGAGAGAGACGATTCTTCCACTCCGTCAGCGTTACTCAGACTGCTCCATCACACGCTCGATAACCAAGCGCTGCTCAATTGCAAATCGCCGATCAATTTGCGACAGCTGAAATTCCGAACTTTGTCGCGTTCCCTTGACGTTGGGTGACTCAGCCAGTTCGACCTCGATCTTCGGACTCCCTTCTTGGACCTGTTACTCGAAGAGCCTGCGGCTTCTCGGAATTGTTATCGTTTTCCAATCGAAATTGCGCCTGATCGAGATCTCCTCTGAAAAAGACCCATTGAACTTTCGGCAGTTTCGGGTTTTATCACATCGACACAAGGAAACCCACCAAGCGCAGGACGTTGTTGGTGTTGACACGCATCGAAGGAGGTGTTTGTAGCTTAAGCTACCCCAACCTGACCGACCTGTGGTTCTCGACGGACTCCTTCATTCTATTCAATCACCTGGACCAGTGGTTCTGCGCTGTGCTGCAGCTCTGTGCCTGTCGAAGACGAACGCCCTGTTTTGCTTGATCCAGCGACCCCAAGGCGGCCCTAAAGGAGCCACCTGCATATCCCGCCCTCTGCCAGCTCACCACGCTGCTGCGAACTTGGCACATCATCACGCCTCGGATCGGCCTTGCCAGGACCTACCCAGTCACCCGCGTGTTGCTCAGCATCACTACCCTCGCGTGGTCCACTCAGCAACACCACAGGCTTCTTGCGTCCCTGCATCTGCATTCATTACGTGCGGTCGACACTGCCCTGGCTCTTCTGGCATCCTACCTGACACTGGCTGCACCCCAGAGTGACAGCTGCTCCACGAGGGATCGGCTTCCGCAGCCTCTTCCCCGCAATTCGTGTCTCTTATCGTTACCCCCAGGCCAGACGTCCCACCATGGCTCCCCATTCTGACTGAGCTTTTATATACGTCGATGCAACCTTCGAATGCGACCTGTCTCGCCCTCATAGTGTAATCACAAGTCTCAGCACGACCATGTCTTTCAGCTTTGATTCAGACTCAAAATCCACATTAACAACTCACAACCTATCCGAAATGTCCTCATTAACACGCTATCAACTAGGTCAGGTCCAGACAGCCTTTCCTTCACAAACACAACCAGTCCCCATTCCCATGTCAACTATCAGTGCTTCGTCAGGAGCTTCAAACTCACAAGAAGGCTCACCACTCATGTCTCCCGACACTGCTGTTCTGACTACATACTCCTCCGTCCAGCCCTCGCCTGAGCCCATGCGAGGTAGGGAGGAGGAGGTATTCCCTTCAAGCTTCCAGTTGCCCGAATCTGTGCTGTCCCGGAAGACAAGCACAAACTCTCTTGGATACAATGCCATGTCGGAAGTCGCCAACAACAACAAAGGAGGTCTCATTCGCCGATTCTCAAACCGAGCCCAACGATTTGCAGGTAGAAGACGACCATCCTCTGGTGCCCCTGCCAGTCGTGACGGAAGTGTTGGACCCAGCATTCTCAGACGCCGAAGTGACAGCAACGCTACAGCCCCTCAGGAGAACAGCGCCTTGACGGATACCGATGAGGAGCCTGAGATCATCCCCGACGACTGCATCTCCATGGTTGGACTTGATGGCGCTACCAACACCTCATCCGCCAACAGCACTCACGGATCCATCAGCGCAAGTGCTGGAGCTATGGCTGGCCCGGTGCTTCCGGATGAGCTTCGCAATGGATGCCCAGTGAGAAAGGTTTCAAAGAAGAGCCGACCTAAGAGAATCAATCTTGTATACGAGACCGAATCCAACAAGCTTTCTTGGGATGCCACCCGACCTCAAAAGTCTCTCCATGTCGATGAGATTAGGGAGATTCGAACAGGCTCAGATATCCAACAGTACATCATCGACTATGGCCTTGGCGAGGAGGCGGCCAAGTACAGCGACAAGTGGTTCACTATTATCTACACAGTTCCCGAGAACTCGAAGACAAGATTTCTGCACATTGTTACAGACAACACTAAGAGCTTGTCACTTTGGACAGAATTCTTGGACGCCATGTTGAGATACCGTCAAGAACTTATGACATCGCTGATGGCATTCAACGACCGTGCTGTTGCCCAATATTGGCAAACAGAGATGGCCAAGGAGTTTGGCGACCAGGTTCGAAGCCCCGAGCAAGAGGAGATGAACATTGCTGGAGTGAAACGTGTGTGCCAAAATCTTCACATTTACAGTTCACAAGCGACCCTGGAAGTCAACTTTCACTTGTCTGATTCGCGACGACGACAAAAACTAAACTTTAGGGAGTTCAAGGACTTTGTTCGACGTATGAAGCAAAGGACCGACGTTCAACGAATTATCCGTGGCTTTGCCGCCAACCCTGAGTTCGGTCTTACCTCGACAGAGTTTCTTACCTTTCTCCGCGACGTCCAGGGCGAGGATGTTGATTCTAACCGCGTTGCCTGGGAGAAGCTGTTCTCTCGGTTTTGCCGTCAGTACCGCAATGACGAGGTCGATCTTCAAGAAAACGCCGAGATTATGTCCGAAGCCGCCTTTGTTGGTTTCTTGACGTCAGAGCATAACGATGTGATTCAACCCGAGCCTCAAAACATTGTCCTGGACCGCCCTATGAACGAGTATTTCATTTCAAGCTCACACAACACCTACCTCCTCGGTCGTCAGGTTGCTGGTCAGTCTAGCGTCGAGGGCTACATCTCAGCTCTTGTCCGGGGATGCCGATGTGTTGAGGTCGATTGCTGGGACGGCTACAACGGTCAGCCCGAAGTTAACCATGGCCGCACTATGACCACTTCAATCAGCTTCAAGGAAGTTATGACCACCATCAACAAATACGCTTTTGTTAAGTCCAAGTACCCTCTTTGGATTTCACTCGAGGTCCACTGCAGCCCGGCTCAACAGGCGACAATGACGGAGATCATCAAGGAATGCTTCGGTTCACGATTGGTCACGGAGACTTTGGAGGCGTTCCCCGATAAGCTTCCTACCCCCTCTGAGCTTATGGAGCGTGTCCTCATCAAGGTCAAGAAGCCTCAGATTAAGGAAGAACCTGTTTCCGTTGGTAATGACTTCCGTGGTCGACGAAGGGGCAACAGCCTCAACTCGCCTATGATGCGACCCTCGGCTCCTGATGGTACTCCTTTGATGCCCTCTCAGTCCCTTCCCCAGAGCCCTATGTTGACACCCAGCCACTCCTCGCGAAGATTGGTCAGCAAGACCCGTGTCAACACTATCACCGAGGGCCGTGTTCAGGATATGATGAGCAGCAGCACTAGCGACAACGAGAGCGCAGGTGAACAGCCAGCCAAGAAGGCCCCCAACAAGACTGTCAAGGTCCTTGGTGAACTGGGTGTCTACTGCGCTGGTGTCAAGTTCTCTGGCTTTGACACAGTGGACGCGAAGCAGTACAACCACATCTTCTCCTTCATGGAGTCTAGCTTTGCCAAGCACTCCCGCGCTAAAGATCAGAAGATGGCACTTGATATCCACAACATGCGTTACATGATGCGCGTCTACCCCGACCGAACCCGCATCACCTCCAACAACTTCGACCCCCTCATCTACTGGCGACGTGGTGTCCAGATGGCCGCTCTCAACTGGCAGACATTCGACCTCGGAATGCAGCTCAACCGTGCCATGTTCGATGGCAAGGATGCTTCTGGCTACGTCTTGAAGCCCGCCGAGCTCCGGGACATTCAAGTTCTCCCCTACAACTCCGACATTGCCGAGGGCAAGAAGGAGCGCAGTGTAGTCTCATTCAGCATTGATGTCATCTCTGCCCAACAGCTTATGCGACCTGCCAACCTCCCCGCCAACAAGTCTATGGACCCCTACGTGGAGATCGAGATCTTCCACGCCAACGACAAGCGCGACAAGAAGGAGGCTGATTCTAACTTGGTCATGGAGCACGACTCGCCCCTCAAAGTCCAGACTGAGGTGATCCGCGAGAACGGCTTCAACCCCATGTTCGACAAGCAGTTCAAGTTCAAGGTTACCACCAAGCACCCTGACCTGATCTTCGTTCGCTGGTCGGTCAAGCTCTCCAACGATGGCGAGAGCTACAATGAGCGCCCTGCCGTCGCTACTTACACCGCCAAACTCACCAACCTCAAGCAGGGTTACCGCACCCTGCCTCTCCTCAACCATGCTGGCGACCAGTACCTTTTCTCTAAGCTCTTCTGCAAGATTAAGGTCGACTCGGTCCAGAAGATGTTGATTGATGCTCCTCGCCGCACCCAAGACGGAAACAAGCTCAACCGTCTTGGTGGCAAGGTCTTCAGCCGAATCAACACCAGCCCTAAAAGTACTATTGAAAAGTCTAGCTCCGAGAAGACGAGCTTTGACAGCTATTGATTACCAACTGAGCCACATCTATCTCATCTGTACGAACACTTTTTTCAACCTTCTTGGATATAATTTTTTTTCACCATTCACTTCTCGATCGATCGATACTGAGCCTGACGAAGCTGGATCTGGACGCTGCTTAAGTCTGATATCGATAAGGATCTTGGGCAAAGGATATCCGAAGCCATCCTATGATGTTAGTCACATCTTTATTCCATGATCCCAGGAGGATCCTGGCGCGACACGCGATGGGACTGAAGGGATCTGTGACTTGATGGATGGAACCTGCGCCATTACTGTTTACTTTGTTTCTTTTCTTTTCGTTTCATTTTATTCAAGGCAGGGTTGAAGCGTTTGAATAACCCTTTTAACAGTACCCTCTGGTACACGACGATTTCCTTAAAAATACGGCGCATGAAAAAAACAGTTAAAGATGGACAAATACCCCCTTTAGCGTGGACGGTGTTGGTCATTATTGGGATTCTATGTTTATATTATTTTTATTATCGTGGCATTGAACGCTGCTCCGATGGATCAAAGGAACAGGACGGGAATGAAAAGGAGTCTGCATACACCACGCTTGGCCGTGATTTGGGAGCGTCAGGGAAACTTGCATTGCACTGGGGAATACCGGAATTCACGTATTATAGATCGGCACAAGGCAGGGGAGCCAAACACTTGGGAAATATCTCTTTTCTGCTGAAAGCACTTTCACTTTACTTGGCCCACAATATCTCTCTCATCTTTTGACTCTCTTGTTGATTCTCCTACACTCTGATGTCATCAATGTCACCTAGCACGGAGGATGAGATGATAGGAAGAAGGTTATTGCACGGGCGTAAGGGAGAATGGAATGGCTGGTGGAGAAGATGGAGATATTCCTTACTTTTGAGGCCTCTGAGATGGGACAATGGATCGACATAGGGAAATCATGATATACACATACCGGTGGCTCACGCTACAACAAACAAAACAAACAAACTACTGGACCACCCCCTCAATCTCGGGATAGGCGATATATTCCTTCACCCTTTCGTGGAAGAGGCCTTCTTGGCCTTGACCCAAGGGCGAAGAGGGGAATAATGAGGAATGAACTATTTTACAAACACATGAATCTCTGATAAAGTCTGTGACTCGTATTCTCGTATTATTACCCCTGTTCCTTAACAAAATAGCCATAAACTAATCTCCACAAGTTCAACCTCCTAATCCGAGCGTCGAAACCGCCTCGTTCTTATTTTACGGTTCTCACTAAAAGGCGCTCGTTCCATATTCGTCTCGTCTTCCCCGCAGGGTCCCCCCCTCTCCAATGCTGATCTCCACGATCGTCGCTGGGGGGTGTGCGCCCGTTGAGAAGAGGACATCGTATGGAATGAGAATGAGGCTATTCTGAGTTTCTGGAAGAGGGGGGTTGGATAGTGGAGTTGAAGATGTCATTCCAGCTCGACGTTGTAACTTGTAAGCTTTGTCAGCGTTCAAGTCAACCCCGCTTGGATATGGACATGCCGTAGTAGCTTCATCTCAAAGCGTAGCATTTGTAACGTTCCTTTATGAATATCGTCTGAGAGTCATGATGAGCAACATAAACCCCCTTGTGCTGGAAAAGATACCTCAGGCCGATACTTGTCTCTCAGCTCTTGAACTCGCTAGGGATGCTTTGCCTATCCCTATCTTGAATCATTCTCTTCGAGTCTATCTTCTAGCTCGGTATATCGCCGAGAAAGAAGCCTCTCCCTTCAAGTCTGAAGATCAGAGTCCACTTCTCTTTGTAGCAGCTATTCATCATGATATTGGAGCGAGCCACCTCTGCAATGGCGAGCAACGCTTTGAGATCTGCTCTGCCGACTGCGCAAAGGCGCATCTCGCCAAAAGCGGCTATTCTGAAGCTGCGTCACATCAACTCTGGACTGCCATCGCAGTACATACGTCACCAGGCATAGCAGAGCGAATAGACCCCTTGTCCCGTCTCATACGCCTCGGCGTGCTGTCTGACTTTGGATCGAAAGATTACAGGACAAGTCTAGGTGTTGACGAATACTACACCGAGATCGAAAAGCTTCTGCCGAGATTAGATGCAGAGAAATGTCTAGGTGACGCAGTTGTCAGTCAAGCCAAGGAGATACCACATGTGGATAGTCTCACTTGGCCAAATGACGCCAAGTTCCCTGCTGCGAGCTGGCCTGGGATACTCCTACGGGCACATGCCGAGAACCCAGGGCATGACGGCGTCAATCCAGCTTTCTGAAACACGCCAAAGGTCTCGGTTGACAGGCGATATCATTGTCGTAGGGAGTGAGATTGGCGGTGTAACCCTTTTTTGAAAGTAACATAGTGATGATCAAGGGGTGTTGGTGTTGTAGATCTCATAAACGTGGACGATCTCAACTCGGCAGTTTTAGACTAATCACACGAGTCACGCTTGGCAAAAGAGTAGATCTATAGTAGATATACACCCGTGGATCCATAGGAAGGGTAGAAGTTAAATAATATTGGATATCAGATCATACACCATCGACTAAAACTCCGCCAAAACGTATCGGATAAAAAGTAATCTGTACCAAGAAGAAGAAGAATAATAATATGATGATCGAGCTTGAAAATAAAAGAATAGAACACAAAACTCCTCATCTCATGACAAGAAACGTTAAACGTCGAGGAACCTCATTCATTTCATTCGCTTTCGAAAACACAACCCTCCAGGTATCTAATCCACGCCTTCGTCTTGGAACTTTGGTGTCCCTGAACGGCTGAGATTGCTTGGTGTTCTGCTGAGGGGACTGCTCTGTGAGCTTCCCTTTCGAAGCATGCCGCTCGCTCCACCGCGGCCCCAGTTGCCGTTGGTGACGACTTCAAGGGCGCGAGCCTCAGCGTCGTCACGACGTTGAGCTTCTGATGTGAAGCTAGGACTCAACTTGCCGTTTTCTGGCTCTGGGTTATTTGTGTCGATGAAGCCATCGTCGTCATCACTGTCCAAGTCTGCAAGCTCGTCGTCTACTGTTCGACCTCGGGGGCTGAGTCGGCTCATAGGCACATTTTGTGTTGCATCGGCATAAAGGTTAGGATCGCGGCCCAGAACTCGATCAGCCTTACTCATCGTCTTGGGTCCTGCAAGCTTTGGTCCTGGAGTGAAATGCCGTCCTGCACCTGTAGGTCGTTCGGGAACATCAGGAATATCATCTGGGGATCCCCAACCAGCGTTAACCTCACGAGCTCGTTGTTGCTCTCGCTCAGCTTTAAGTCGGTCCCGCGCCTCAAGCCATTTGCTGCTAGCTTCCCATGTCCAGCCATCTCCTGTTGTGTTGGAGACAGGGAAGAACCAAAGGGCGGGGGTAGGTCCGAATAGATGCAATAAGTTGCGTTTCCAGCCGAGGTCGAAGACATTGGGGAGCTTCTCAGAGTCCTGTTCGTCGAGATACTCCTCATATCGCCTTTGTCGTTGTTCTCGTTCTCGCTGAGCGTATGAAAGCTGAACAGGGTGAGAACCGTCAGGGGGATACGACCGTCGCTCTTCGCCCTCTTCAGGTCGAGTGATACCTGGCAGAGCATTTGTGTGAAAGTCGACGAATTGGCGAGCAGCTTCCGGTACATTGTTGGCGGGATTGTGAGCAGAGTTGTAGGTCTTGCGCAAGGGTGACAGGTATCGTGTCTTTTCGAGACACTCGATCGTAGTTTGCCCACAACGAGCCAGATGAATATGCCATCCTGTAAAAGCACCCACAACGAGACCAATAATTCCGCTGATGACGCTCAACATGATAAAGTTGACGGGCAAGAATGTATCGATGTACTCCTGATCATCCAGCGCCTCGTACCAAACCCATGATCCGCTGACCGCAAATGACCAGAAGCAGAAAACAGTCGTATAAATAAGGAACAGGAGGAATGCCTTGTGGTTGCGCAGGCCGATGCACGTTGCTAACCAGGGGCAGTGGTGATCCATCTTCAGAACACATCGTCGACATGTCGAGCAGTGGTGCGCACGATCAGGCTTACGAGCCTGGCACTTCTTGCAGAATCGAAATTCGCCGTTACTCTTGACTGTAAAGGATGTGCCCTGCGGCGTATTTTGTGTAGGAAGGAGTCCATAACCCATATCGTTCGTTGTCGAGCCGGGGGGTGTAAAGACAGCGGTAGTGTAGCACCAGTTGAGCATAATGTAAAGTACAACACCTATTATCGAAGAACCGGTGCCTGCAAAGTTGTTAGATGGAAACATCAGCATCACCGCAGTCCAGACTTACCTATCCAACTGCTCTTCCTGCTGGCATTACCGATACAGACCACCACCCAAACCGCCCATGATGTCAACCCGTAAACGAAAGCCAGTGGAAAGTATGTCGCAAAAGTACAACAGCAACGCTCAATCTTGCGCGCCCATCTCCGAGCTGTCGCCATTGCGCCCGCTTGTATGTTGTCTCTGTAACCTCGAAGCCAGTCCAAACACTATCTCCCTGATCGCTCGTGCAATAAATATTCAGATATCTATTCGAATCGTCTCGTCATAGCGTTGTTCCAGCGTAGCGAACACAGGGGTATCGTTTAGTCGATCTTGAAGAAGCCGTTATTCGATGGCGGAATCCGGGGAAAGGCCAGAGGAGAAGATAGCAGCAGGCTTTGCTGCAAACGCTCAATATCGCAGGTGTCTTTGACGCAAAATACACAAAATTATTAGATGATGCAAGCAAAGTTGAACTGGTGAAATATCCTGAAATTAATTACGGGAGTGTTGTCTACTCTCACTGTATCGTATTGGATTAGAGTGAAGCTTAGGTCATCAGGGGCCAATGGGTTCCACATTTAGCTCCGCTCCGGTTCTAAATTTACAACTCCGCCTCTTGAACGCGTAAACCCAACGTGCATCCGCTGCGGCTGCTGTAAGTTGAATCAATGCAATGCTACATAATCTTATAGAGGGAGAAATGCTCGTATATGACTGTATTTGCTCACGATAGATCAGTTGAATTAACGACTTCACGGCAATGAATGAATACTTGGGCATCGTCAATCATTCAGCTACTATCTAAGCTCAGGTACATTGCCCAGCAGTCTCCTAAGTTCACATCTCAAAACTTGCCAATCTCAAATTCATTCTCCGCAACAATCATTCCGCAAATCTACCAATGAATCTGCATTCCCGTGTAAGGGTCTCCTCCATTGACCTTGGGGTTCTCCTTCTGCTCAACGAGGTCTGAGCCAGGGCTAGGGCCTTTGCCAAACGTCTTTGACGTCTCATAGCGAACGGTGCCATCTGCGTGTCTATCCTTGACGTTAACCATGCTAGCGAGAAGCTGGTCCATGTAGGAATTGTACTGCTCCGTGTCTCGGATCTTGCACTTGTTGCTGTTGGACTCAACATGCTGGGTGATCGAAGCAAGAGACCCAAACGTGTTGAGACAGTAGGGGCAGCGGTACCTGCTCGCAGAGTGAGCCTCGGAGGTGAGGTGTGCGATGAAACCCTTCGCTGTCTTGAAGGCCTTGCCGCATCTCCCCATGCGACAATTAAATTTCTGAGTGTACTCGGAGTAAAACCGGGCCACGTTGAAGTCGGGATGCTTGGGGTCGAGATCGCTCATGAGGTCGAAGGTAGCTCTGGCGCTCGGAGCAGTGACTTGCTTGAGCTGCTCTAGAGTAGGGCGCTGAGCTGCAGGAGCATCTGGGAACAGGTTCTTACCTTTGTTCCAGCTGTTTTCTTTCTTTTCCTTGGTGGGCTGGAGTGTGGTAGAACTAGATTCGCCAAGGCTGGGGAACTGACTCTGCTCGATAGTAAAGGGAGCAGGAATGCTTCCAGTTGATTCCCAGGTAGCATCAGGAAGACCCCTATTCGCATTTTCGGGCATGTAGCCTCCATAGTTGTTCTTGAGAGGCTCTTTAGTCAAAGCTGTAAGGGCTTGGGAGAATTCCATCTTCTCCTCACGCATGGTCTCAATCATGTTGGTATTGAGAATGAGACACTCTTTCTCGACGTGAGATACGAGTCCGCCAACTCGAACGAAAGGGCCTTTTCCACATCCTGTGCAATAAAGGTTTTGTTCCTGAGGGTGATCCTGCAGAGGAGTTAGCAGGGCAATACAGGAGAAGAAGAGATGAAACTAGCCTGCTGGATGTGGGTGACTTTGGCGGATTCGGTGTGAAAGTCACGACTGCAGAACTGGCAGTGTATATGCTTAGCCTTGCCTTGAGCGCTCATCTTTTCTTTGTGACCGTGAAGCTGCTGCCACGTGCTGAAGATTCTCTTGCACGGATCACACCAGAACCTGTCGCTGGTGAGGGTGCCAGACCCCGTTTTATATTCGGAGATCACGATGGCTGTCGCACCATTGGATTGGTGTTTGACGGCTGCCATCTTCTGTTTGGAGTGAAGGGTGAAGGGAGAAGAGAGAAGATTGGTGTTTGTCGGCAATAATGCGGATGGATGCGGAGGTGAAAACGGAAAGATGCAGGAAGGAGGGTGAAATCGAAATTTATATGCAAGTGAAAACACAGGCAACAAGTGAACAAGAACACAGTGAGTCACTGTCACTGTGAAGTACGGCAAACGTGCAGAATAAGAATGTTAACGGGCTCGCAAAGAGGTGTGAGGAAACAATAAGTTTGAGGGGACAATAAGTTTGAGATAAATAAGAAAAGATCAAACCAACGAAGACCCACGGGAGGAACAATAGCCGCAGAGCAAAATGGCAGAGAATGATTATTTAAGTATCCTGATTGCTGGCAATTCACTTCACTTTCAGCATGATTCTGATACTCGTTTTACTTCTATAATGGTGCTGCCGACGGTTACTAACGCAAAGTTGGACTTCACATCGTTTTCTCGCAAAGAGTTTGAAAGCCAAGCACTGCTCAAACATGGGGTTTGTTAGCAACATTTGCCCACGGAAGCAGGGGAGAAGACAATAGAATGGAATTAGTACCATAGGGGCAAAATGCGAGAGTTCTGAGCAACAAACTGTAATGGAGGTTTGGAAACGTGCCCAATGCACAATTGCGGCAGGGAATTGTTTGGTGACTGCGTTTCCCCTTTGCTTCCTTACAGCTGACTGCACACTGCCATGTCCCTTGCTTCTTGGTACTGTGATCTGGTTCCCGATTTGGCAACTCATCCATACATCATCTCTCTATCTATATCCTCGTCCCTTACAGCTGTGATGTCACCATCTTCATCATCTCCTGAATCATCGTCATCCGAATCCTCATTTCCGGATCCCATCTCTTCCAATATCCTAGCCTCTTCTTCCCCTCGCTCGACCGCCCGTGTCTCTTCAGCTGGTGCCCGCTTCGGTCCTGCGTTGGGGTCTCTAACACGCACGCTGTAACCCTTATGCTTGTTCTTCTTTGTCGGTTGCCGTCCACGAAGTTGCGTAAGCTCCTCGTCTGTGAGACGTAGATTAGGCAGAGGGAGATGGAATGTTGCTTGATTGGATCGTATAGGAGTTTCGTCTCCTGCTTGTAGCGTCATTGCGAAATCTTCTCGTGTAAGGTGCCGGTCAAATTGGATTGCGACCAGTTTTGTCTTCATGATGGCCTTGACTTTTGCCCACAGACCTCCGTGATACCATCCGCTGCTTGGGTCCCATTCGGGACGGATAGCAGCATTCTCAAGAAGCTCTTTGAGTAGTGGGTCGGTAATATCGCATACTTGCCACACTTTACCATCAGTGTGAAAGGTGTCGCCGTCAAAAACGTGGCTTTCCGAGAGCTCCTCCAGAAATTCCTTCAATGGGCCCATCTGGACCTTGCGTAGCGATTTCCACGTCTGACCGCGTTGGGCACGCTTCTGCTTAGGAAGCTTAAACATGAGAGTTTGATAGGTTCGATACTTCGGATCGGTCCGTGGATCGATACCATAGGGAACCACACCATCCCTCCATGGCCCTCCCTTGAACTGATAGGCTGCGTAGTTGAGATACTTTTTGAGCTCGTTCCAGTTCTTGAGTTTGCCTCCAAGGTGATTGAGTAGAGACCGCCGTGTCCACACTGGCCGCTCTTCAAAGGCCGCTTCGAGTTCAGCCATGATTTCCACCATTCTAGGATCGGTCATATCGGGTTCAAGTTGAGGTCCAGCTGGTGCAGGGTCTTCTGCGCCAATGAAGTAACCGACTTGCTTCACAGCTGTAGTGTTGACTGTACCGCCATCTTCAGTGGCACGTACGTAAGGGTTTTGCGAGTATTGGTAGTTGAAAGGGAGGCTCATGTGCGTAAACATCGGTGGTGGTAGAATATCGACATTTGGTCCTTTGTCAGTTCCAGGTTGGAACTTGAACTCCTTAATCTTGTCGACTGCAAGCTGTTAGTATCCTGAACAGATTTTGGACCAAAAAGCTTACCATCTCCAGGGAGCACCTTGTCCACGTATTGTTGCGCAAATGACGATTTGGACATATCCCAGTGAAAGTCCGCAAGCCCCCGAAATCGATGTGTGTTCCGAATAACACCAACTGCTTCAACCTGGTACTTGTCGACATTGTCTGCCATTGTTCGGCGCAATACTTTGGGGTCGTCCAATCTGGCATAAGATGAGACTCTGTCATTTTCTTGTGGTTGATCCTCAGCGTCGTTGATTTCAACATCTCCTTCCCATGGTCCATCAGTACCACGCTTGCGCTTACGCCCTGTTCGTTTTGGAACAGTGATTTTCAGCACGACATTATGACTGCGGGCATTGTGTGACATGATGGGTTTGCAGAACGGCATCTCTGGTGTCAGATAGAGGGGAATCGAGTTTCTCCCTGCATCCATGACCTGAATTCCTATTAGTCGAAGTAGAAGACTGAACTGTTATGAGTTCTTACATGCTGGAGATTTGGTACTCGGCCGAACGCCTTGATGGTACGGTCGATGTTTTCAACCACAGCAGGAATCTCAACAGCACCAATAGCGCGAGAAGGAACTGTATATCTGGGAGCTGAATCTGGATGAACCGAATCATTGGCTCTTTCACCATTGTCATTCTCTAGTTGAGTATCATCCAGGCTTTCATAGCCGTTTTCATCGGACGAAATCTCCATCTTTGCTTGCCAACTGTTATTGTAGTCGTGACATCAAAACGAAAGGCCCAATTTATGAGAAAAAGAATATTGTTGTATCTTCATGTAAGTTCTGTTGTCGCCCTGTAAACACTCTAGGTTGAAAAAACAACACTGACAAGCTCCAGATCCACACCGGAGCTAACTTTTATGGGAGGAAGACGGCGACACAACAGACCCAAGAATAATGGCCAATTGGAACTCGCTGATGAGTCGAAGTCTGTGCTGATGCTGCCCAAATTAACGGAGGGGAAAAGTCGATGCCGCTGTTGCATTGGATACGCGATGATGATGATTTGACGTGATTCTCACCAGGTGCCCTTGACATTGATTTCGTTGTGGCTGGGGATGGGGCTTCACGCACTGTCTTTCTGACCTGAAAACACTGGCAGAGGACAGTGTCATTCTAGTTAACTTCTGTGGCTGTTTCTGGTCTGTGCTTACGACCCGGCTTATCAAACTCCAATGAATATTGGTTTTGAAAGGGTATCGGTATCACGAAGAGAAACAACGAGACAAGAAAAGACTCCCGATTGAAACATCTGCTTGACTCACGGCTGATATGATCTGAAAACACACTTTGGCGTTCCCATCTTAGCTATGGAATGTTCTAAGCTGTATCCTTTCTCTCACCTGAATTTGCACCTGCATGCCTCCAACAGCACAACAAAACTGGCTTACAATCAGTCAATTACTAGAAATAGAGAGTATCACTGACGTGCTCAAGTCTAAAGCACATGTTAACGTTCGTCTGATATCCTTTCTTCTAGAATGGACTTTCGAGATTCTGTTTATCTGCGGCTGAACATTCCCATGTTAAATGCCCGGCCTCTTACACAGCCTACCTGTAATTTCGGCCGCGTGACTGGTTCAACTCACACCTAGTGGCACTCCAACTGACTCCCTTGACGCCCACTTCTTGGCAGATCGGTATTTGATGTCCTTTCAGTTGAACTTAGAAATAACTATAAACAACATAAAGTGATACGAATAATAGCTAAAAGATAGCCAATATCAAACGCATTAAAGCCAATGTACCTTAAATTATAGCAAGCATTGATCCAAGCCTCTCCCTAATTACCAGCTCCTACCAAGCATTGGGGTCCATTCAGGAGGGGCACATCCCCCTAATGTGCCTCTGCAGCGCCTCTAGTGGTTTCACCGCCCGTTCCTAGTCATCCCAACCAGGGTCAATCCAATTGAGCTCACCAGTGCATGCCTAGGGGATCTGTTAGCGATAGCACAGCATCTGCACACTGTCACTAACAGCTGGTGATCTACGTGAACACCATGACCCGAACCTGACCTCCCTCTCCAATAATCGAAGCGCGTTCCCTCCAACTGGAGCTTCCACCCCCCCGCAAAGCACAATACCTACTCTTCGCCGGCGCCCAACGACAATCACCTCCCGTCCGCTACCTACGACAACTTTCCGATTTCCTCATCGACGACAACGAGGCTCGAGTCTGAAGCCGCCGTGAGCATCTCGACCACGCCGCGTCCTTGACATTTCTTCTTCTTCGTTCCACTTCCAGTTCTACTTTGCTCCTCACGACCTTTGATCTTACTACGTTTTCTCCTCCCTAAGACAAGACAGCAGCACCAGGAAGCATCAGCAGAGACCAACCCGGCCGAGCCCCCGTTCCAGTTTCCCACCCTCCTGCGCAAGTACCAGCCAGCGCCTCAGTCAGTACCAGCGCCCAGCACTCGCACTGCACAGCACCGCACTTGATTGCACCTCATCTCGACGCACTGTCGCCCAACACCTACCAAAGATCTTCAGCTCTGGCTGGTTCAGTGCTTCATCGTTCTTCTCCTGCATGGGATCAATCGTCGCTTTTCGTTTCCCGAGTAGTCTTTTTACACCAGCTGCCCCGGCCTCATCAGCTTAGAAGCTCTCGCATTCGCGGTCTTTCGTCCGGCTCTCGACAGCACCACAACGCTCTCGCCAGGCTGGCCCCTCTCCTCTTACCTTGAAACCGACCCCTAACAACGATTATCGACATCGCTCATCGCTACGACGCCTCGATTCATTGATATTGTTGCTTGCGCAGCTGTTATCACACCCTCGACGTCCCTTTGCCCCTGACGTCGTTGCCCCGGTGCCCCACTGCCTCATACAGTTGAGCAGCGGGCGTCTTAAACCGCCCCTCCACACGACACGCTGTTGTCCGACAAGATGAAGCGCTTCAGTCAGAGAGTTGTATGTCACTGTTGCCTTATTATCTACTAGTTTTGCTCGTGCTAATATCATCCAGCTCTCGCGTGGGAAAGATCCAAATAAGTCTTCTAAGAAGAACAAGGATTCCAAGGATGGTAC